CAGGACAAGGGATAACCCCACCTCGATTTTTCTCTCGACGAAATTTTTTTGAAAACTTCGCACATTTGAAGCTGTCATGGATCAGCAACGGTTTCTGCAGCAGCTCCAGATCGTTCTTAACCGTGAGTAACCCCATGACCTCCATGACGCGTCGCGTCTTTCGGGAGTCATTGCTGACCCAAATTATAGCTACCCAGGGTAACGTGAAGGAGGCTACCGGAATCCTTCAACGCGAGTACTACAAGCATCCCGAATCGCTTGTCCTCCTCATCCAGGTTGCAACTGGTCACGATGATGCTCAGCTGAGACAGCTCGCTGCTGTCGAGGCCCGGTCTCTGGTCAGCAAGCACTGGGTTAAGGTGCAAGGAGACCAGAAGCCCGCCATCAGGGAACAGCTTCTGCGCTCCGGCGTCAGCGAGGCCAATGACCTGGTCCGCCACTCCGTCGCCCGTGTTATCTCTGCCGTTGCGAAGGTTGATTTGGAGGATGGTCAGTGGGCTGATCTTCCCAACTTCCTGATCCGCGCTGCCGACACTGGAAACAAGGATGAGCGGGCTGTGTCTCTGTACATCCTGTTCACTATTCTCGAGACCTTGGGAGAGGGCTTCGAGGAGAAGTTCCAGGAGCTGTTCACCCTGTTCGGCAAGACCATCCGTGACCCTGAGAGTGCTGATGTCCGTATCAACACCCTCCTTGCCCTGAGCAAGCTGGCTATGTACCTCGACTCTGCGGAGAACATGGCCCCTGTGAAGGCTTTCCAGGACCTTGTCCCCTCAATGGTCGCCGTCCTCAAGGACGCCATCGACCAGCAGGAGGATGACCGCATTATGCAGGCTTTCGAGGTCTTCCAGACAATCCTCGGTTTCGATCCCGCTCTCTTGACTGTTCACCTGAAGGACCTCGTTGTCTTCATGAATGACATTGCTGCCAACGCTGAGATTGACCCCGACACCCGTACCCAGGCTATCAGCTTCCTTATGCAGACTGTTCAGTACCGTAAACTCAAGATCCAGGGTATGCGTCTCGGCGAGCAGCTCGCCCGCACCGCTCTGCAGATCGTCACTGAGCTTGGCGACGCTTCGCCCAATGATGATGACATCACCCCCGCGCGCTCTGCTCTTGGTCTCCTTGACATGCTGGCTCAGAGCCTTCCTCCCAGCCAGGTTGTTGTTCCCCTGCTCCAGGCCCTCGGCCAGTACTTCAACAACTCCAACCCTGACTACCGCCGTGCCGGTATCATGTCGTTGGGCATGGTTGTCGAGGGTGCCCCCGATTTCATCAGCACTCAGATGAAGGAGATCATGCCCATGGTTCTTCAGCTCCTTGCTGATGGTGAACTCAAAGTTCGCCAGGCTGCTCTTCACGCCGTTGCCCGGTTAGCCGATGACCTTACCGAGGACCTTAACCGCGAGCACGAGAAGCTCATGCCTCTACTCTTCAAGAACCTTGCCAGCGCTATGCAAGAGTCCAAGGGCGAGGAGGAGGGTCCTACTGTCGACATCATGAAGGCTGGTCTTAGTGCCATTGATGCTGTCGTCGATGGCCTCGATGAGAAGGAGGTTGCTCCTTACCAGAGCGAGCTCGTCCCTATCCTTCACCAGCTCTTCAAGCATCCCAACTTCAGAATCAAGGGTCTCTCTGCTGGTGCCCTAGGCTCTCTTGCCTCTTCCTCCGGCGACGCCTTCTTGCCATTCTTCGATGACTCCATGCATCTTCTTCAGGAGTTTGCTGCCGTCAAGGACAGCGAGGAAGAACTTGACCTTCGTGCCAGCGTTACCGACGCCATGGGTGAGATGGCTGCTGCCGCTGGCCCTGAACGCTACCAGCCTTACGTCGAGCCCCTCATGCGTGCTACTGAGGAGGCTCTCCACCTCGGCCACTCTCGCCTCAAGGAGAGCACTTACATCTTCTGGGGTGCCATGGCCAAGGTGTACGGTGAGCACTTCGCTACCTTCCTTGAGGGTGCTGTGAAGGGCTTGTTCAACTGCCTTGAACAGGATGACGATGACCTTGAGCTTTCTCTTGGTGAGGCTGCCAAGGATCTCATTGGCCAGGAGGTGACCGTTGCCGGCCGCAAGGTTAAGGTTGCTAGCGCCGAAGACGATGATGATGAGCCCGTTGGCGAGGACGGCGAGATCGAAGACGTTGACGTTGATGAGGATGAGGATGACTGGGACGATATCACTGCTACCACTCCTCTCGCTCTTGAGAAAGAGATTGCCATTGAGATTATCGGTGACCTTGTTACCCACTCTCGCAGCGCCTACCTTCCCTACTTTGAGAAGACCGTCGAGATGGTTATGCCCCTTGCCGATCACCCTTATGAGGGCGTCCGTAAGGCTACTATCAGCACCATGCACCGCTCTTACGCCATGCTCTTCTCCATTGCTGAGGAGACTGGGCAGATGGCTAAGTGGCAGCCCGGCCTTCCCCTGCAGGTTCAGACCGCCAAGGAGGTGCAGAAGTTCGGCGAGATCCTCATGACCGCCACCATCAAGATGTGGACTGAAGAAGATGACCGGTACGTTTATTTTCCTTTATTGTTTCGTTTACAAGCAAAGCACTTTAAATTACCATGATGATACCACTCGTTTAACCCAGCTCACTTTGACACACAAGTTGTGATTGATGTGAAAGACGTTTATCTACTTCTGATTTATCTATGATTCTACTTGATTTTATTTTGGATGGTTGTTTGTGAACATCGCTAACCCGCCAAATCCTAGATCTACCGTTGCCGATATCAACCGCAACATGGCAGAGAACCTCCGATTCTGCGGTCCTTCTCTGATTGCCAACGAGACCACCCTTCACAACGTCATCCAGATGATCACCGACATCATCACCAAGAAGCACCCTTGCCAGCTTGAATTCACTGAGGATGATGAGGAGGCTAGCGAGGAGACTTCCGAGTTCGATTGGATCGTTGTTGACACCGCTCTTGATGTGGTCTCTGGTATGGCTGCCGCTCTTGGTGAAAGCTTTGCCGAGCTCTGGAAGGTCTTCGAGAAGACTGTTCTTCGCTATGCTGGCAGCACTGAGTCCATCGAGCGTGCCACCGCTGTCGGTGTTCTCGCCGAGTGCATTAGCGGCATGGGCGCCGCTGCCACTCAGTTCACCCCCTCCTTCCTGAAGCTCCTTGTCCACCGCCTGAGTGACGAGGACCCTCAGACCAAGTCCAACGCTGCGTACGCTGTCGGTCGTCTCGTTGAGAACTCCAACTCGAACGAGATTGTTAAGGAGTTCCCTACTATCCTCAGCCGTCTCGAACAGCTCCTGCACCAGGACGTCTCTCGTCTCCAGGACAACGCCACTGGCTGCCTTAGCCGCATGATCCTGAAGCACCGTGAGGGCGTTCCCATCAAGGACGTTCTTCCTGTCTTGGTTGGCATTCTCCCCCTCAAGAACGACTACGAGGAGAACGACCCTCTGTACCACATGATCTGCCAGTTGTACAAGTGGGAGGACGCCACCGTCCGCGAGCTCACTCCCCAGTTCCTCCCCATCTTCCAGTCTGTTCTCTGCGGTGATGCCGACCAGCTTGAGGACGAGCGCCGGGCCGAGCTCACCGAGCTTGTCAAGTGGCTGAACCAGATGCAGCCCGGTGCCGCCCCTTGGGCTGAGCAGCTGTAAGCTGTGATCTCGCAGGCTTCGCCATTTGATGAATTACGGACGCGAATTAAAGTAATGGATAGACTGGAAATGTTTGGACGACTACTAGATAGATACCCCCGGAGCGCCAGGCCGGTGAGCTTGTTGCGCGATGACCACGGACTGCCAGAGTGATGATGGGCTATGGCAATGACTTATGATGGGAAGATAGCAACTAAAAGTTAACTTGACTGTATATACTGTTAGAAATTCATGGATAGCTTTGCCTGAATCCGCGCCTCACTCAGTGCCCTGTAGACGTGTACCTAAACGTACCCAATAGCGCCACGCTATTATTAGCCAGTGCCTGCCAAGCTTGTGGAGACTGGAGAGACTAGTTATAATTGTTGTGCTGCTGCCTGCGTCATCTGCCAACTCTTGACTCTTTTTATACCCTCGCGTCATCGCAACCACATCAAACCATAAACACATCCATCCACTTTCACCTAAAAACCAGAACAAAATGGGCTCCTCATCCCTCTCCACACCACTTAACTGGACCCTTCCGTCCTCGGGATCCAGCTCCGGCTCCTCAGTCAGCAAGCCCATCAAGACCGTCTCGAAACCATGCTTTGGATGTGACTGCGGTGATGGGACGGAGTGCGATTGCTGCATTTGTACTGTTATGTGATTTAAATATGGTATGCTCTTGGCTTGTGGGATTTGTTTAAATGGGGGTACTAACACTTGGTAAGGCCTGACCGAGTGTGGCGGTGTGGGGGGTTTCACTGCGTTGAAATATGGTGACCTGGGTCTCTCCTCTCGGGGATTCAGACGGGCAACGAAGGAGTGGTAGTGTCTTGCTAGCAGAGTGGCTTTGTGCGTCGATTTATTCGCCTTTATTCAGTTTATTATATCCATGTTCCTGACGTTACTATTCTGTTGAATGTTGGTGCTGGTTCCTGGCGCCGAACAATGTATGTATTGGTTTTCTACCACAGATGCTAAAGAAGTATATTTCTACGACGAAAAATATATTTTGTCTACATAACAATGCTTCCCTGGTTTGTTAATGTGAGATTGTTCTGCCTTGGCCAGCTGAACCTAGAGGTCGAAGCTTCGGCGACATAGTGGGGATTCGCCGATTTGGCGGGTTGCCAATAGTTACTCACAACTCTTTTTCCTTGACAGTATCCTAACTAATAAAAGACTTGGGAATATTTGAATCCGGCATGATTAGTTTTTTTTTGTATTTTTGGTCTAAGAATTCTTTGTTGATTTGATTATAGTTTGTGATGATCTCCATATATATTTTTGCAGTAGGGATCGAATATGAAACACCACTTAATGTTCAGAATCCTTCTAAATTTCTTATATGATAACGATAAATTATTTAAAGAGAAATAACTTCAGGGATGGATATATCCACTACTTTTTCGAATCCTATCGCCATATCTAAAGAAGATCCAAGGAAGTGGCGCAAATAGTACTCCTAGAAATCCAAGCAAACTGCCGGCCCAGCTGTGACCAAGATTGTTGTACACTGTCCGTAGCGTCAATAGTGATGGTCTGCAAATGGCCTGAATGGACATCTTACTCGCAATTGTGAAGAGAGGAAACGAGCCTCCAAGTGTATAACGAAGGAACCCATTGGCAGCCAGCGCTGAAGCACCATAGCGGGCGCCGTATACTGTTGTTAGGTAGAGAACACAAGATGCCTAACATTATTATCAGCAAACCACTGAAGCAATTTAAGAAAAAGTAAGAGATTAGTCGTACGAATATGAGAATATTTGCACAACCAAAGAGTGCTGTCGCTATTACTGAGGCCATCCAGTGGACACCAGGACGCGCAGTCCACGCAAAAAAGAATAGAGCAATCGGCATTAGGAGGCTTCCCACCATTGCACCATACAGACGTACTTCTGGGGGCTGAGGGGTGTTGTTATATGAGCATGTAGTCTGGTATCGTTTGTGGACAAGCTGGTCTATGAGAATTAATATGGTTGCACCGAGAATTAATCCAACAGCAATTCCGATAAAGACCAGCCCGCCTTGTCCAGAGGAGAAACCATAGGCAGACCCATAGACGAGAGGGAATGAAGCAAGGAAGCAGAAGAGCACAGAGAAAGTGAAGGATGCGTAGAGCGAGAACAAACCCACAGCCGGTTCGCACACGAGCATGTGCAGTGGCCGGGTGATCGTAGCTGTGAGAAGGAATTGTATACCTGCGATGCCACTGGGTATAGGCTGTGGTGGTAATGGCAAGCCCAGCTTCTTCGCCTTCCTTCGAATAAGAGGGCTTGCGTACGTTTCTTGAGCAAAGAGGCCAAATGTCCACACTGCAGCCCCCAGGAACAAGGTCGTCCACTGTGACCAGCGCCAGCTCTTGTACTCGGCGACGAACCCCCCGACTAGGGACCCGAACGCCGGCCCTAGGAATGCGGTGGATATGAATATGATTACGGCGCGGGAGGAAGGCTGACCAGAACCCCAGATGTCCATGATTGTTCCTGCACCAACAGCCAGAGGTGAGGCACCCATGAGTCCTGCGAAGAAGCGACAAATGAGCAGAGTGGCAAGGTTGTTGGCGAATCCGGCTCCGAGTATAAATAATAGGGATACTGGTGACATGAGTAGGTAGATAAGGCGGCGGCCAAAGACCTCACTTATTGGCGCTGAGATCATAGGACCAAATGCGAGGCCATAGACGTATAGACTGAAGGGCAGGAGGGACATGGTCGTGGTGGTCTGGAAATATTCCTGGACTTTGGCATGGGAAGGAGTGTAGATTGCAACTCCGAATGAACTGTACTGGTTAGTATGAAGAGGATTAACAGTATTAGGAGGACCAACATGAGGAAGCTGAGTAGAGAGGGAACAGCTGTGTTGTATATCTTCTTTGGAAATGCCCAGTTGCGAGCATTTACAGGGTCTTTCGACCACTCCACTTCAAGTGCGCTAAGTGAGGACATGGTAGAACTGGCTGGAGAAAACCAATTTGATCAAACCTTAGAAAGAAATATTTCAACATCACCTCCGCTGATTTATAGCTTTTGCTCTACCTTGACCGGGCAATATACAGGACGCCGACCCACCATATCGGCGATTTGTGGAGACGCCGGACTGGGTCTAGCACATTAGAGACCGTAGAATATCCTGAATGCTTCACTTTCTACCATTTCATAGCCGATTTATAAAACAGTATGATGTTCAGTTAACGAGAATTACTGGTCACGTGGTAGACAGTCTCTTCATCTCGTTTCTTCTTTTCCTCATTCTTCTCCTCTCCGTCCTCTCCTCCCGCGCGATGGAGGCGGCTCCCACTCAAGTGGCATGCTTGCACTGCCGAGAAAAACATCTGAAATGCGACGGAAATGCATCTGGATGTGCGAGATGTATTTCTTTGAATCTATATTGTCAATTCGTCGCTTCGCGTCGCGGCCGCAAGACTCGTCCCGGCCCATACCATATCCCACAGACTCCTGGCCTCGAAAACTACTCCACTCCTGCAGTGATAACAACACCTCTTTTCCCTCTAGACAATATTCTTGAGGAATCCGGTACTGTTACCGTTCCACAATCTGTCGGCCAGCAAGGCCTCAACATCCACCTCATCTCTTCATACTACTCGAATTTCCATACAGCCCACCCGTTTCTTCCTCCGTTCCAACAATTCTTGCAGTCGAACCCCCCAAAGTACATTATTGAGGTTATCGAATTTGTCAGCTCGCAATATCTTCCAGCTCACTATACGGTAAATACCACTGACCTGCTAATATCATCGGTTGACAAAGCTGGTCTGAGTGTGGAGAAAGTTCAATCTTTTTTACTCTTGTCAATAGTCTCTCATGGGCGCCAGAATCCAGAAAAAGCAAGAACCTGTCTTTCCTGTGCAATCAAACAAAGCCTAGACCTTGGCATGCACCAAAGACAGTTTTCTGACAATACCGCTATGCAAGACCCTATAAGAGCGGAAAGCATCCGACGAACTTGGTGGGAAATATTCGTCGTTGACACCCTCCTTGCTGCGTTACAAATTGAGGGCTCGCTGCAGGTTGATATTGAAGAGTACCCAGACGTGCCGCTTCCGCTTGAGAAAAACGATTATAGTGATTCTTGCATAGGAAGCCCCCTGATCTGCCTGCGTGACCTCGAGAGGCAACTCCTCCCACATGAAGAGGGAGACTTCTCTTCCTTGGCGTACAGGGTCGAAGCCGCCATCACGCTTCGAAAATGTTTACTGGTAACCGAGACACAGATATCCCAGCAAGCGGGAGACATCCCCGATGCATCCGTAGCTAGCTGGTTTCATCGAATACCGAAGTCTAAGCGGGCGACCATGGACAATACAGGCGAGATCGACCATCCGATTTTCCAAGCTATTATGATTATGCACTGCGCTTCCATTTACCTGCACTATCCGAGATCGTATCTTCCCTCCTTTCTTCCGTCCACCAACCAAGTAATTTGTTATCAACCCCCCGGACCATCCGTGTCAGCAAATCCCCTGATCCATACAGCAAAAGTAGTGAGTTCGGCTGTCAGCGTGTCCAAACTTGCTTCATTGTCGACGTTAACCACTTCCCATACCCCATTTTTCGCCTGCGCTATGGTTTTGAGCTCCGTCATACAACTAGCTGTTCTGTCTGCTGACTGGTTGCCGTCATTCGGAGCAAACTCGCAGTATGTGGGTTTGAATATTGGGGTCCTTAACTCGATGGGAGACACTTGGGAGATTGCGCGCGTTTCCATGCGACGGATACGTGAGATGACCAGCGGGGTCCTGGATACACAAACTGGTGACTCAAGAGTATTGCTTAATGTTCTTGACCTACAGCCATAATGACTCGTTCTCCATCAAAGGGATTTTGTGCCCTTGCCCTAACTACAATGACCTCTAGCCTATCTACTATTATTCACGCAAAACTACCTCAGACGCCCATGGTGAATCCCGCCTCGCTCGTGACATCTCCAGCCTCGTGGACGAAGGTCGTTGCTCCAGTATAATGCGCATTTCCTTCAACCCGGACTATAACCGCTGGCCAAGTGTCGCCATTGAACCCTGTTACACTTGCGGTCTTGTCCACAATAGTACCCACAAATGCGCCAGTTTCAAACTGATTAGATACAAGAGAGTTATACGCCCACCGTTGTCCGGGGCTTCTGAGTTGCTTTGCATGAGCGAGAGCCATTCGAGCCGTCACACAAGATCCTGTGGGCGACCGATCAACCTGGTCGCTGTCTCCAAAGAAACAGACCCCTGTTTCCGCGCCCTCGCTTTTGCTTGGTTGGTATCCAGTCTTTGAATCGACAACCATAACACTGTACAGGAACGAGAGTCTCTTATCGTCTGCACGTTCCAACGCCGTAGCCACAGCGGGATGCACCGATAAGTACCTCTTCAGTCTCCTTGCCGCGGTTGACATGGCTTTCGTCTCTTGGACATTACCCCTCAATCCGTTCTCAAATCCCATCTCCCTGGCCTCAACCAGGGCATAGAAAGCTCCCCCGTAGCTGATGTCAACCTTAATACTCTTTTTCTCCCCCAACTCCACCCACCGCACCTCTTCTGGGATCTCTACCTCAATACCCAAGCCGGCAGCATATCCAGGCGTCGAGAGAAATGAAACACCTCGAGAACCATCCGACTTGACCGTCCCATCTTCGCCAACGACAACTGGAACAGAAACCGTGACAACCCCACAGGGTGCATGGATTTTAACCTCCACGTTTCTGTTTTCAGCATCGACCACCAATTCATTCCTTTTCGGGAACACAGTCAAGTCCCTGGTGTCGACCAGAAACCTCCCCAATCCGATGGTCGCGTGTCCGCACATTGTTGAAAAGCCACCCGCGTGCGTGAACAGAACCCCGATATGAGCGCTCCCGCTACGCACGAGCTCCGTCTCGGGAATTAGAATGGCGCCATACATATCGCTATGTCCGCGGGGCTCAAGCATCAAGCGCTTCCGAATATGGTCATGGTACGCCTGGGCCTGATCGCGTTTGTCCAGAAGGGTTGTGCCATCCAAGTGGGGAAACCCGGAGTAGACGATCCGGGTAGGCTCGCCGGTTGTATGCATATCGATGCATTTTATTGTCGAGGAGCGATTTTCGAAGGATGCGGCGACGTCCATGCTTGCGATAGTATAGATATGAAAGTATTAATTGGGATTTGGAGGGAGTTTGATGTCAACCCGCGGGTTGGTGGGGGTGTTCCTGTTATGTATCTAGAAGGCGCTCGGAACCCTGCTCCGGTTCTGCACCGACTCTCAACTGTGAACTTCGGAAGGACAACCCGGAGAAGTTTGTGCCTTTCAGAGTACTGCTACCTTCGGACGCTATAATGGCCTTTCCTCCACTATAATTCGGGAGCTTCCTTGCGTTGATCTCGCTTCAAAGGACATGCTGCACATCGTGGTGGATGCAGATCCATGTTGGATATACTCATGCGCTCTACACCGATGCAGAATTCATTCCAACCGGATGCTCCGCAGTTTTATCAGAACCTGAATTAATGTTACAGACAGTTACTGATAACCTTACCTCTTATAGTGAATTCGGTGCCAGGTGGGCGACGTAGTGTTGGTGCTCGTATGGGTGGAATCACATGGCCTCCAACACGAACAAGCAACAGCCTGACGAATCGACGATCTGCTGAGCCTCTCACGAGCCGCTGTCGCCTGGCGCTTATCGACCGCAGCAACTCTGCTGACGCCGATCGGACGTCCCTCATTCTCGACTCTTTGTCTTGCCCATCTGCCTGGCGTGCATCTCAATGACTTTGTTCTGACTCTGTTCATCCCCGCAACAATGTCTAAGCGCCGGTCCTCGACCGGACTGCCCCCGAATTTCCGATACCCACTGATTACTCCCGACAACGAGCGCGACTCCTTCATTGACTATGACGCCTACGATGGGGAGACTGGCCGCTCGCGCGACCACCTGACCCATCCAACCTACCAGCCCCGCGACCTCAGCCCCTCGCCCCAGGTTGTGCGAGTCGCAAAGCAGCCCCAGATGATAAGAAAACAATCGCTACGCCCGTTCTCCGGCGACTGGGGCACATTCGAGCAAGTCGCAGGCGCGGGCAACGACCCAAACTCAAAACTCCCCGGCTCATTCCAAGACACAGACGCAGAAGACGATATAATCATGGGACCCGAGGTTTTCGAAGCCGTTCCACGCAATAATGTCTATTCGCGCTCCGCTGAGATCGCCGCCGCCGACTTATACTCGGACGAGTCCGACGAGAATCTGGATTTCGGGCACGATGAGCCCCTCGTGTTCCCGCAGCTTCCATTAGAGGATGTTGTTCTCGAGGTTTCTTATATCTTGCGCACGAGATCCAGTCCCCCAAATGAGGGGTTCGCGTATGTGTTTTCGGACCCCACCGGGCGCAATAAGTTCTATCAGATCGGGAGCGCGAAGAAGGTTTCGCAGCGGACGAACGAGCATCGCAATATCTGCAATCTTTCTTACTTCCGGGCGCAGAAAAAGCCCACTAGTCCTCTTCGGCAGTATAAGCGGCTCGAAAAGCTGGCGCAGGCGGAGCTTATCAATATGAGCTATGATCCTAACTGTGCCTGTGAGGCCAAGCAGCAACAGCCATGCTTCTGGGGAAGAGAGCAGACGGCTTTTGATATTCTGGATTTCTGGTCCAAATGGCTTGTTAAGAACTCCCCATACGATAAGAATGGCCATCTGCTGCCATTTTGGGAGCAACGACTTCGACTCTTCGAAGCCAATATTCCAAAATACTTTGACTGCCAGGGGTCGAAATGTATCAAGCGCACAACGGACACGGTTGCTTGTCCGATATGCATGCGGACCGGATGGAGAGCATGGGCCGAACCCTCAGGGCGCGATAGAATTGAATTCGCCTCTCAGGCGCATATCGGGAATCCCTGGGCTAACAAAGCCCTACTTTACTTGCACCAATATATTCCCATCGAGGATCACGTTTGGGAGAAAGTGATTGACGGCATGTCTCGGGCGGCAGATATGACTGAGCGGTTCAAGAACCCGGCGTTGCTTCTCAACCTGCTGTACATCAGGCTGCTCTTACCCATGATCTGGTCTACATTCTTCACTAGGAGCTCCTATATATCCTTTATTGGGACGATGGAAATCCTGATCTTTTCCGGCTTCTATCTACTCGTGAGGTTGGAGCTTGCCCATCTCTCCGGGAAACGACGTACCACAGATAGGCCAGGCAAAGACAACCGTGCGGTTCGCCGAAAGGCACTCCCGGCTGGTTCTGAAAAGCTCGTTGATGAAGTGATCGGAGGGAAATCTACAAAGGAGCCGAGAGTTGTTGAGATCCCAGAGGACCACGTGCCGACTGTGCTGAAGCAAGCAACAGCATCGAGTTCGGGCAAAGCCTCCAGCAAGAAGAAGGAACCGGTGTCAGTGCTATTCCCCGGCGAAGCCGCTGCGCGGATTAAGAGGCTTAAGCCTGGCAGACGGAGAAGCGATTTTGTTTGAAACAAACGCACTGGTGTTCTCGGTGTTCATCTCTGCTCTATGTACCTGTTCTGTCCTCTGTACCATTTGAATCGTTGTTTCCTCTGTTGATCAGAGAGCGACAACCGAGAGGTACTGTATAGAGGACATTTTTGTTGCCTTTTTTTTTTTTTTTTTTTTTTTTTTTTACTTCACTCTGTATTTACGTGTATATGCTCTATGTATACCCCTTGTTCTTATGCCTTTGATGATTGGACGACTGGAGATACCTTGCATATGAAACATTCCATTAGGTAGTTTGATAATCACAAATGAAGAGCACATACTAGACCTGTGTTCACCATGAACCTCCACACCTTTCATTGCATTTTAGAAACTCGTGCTTCCACGAGGCTTCCACCTGGTTAAATATGGAGATGCTTATCTCCGCTGACTAATAAGCTTATTTGCATGATTCTTGCCACTCCGTCTTTGTCAGCGGGCGGCGATCGGAGACAGCAGGGCCGATCACCGACTCACATCCCATCTCAGCTCACTTTTTTCATCATGCTCTCATTTCGTGCTGTATCATATCTCTCTGCTGTTTCTATACATCTGGCACATTACCGCTTCATGGTCCTTGAGACCTAGCGCCCATGTACCCCTCGCCGAACTCCGCCGGCCGCTCGGACGAAGAGACGCGGCAGCAGAGTAAGCGCACTGCTCGGGCCTGCGATGCCTGTTATAAGCGGAAGGTGCGGAGGTGCCGAAATAGGATGGATTTGGAGACTGTGCTGATACCAGCTTTGCAGATAAAATGTGATGCGGCATTGCCTCGGTGTAACTGGTGTAGCCACCATGATACCCCATGCACTTTTGAGCGCAAGATCCGCCGGACGCGCAAGCGGGCTGGTGTTGCGAGAGAGTATGTAAACCCCTTTTGGTGGGTCCCTTGAAGTTGGGTGGCCTTGTACTGACCAGGCTTCCAGGTCTGCGGGTGCCCCAGGATCTCAGCTTTCCGAACGGATTGCTAGAATTGAGAAGCTACTTTCCGAGAAGCTTCCCCAAGAACAACCTGGTTAGTTGCGTCATACAATTTTCGTGCTAGAACGTTTGGGACTGACTTATCATAGATTCACCTGTTCCGCAACAGCTGCAGTCTATGACCAGCGGTCTCAAGTTGGATTATACACCAAGTCCGCCTTCAATTCTACCATCAATTCAGCAGTCATCTACGTCTTCTTCGGCCCCACTACATTTCGCCGGGAAAGAACTAGGTGCAATCAGTTTATTCACTGGTATTCCATTTCTCCTACCTGAGGGCCAGGAATGGGTACGATCACGAACGGGCCAGAAGCTTGCCTTTCAAGGGTTCACCTCGACCCGGGCTCCGTGGGAAAAGCAACGAGGGCAAAGTTCCGGTACCATGCTGGCATACGTCCAGGCACCGAATGCCTTTGACCTTCCCGATCGCGATCTTGTTGAGCGGAACTTCAATGTTTATCGCACCTCCTTGATGCAACGAGTCTTTCCGGTTGTTGACCCTGTGCTTTTTTGGACGACTATCAATTCTGCGTACAAGGACCGCGATTCGGGGTCGGACAGTTCGCATGTCAGTTCAAAGGCATGTATCTTCGCCTTTTCAGCGTTTGTGTCGCTGCTGTGCAATCCATGTCTCCTCAGTCAAGGGCGAAAAATGCCTTACTTTGATGAGGAAGCCTGTTCGGCGAAAGCGCGGTACCTTTTGTGTCAGGTTTTACAAGAGCCTCCCACGTTAGACGGCTTACAGGCTATTACAATGTTGGTACGTTAAGCTTGGTTTGCCCCATAACTAATATGGCTATATCATGTCCTTGAACTAACTTGAATCTCTAATTCAGGCACTGTTAGAACTGGTTTCGGGTAATTTACAGTCTGCGAATTACTACGGATCGATATCGGCTCGCATGATATTCATGCTCGGAGGTCATATATTCACCAACCAACACTCCTGGGTACCGAGGTCATCGACAGATACCGATTCGAGAATCAAGGCGCACCTCCGGAATTTGTTTTGGCTCTGCTATACCATTGAGCAGGACGTCTCCTTGAGAACGGGACAAGCCCAGCTGTTCTCCGAAGACAACTGCGACCTGTCACTGCCCCCGGCTTACGTAGAACAAATGTACGCCAGTTTAGAATACCATCATAACTCCAATGACCTACCCGAGAACCCAATATTCCCCATCGACCTACGACTCAGTGTCATCAGAGCGCGAGCATACAGCGCCCTCTACTCATTCAAAGCGATGAAAAAGACCGACGCAGAAATCCTAAAGGACATCCGTGAATTAGATGACGAGCTGGAGCGCTGGCGCCTTTCCGTCCCCCCCAAATGGAGACCAACCTTATCCTTCTCTCACGAAACACCCGACCCAAACTGCAACATGCACTCCGTCATTCTCCGCCTCAATTACCACCTCTGCATGACCATCATCCACCAGGCCAGCAGCCGCTGTAAGTCCTGGGCAACGCAAGGCTGCGTCATGGACGGTGTAAGCTCCAGCCTTGCACTCTCTGTCGAAGCAAGCCGCTCCACGCTACTCTACCTCGAGACATCAGGACACGTCCTCGTCGATGGTGTTTTCTGGTACGTCCCACCCTTCAATTCCAAAATATTTGTGCGAAAAATAGCTAAGAATAACGTAAACTATAGGACCCTAATATTCTACCCCATGTCCGCACTCCTCGCCATCTTCTGCAACATCCTCCAACACCCGGCAGAGCCACAAGCATCCAAGGATCTGGCCCTCCTAAAGAGTGCAACAGGGATGCTAGAGCGTGTCTTCCTACGACAGGCATTTTCAGTCAATGAACTCGTGCACGTCCAGCTTGTGGCGGATTTCGTGAATGAGCTGTGTCGGCTCGCGAACTGTGCTATGGATAAGGCCTGGAAGGAGCGTACTAGTGGGACTGCTACGCCGACTACTTAGACGACTATATACCACGGGGTTTCATGCATGGATTTGATTAGGTTTTGATCTTATAATAGAGGGGAGCAGTATTAGAGTTTAGCTACGAAAGGGCGCTAAGCGCAGGCGTATATACGGGTATAGATGGGAGCAACAGATAAATGCACGATAAGAGGGTTAGATTCCCATGTATTTCAGATGTATAAAACATACTAGCTATGTAGGAGAATGCAATCCTAATTCGAAGCAAGTCAGCAAGATATCCATAGATATTCTCAAGATATGCGAAAGCAAAATGACAAGCTCAATTTCAGATAAATGAGGTAAGGATGCGCAGTTATCACCAAGGCATACAAAAGTACACTCAGATGGGGTTGAAACAAAGATATAAGGCATCAATCATCATAAGAGAGCGAGAGCTGTCGGGGAAAGATGACAAACAAACAAGGGATCGACTTACTCAAAAGCTCTAGATATCGGCGAATAATGCGGGGCTAAGACTGTTTGATCAATTGGAAGACGACATTATGTCTGACCAAATTGGAATAATCGCTCCTGGCAAAGTATTAGCGTGCAAAGTATGTTTTGTCGAATTGCAGCGATGTCAACAGAGCAGCTTGTCTGCAGAAAAATTTGGCACCGTTTTAAAGAAGTGAAATTAGTGCGGCACGTGATTGGCGGATAAATTGATCTTCCGGTCCATGAGGACCATACAACTTCTTCCATCATGATACACGGCAATCACAATAAATAGCCCTTCATTGGCGGGTATTTCATCGGTGCGTATATGATAAATTGCGTGCCGTTACATCTTGCTGCCAGCTGACGTTGAGTTCTTGGCTGCTCGAACCAGCCTCCTTGGGAAACTAGAGCCACAAAACTCAGCCATAGCAAAGTTGCTAGATAAACGGCGCGTGCCTTGTTTCAACTTTTCAAGGGCCGCAAACTGAGTAGTTCGTATAGTTGAAGTATATATGAAGATGTTATGGGCGATTGTCCCCTGATTCTGCGCGATTGTGAATCAGCTGTCGACCTTGCCATCGATAATATCCCAGAGCAGCCGGGAGTCCTCAGTAGCTTGCTCTTTCAGTTTCACCGCATTCTTGTCATCTTCAATAGCGGGTTGGATTGTAGATCCCACATCAGCACCTTCCGCGGCCAACTGATCCAAAGCGGCGTTGAGTTCTTCTTTCAGTTTGTCCATATGCTGTATCTCCTCCTTCGTGCGGCTAAGCTGTTCCTCCATCATCATAATTAGGGACTCGCGGGCCTGGTGTGGTCGGTATAGATTAAGCAGGTGGTGAGCGTTGATAAACAGGTTGCGAATGTCTTCAACCTTCGGCTCAAATTGTTCTGGGGTCTGGGAGAGAATTCCGACGAACTCTAGAAAGTTGAGCAGCAGCGACTTGCTGATTTTGAGGAGATAGTATGCGTGATTTAGCGGCTGTTCAGGCTGTGGTGCGGGCTCGCCATTTGCGCCAGGCTTGGGGGAGGACGGATATAGCTGGGTGATGCCCTGGTCTTCGAGAGGGTGGAGGGCAGTGGAAAGCTGGACAACACTTGTTAGGTCGACAATAATAAAAGGAAACTGGGTTTGCGACCTACACTTTGCATTTCTCCAAAAACACTGTATTGCTCTGAGGGGATATCTGGAGGCACAAGAAAACGCAGCTCTGGAGGTAGTGTCAAAGAGCGCAATTCTTTTGCTGACCAGTCCTTCTTTTGTGGTTTGCCATCTTCGCCCTTAGATGCTTCCTTTTTTATCTGCTCTAGCTTCCGCACGTTTTCGGGCGTGAAGTGTTTCCAGAGGGGGGGCGGAGGAGCGAACGCCGTGTTGAGAGTTGTTCCATCAGCCATGGCGAGCTGTTCCTTTCCAGCGAATTGCGGTTTTAACAGCTGCGTCGGTGAAATAGTCGTATAAATATGTGGGTATCTGGAAGACGCAGAACGCAGGAACTGGACAGGATGAAGGTCTGGCTGAGAGTTGTGGCTGGCGACTGCGGAGAATCGGAGGATGTCAGTCAGTCAGTTGGCGGTGGCCCGAGCTCTCCACCTTCTGAAACAGTGAAGCCAATTCAACATTCCCCCTTCAAGGTGCACTGCGATTCGACACTCGAGGAGCTCGACTCCCATGACATTCGTTATCCTTTAGAATCTGCAAAAATGGCCCGCAGCGGATTGTCTGCCGGGTCAACGATCGCTTCGTCTCCTGTGACCGGAGGACTTGCAGAAGCCCTGTCGCGTGTCTTCTTGCGATCATATCCACTCGTCGATGCTATCGGGCTCGCTTGCATTATCGCCTGTTGGATTGTGGTATGCCTTCGTTTACTTTAAGGTCATTAGTAGGCCAGTGTTGACTGTTTCTCCCTCGCTAGATTCAAATCGTTGTGACACCCTTCCACCGAATGTTCGCTCTGGACAACCAAGCTATTCAGTATCCTTTCGCAACAGTCGAGCGGGTTCCCGTTTGTTAGTATATATCGACGAAGTATATCGATATCGTACTAATTGAGACGTATTTTCCTCACAGTGTGGTCTATTGTCTATGCTGGAGTTATTCCATTTCTCATTCTCCTGGCCTGGGCCGCCTTGTTTCGACCCAGTCCACATAAAGTCCAAGTGACAATCCTCGGTTTCCTCACGGCGATTATGCTCACCTCGCTTCTGACCGACATCATAAAGAATGCGGTTGGACGACCCCGTCCTGATTTGATCGCGCGTTGCATGCCTAGGAGAGGCACCCCAGGGAGCAAGCTTGTCCTCTGGACTGTTTGCACTCAACCCAACGAACACATTCTACAGGAGGGATGGAGGAGCTTCCCAAGTGGACACAGCAGCTTCTCTTTTGCTGGCTTCGGATACCTGTCCTTGTGAGTTTGGGCCGAGCTTGAAAGTTATACTGATACTAACGGCTTGTGCCAGGTTCTTCTCCGGTCAGATGCACGTATTCAGGCCCAGGACAGACCTATTCCGCTGCCTGTTGGTATTTATACCGATAATTTGTGCTCTTATGGTTGCGACCTCTCGCCTGGCGGATTATCGGCACGACGTTTACGATGTGACCTCTGGTACCATCCTAGGCTCGGTGGTTTCTCACTTCTGCTATCGGCGATACTTCCCGCCTTTGCGCTCTCTCGGATGCGATACTCCGTACAGTAAGGATGATTTTGGTCCCGAGGGCTTCTCTAGGGTTCCCGACGACGAAGAGCAACTATTATCAGGCCGCAGGGGCCAGACTTGGTCAGGGGAGTCTTATCAACTAGAGGAAATGGCAGCCGTACAAAATCGGTAGGGATAACTCACTTTCATATATTTTGTACTACTGCAATGGGCTGCACTCGCAATGTGAGCAGCAAGCAAATTGGTCAATCCTGTGACGTTTATCATTATGATACCCTGTAGTTATGCAAGCTATCAACTTTGTTATGGAACCGTGTCAGGCTCAAAAGCCTCAATTGAAGATCTCATTATGCCATGGTAGTAGCTATGTCTACGCGCTTCTGGCTAGCGAAAAGGCGCGAATATTGAGGCCCTTCCGCGTTGGCATCGACTGGATGTACACCGTATACGCACTTCAGCCCTATATATTGCAATTAGGGCACGACCGACGGCGTGGCGGTAATAAAGTTCAGCAGTGGCCTAATGTTGCCGATAGGGTTATTAAATCTAGACGGAAACCATCCATGAAGAGATCGTAGTCTCTCTGTGCCAGCATCCATTTATATGTGGAGAGCATGTGGGTTCCGGTAGATTTGAAGGCGTCTCACTGCCGAGATGCTCCAAGAACGGACAATCAACATGCCCTCCAGATGCCTGCCCTGATCGACGTCAGCCTCCAGGACGCACTGAACTCGGGCCAGTCCTTGCCCCCGCCCCCACCACATCGTGCTCTGGCTGCGGGGGTGTCTCCGCCTTCCGATGCCATCCACTCCAGTTCGGTATACATGCTGGCCAGCATCTCCGAATCACCAATAATGGCCACAATAAGCCTAGCTTCTTTCTGCCATCTTTTCATCGGGAAAGACATGGGCCGTTTGGTTTGTTTGCATTACTCGGATTTGCGTGCCGGCCTCCAGATAGCAACAGATTGCTGACTTGGCTTGCCCAGGCCAGCCAGACCCTGTCGGCTCTCCGCACTACCTGCCAACTGCCGAACTACTACTGGGAAACCGTCTGGACACCTTGTTTGTCTCCAGAAGGTCACTGGGTCGAGGGGTAACCCCTCTGGTGGCACAGTCATCATGCATCATTTCCGCATTTAAGGCGAGATGCAGTGCCTTTCTGCCACCCTTAAGGTTGTTTGTCCTAGTCCGCTAAACAGGAGTGCAAGATGGCTCTCGTGTCAGAAATCCTGGAGCGTGCATCGGCCACATCCAACTATGCTATCTACATCCTTCCTTCTCTCTTTCTGTTGTATCTCGCACAGCAGTACTTCCACAATGGGCTCCATCGTTACCCCGGCCCAGTACTGGCCAAGTTCACAAATCTATGGCGTTTCTTAGATGTCCGCAGTCGACACTCTGAAGTTACCCATATCGACCTGCACCGCAAGTACGGCGATGTCGTCCGACTCGGGCCAAACACACTGTCATTCTCGTCTCCAAGCGCCATCAAGGTGATCTACGGCCTCAACAAAGGCTTCACCAAGGTTTGTCTCTCAGTCGTCTTAGTCGGTCCACCAGAACTAACAACGCCATGACAGTCCGAATTCTACCCTGTTCAAATGACAGTCTCAAAGGGTGAACCTCTTCCATCCCTCTTCTCAACCTTAGACGAGGGCTTCCACGCCAATCTCCGCCGCTCCGTCAACCACGCCTTCTCAATGTCCTCCCTAGTCCAGTACGAGCCCATGGTCAATGAAACCATCGAGCTCTTCCTCAACCAAACCGCCGCCCTCTTCTCAACCCCCAACCAAACCTGCGACTTCGCCCGCTGGCTGCAGTTTTTCGCCTTCGACGTCATCGGCAGCATCACATACAGCAAACGCCACGGCTTCATCGAGAAAAACCAGGACATCGACGGTATCCTCAAATCCCTCGCCCGTATCTTCGACTACTCCGGCCCCGTGGGTCAAATGCCTTGGCTGGATAAACTCCTGTGGAAGAACCCAGTCTTCGACGCACTCCAGAAATGGGGTCTTGCTGATAACTCACATCCTGTAGCAATCTTTGCGCGCCAGCGCTTGAACGAGCGCATGTCTTCCGATACCTCCTCAAGCACCAAGATTTCAGAGTCAGGCTCTGATTCAAAAACGGAAAAAGAAGACCTCCTCACCAAATTCATGAAGGCAGGCAAAGACCGGCCCGACTTCATGACGGAAAAGCGTGTCCTCACAATGGCCGTATCCATGGCCTTTGCCGGCTCCGAAACAACCGCCATCAGTCTCGCCGCCGTCTTCTACTACCTCCTCAAGAACCCGGCGTACATGGCGCGTCTCCGCGCCGAACTCGATTCCGCTGTCGCCGACGGCATAATCGAAAATAGACCCACTGGGCTTGTCTCCTGGTCCGAGTCCCAGAAACTGCCTTTCCTCGATGCTTGCATTAAGGAGTCGTTCCGGATTTGTCCTGCAGCCGGGTTGCTGCTTGAGCGGGTTGTGCCGAAGAGTGGGATTGAGATTGCGGGCGAGTTTATCAAGGGAGGGACGATTGTGGGGTGTAGTGCCTGGGTGATGCATAGACGGGAGGAGATCTTTGGGCCTGATGTTGATACATTTGATCCGGATCGGTGGTTGAGGGTGGATGGGGACACGTTGAAGGTGATGAACGGCACGATGTTGCAGTTTGGGGCTGGGGCGCGGACGTGTATTGGGAAGAACATTTCCCTTATGGAGGTTTATAAGCTCATTCCGAGTTTTTTGAGGAGGTTTGATGTACGATCCCCTTTTTCCTTTTTTCTTTTTACGGATAAGCTGACAATCTGTATAGGTGCAACTGGCGTATCCGGATCAGGAATGGGAGTTGTGGAATGCCTGGTTCGTGAGACAGTATAACTTTAAGACCAGGTTTACTGAGAGGGAGATCAAAGTATAGTTTTAGTTGTGTTGTACGAATATTGAGCTGATCATCGTAAATTCATAATTATGACTTTGTGATAAAGTACATGCTATGTCGAAATATATAGTTCAAGAACTTAAACGACTTGCCCAACTTCAAATTACCAACGCACCAACTAGTGTAGGATTAGATAGCTGTAGCGTATTATTTACTATTCCTTGATTGAAAATACGAAAGCAACAGGCAGTCCTAAATGCTTGGTAGGGTAAATACGTTCTATTGGTGCCTCAGGCGGAACTCACGTGCTCGCCACTGATGAGCAATTTTGGACTTCAACTTAAGCCGCCATCTTCTTGCCCACCGTCGAGGTTAAGGATGACTTGCCACGACCCAGTTTGCAATGAAATTGATCCCCCCTGAACACTCTGTTGAATGCCTCGTAGAAAGGCCAACGACCGTGCGGGTCCGGTGAAGACCCGTAGTCGCGAAGGATGCTCCGAGTGCCGCGCGAGTCGGGTCCGCTGTGATACCAAGAAGCCGGCCTGCACTAGATGCGCGGAGCGAGGCCTTACTTGCTCTACGAAGATCGCCCTGAAATGGGAGTCGGAGTTTGCGAGTAGCGGCCGGGCTTTTGGACGAGCTGGAGTTTGGAGTAAATCCAAAGGTGCCAGAGACCAGCCGTCGACACCATCAATGTCCAGTCTGAATGCTTCGCCCCTTGACGAGCAAGAATGGTGTGTCTTTCCGCGGGTCGAGCCATGGAATTTCATCAATAGTTCGACGAACGCGTTTCAGCTGCCGTGCCGAGTCAAGCCCACAGACGATGACCACGCTCTCGTTAGAGCTGGGAATAGTCGGCTAATCCCTGCCTCTCATGGGATGGAATCAGTGATGCTGCAGTTAGCGGAGCCAATGCCGTCTTTATCAATATTTCCGCACTTTGCTGGGAATATGCAAGGGCAACTATTCGAATACTATGTTCAACGGATTTGTCCGAGAACGATTGCAAGTGCGAACGCTCCGTCTCCACTAGCTTCTATAATCATACCTTTTTGCTCAACGGCATCTGAAACCGTTTCTAAGGCTGTCTTAGCTTTGGGGGCGTGTGCTTTAGCTCAAAATGACCCGGCGTACTGTGCCATTGGACTTCGCCTCAAGTCCGAGGTTATACGTGGGCTTCGCCACAACCTGACGGCCGCTGGACCGCTAGTGTCGTCGACGTATCCAGAGCTACTGGTTGTCATGATGCTTTTATGTCTTTACGAACTTGTTGATCACTGCGACGAGCGTTGGATTGTTCACCTGAAGGGTGCCAAAGAGCTCATACGTCTCAGACGGCAGCAAGCTGTTTTACCCGCTCCGGGGAATGATGAAGTCACGTCGTTTTCCGAGAGGTTCTTTGCCTTTCAGGATATCATGGGTCGCACCGCTTGTGGCAAGCAAGCCCTGTTTGGGGCGGACTACTGGCGGCACAACGAACACAAAATTGACCCTTGGATGGGATGCAGCCCAGAGCTGGTTTCAATACTGTCAGACATCACCGAGTTGAGCAGAGCTAGGCGTCAATTGCGTTCGGGCTCGGACCAAGTGGCACTGTCATTGAAAGCGGCGAAATTGTGTCGCGGGCTGGAGGGATTGGCCCAGGACGAGGATGGAGGAGATGAAGCCCTCCAGAGGCTCGCAGAGTTGAAACGACTTGCCGCAATACTATACCTCCACTGTGCATTGCACAATGCTTCACCAACAACAGATTTGGTGGTTGGTTATGTCAAAAGAATATTGAGACTTGTTTCGGAAATGCTTGATGCGGGCTCCTGTATCGGCCTGTCATGGCCTGTCTTTGCTGCTGCTGTTGAACTCGATCCGCTCAATGACGAGCTCTGGAAGGATGACGACAGTAACACTGTGTGCGGGCGGCCACTGGTTTTACGCGCATTGGCTGCCATGTCGGGCTCGAACATCTTGAGCGTTGCCCGCACCAGAGCAGTCATTGTGAAGGTGTGGCAGGTTCGTGATAATATGCTGAAACCGCCATTGGGTGACACGCCCGACTGTAATGATTGGGAACGTTATGTTGCTCCTTTCAGCGAGGCAATGAGTTTAGCATAGTCAATGTAATGAAAGTTACGATTGTAAGGTCATGTATCTGCTTTAGATAGGGAAGGAGTAATCCATCCTGCTTGGTCGTTCTTTCCTGGCCGTGCACCTGCTCTTTCCTTGCAACGGATCCGTTCTTTCCTTGCAGTGCATCTGATGGTCGTTCCTCCCGTTTAGATTCGTGTGGATGCTGGTCCTCCCAAATAAGAAAGAGCAACCCTGCTTGGACCTGCCTTGCAAACCTCTGTATAAGGGCATAACTGACTAATTAGTGAAGGTCGGATATAAACTTAGTCATCAATGTAACCCGCAATTAACCAATAATGTCAAGTTTTCCGAGCGCGGGGCGATGCCGGATCAGGCAAGATGGACGTCAGTGCAGTCGATCCAACCAAAACGCATCTCGAGGTGACGATGGTCTGTTATTGATCGCGCCGTCTGCGTCTTAAATAACGTGTACCTCGTCCTTTGACACAATTTCGGACATTTCGGACATACTATTTATGCCGCTGCTTTGACTTTGGCCCTTGACGTTGAAACCGGACCCCTCTTTGACGCGAAACCACAGCGCTTAACACCGCGCTTTAAAGACCGCCGTCCCCTCGCGACTCGGAGTCCTCGACTTCGACCATCTTGCCATACGCTTTTTATCAGCCCCAATCACAATATGAATGCATAGGGCCGGATCTGGCGAGCGAATAGCATGGCACCATCAATGACTTCCTCCACAGTTTCTCATAGCACCCCTTCTCATTCATTCGCGAGTAACCTCAGCGAACAGTTGTCTCAGCGGTCTGAGCTGGAACGGTCTGAGTTGGGTGAATCAGGCACCCAGACCGACTCTGCAGGCGACAAACCAGGTTTTCTCGTGCGCCCGTCACCAAAAGCACGTTCCCTATCCGATGCCTCCAAACCTTCTACTTCTCTTTCCCCCATCGGTGGTGAAGAGCGTCCATCCAGCAAGGATGACTCTGCCTTACCATCCGCCCCTCAAACGCCACGCCGAACCCCCACAAATGGCCCTCCCATAAACCTACAATCTCTACCACCGAAAGTTTCTACGCCCGCATCTTCCTCTAGTCGCACTCCTCTCTCGCCGAAGCTTGATCCCTCCCACATATACAGCGGCTCCCCAGGTTCGGTTCTACCTCGCCGCTCCCGTGGGCTCGACTTCTCTCGGGCGTGCACGAACCTACATCACTCGATTTTGGCAGAGTCTTCACCAGACTCATCGCCAACGGTGGGTGGTAGAGGTGTGGCTATCCCGCAACGTCGCGGATCGCATGGTTCTACCTCAGTTCCTCCGTTCTCGACGTCCAACCCTGCCGATCGAAATACAATCTCGAGTTCCATGTCAAGCGTTAATATGATGGAGTCGGATACTAGCAGCAGTGAGGAGGATGATGAACCGATGCTCGGAGATCGAGATGATATCATAATGAACACTCCCCAAGCAAAAAAGTTGGGCCCAGGGTTCAACGCGTTTGGCGGCGGGAACGTACCCAGCCCCGGTACAGACTGGATGGGTAACTATTCTCAGGCAGCAGCAAGCTTATTAAGCTTTCAACGCGCTCGCTTTCGCAAAGGACGCAGTAGACACAGTTCCAGCAGTGCGAGCGGGAATAGTTCTAAGCAAAGCCCGGCTCCCTTGTCTCCACCAGTTATGAAGAGCATAGAAAACGGGAACGGGAACGGATACTTTGGCCATAGGAATGGCGGCCCTTCTCGGCGGGAAAGCTTGAGCATGGGAACGCGTGATCTGCGCCTATCGGATATGAGTGACGATGGGGAGAACCGGGGCCCTCGTGGTCATAGTCCAACCGCCGCAAAAACCGAGGGTAGCGGCCCTCTAGGGGTTATTAGGCGTGCTGTTACCAGGCGGGGGAGCTTGTTGGTAAGTAACCTGTACGGCATATATATGGCACTCAGCCACTAACTAAAGCTGTAGCCAAAAACAAAAACATTCGCACGCATCCGAGCGGCTCTCATGGAAGAAACAGCGCCCATTGACAGTGATGCGAAGAGGGAGGCTGAAGTAATTCGCCAAGTGCGTGAAACTGAACCAGATATGCCCCAAACATCGCCGGTACTGTCGTCTTTCTCGTCACCAAATGCATTCGTGCCACCCGGGTTAGGGGAACATGACGAAGTAGCAGAAAGGCCTGCTACATCCTTACCTGATGAGCCCAGCTTCAGCGACCAGGCTAATCGAAATTCTGGTGGCCCTGAGTTCTGGAACTCTTTCGATGAACGTTATCGTACTCCGCCACCACCTCCACGCCCACACGCTGCCTCCTCAGTGTCGGAGGAAGATATAACGATGGATATGACACCATCAAATACTGCCGAGTTTGTTAAACCTGGCGAACGACCCGCGTCGCGTGCTTCAACTCCGCTCCCTAGCCAGTCAGGTGTGATTTCAGAATTACGGAGAAAGCGACGACGAGAGGACGATTTTGATCCTAATTTGTTCAAACGAAGAGCCGTGTCTCCCAGCATGAGCGCGCAGAGTAGTCCAGTCATGCCCAACTCCCCGGCAGTGACAGACCAGGGGCCTAATATATGGGGTCCGCCAAAGTCAAACATCGGCCCACTTTTCAACGATCGACCGGAGACTGCTCCTCGGAATATACCAACCACCCCTCATTCTGGGACCTTGAAGAGAGTGGGCATGCAGGGCATGAATGAAGCGAGCGATGGATTCATGAACATGAGCATTGAATAAACGGGCTTGAAGACTTACCATGCTCCTACCGGAAGCGAGCTGGACTTGCCTAAATACATAAACTGATTTCGTTGGATACCTATAGCGTTGCCTTTAGCCCTGGCTCTACTGGGTAATTCTTGCTAGCGGGCAGCGACGGCGTTGGAGCCATATAACGACCAGGCCGGTCCTTAGATATGTCGTTATTTTAGTGATAATATTATTAATGGTATTGCAAAATCTTCAACACTAGCTTGGACTCACCTTGCTCAAGAGTATACATTGTAGCCTGTGGAATGCACGTGCACGGCTAGGCGGTCGAGCTGCTTGTTGACACGGACGGAGCTGCTCTCCTCACCCCTCCTGAGCTCTCCAATTACTGCGCTTTCTTATCAATTTACTAGTCAATTCAACCTTCTAAAATTCACATTTACGCCCATCTTATCTCCTACCAGATTAGATTTGTTCCCCAACCCTCATGGCATCGACCGTTGAACTTGCATCCTCGTTCATTGAGGGTGCCCCGCCAGGCGAGGTACGTCAATTCTGCAGCTTGCTTACATGGACTTCGTCTAGACATTTAGCTAACATACACGATATCTAGCTCGGCGATGTTGTATCCGGTATTTAGAACCTCTTTACCACCCATTCCGGATCCCCAATGTCCAATCCCCTACCCCGCACTCCAGCACACCGCAAGCTATCGCGAGCCACAACTAAACCTGATTTCTCTGTGACTGCACAGACATCAAAACCCTTACCTCCGACGGCGATGACATCATCCCCTCTCTTACACCTGCCTTCGAACGATACAATGAGACACAGCTGGCGACCGTGAAGCTGCCCGGAGCTAGTCAGGAGGTGGGCCCTGGAACACCCGCTGTTTGACCATAGGACAACACCATGACTGACCTCCGTGGCAGGTTATTGTGAGCGAATTCAACAAGCTAGAAGGGAACCGATATTTCGATGTGGAAAGCCAGACGTCGTTTGAAGTCGACCATGTTGCGCAAGTGAGATTCGTCCGTACCGCGGGATTAGGATAGGACGCTGATAAGTGTGATAGGAAGCCTCGGCGTCGCAGTCGTACGTTTTGGACTCGCAGAATGCTGACTTGATGTATGTTGCCTGCGGATATTGTCGTGCTTTGTCGGATCGCAAACTAATATTCTGGCAGCAAATCCCTCCTCAAGGCGCTGGGGCGGCATGCCCAGGAACACTACCCAACCTCCTCGTACGGTGTATACCCGATTGAGAACGACTCGGCTGTTGCCATTTTACTCGTCGCTAACCGCTACTCTCCCAACAACTATTGGTAAGTTGGCATGACTGGGTCTCAGGCCATCGGAGGATAGCTCTGATGCATTAGTGTAGGAACGGCCGGTTCCGCTCTATCTACCAAGTCCCCGTTGGCGACTCCACAACCGTCACTGGCAAGATCCATGTCGACGTGCACTACTACGAAGACGGAAACGTCTCGCTCAACACCACGAAGCCCGTCAGCGTATCCGTACCCAATGCCACCGGGGAGAGCATCATCTCGCGCATTGCGGCCGCCGAGCGCAGCTACCAGGAGGAACTGAACAAGGCTTTTGGTCAGATGGCCGAGGGTGCCTTCAAGTCCCTGCGGAGGCAGCTCCCGATTACGAGACAGAAGGTTGAGTGGGAGAAGGTAGGCGGGTATCGCCTGGGACAGGATATCTCCGGTGGAAAGGGACGGTGAGAGGATGGATATGCACGGTGTTAGGTTATTTATTATGCACATAGTGAGATACAGTTGATTGTTTGCTGTGGAATTCTATTCCCTGGCTACTTTACTATATGGATCTAAAGCCCTAAGCAGTGGGTGTAAGGTGACTTGCCCCCCCGAGTATTATTATTCCACCTGCAGGCTTCACTTATCCAGTACCCTGTGCATCTGGCCATTAATTTCCCTCATCAGACTCCAAAAACTCAACCAAACGAGCAGCGAATGTCCAATACCGCACAGCTCGAAGTCACATCCGCTCGTAGAAGCATCCATGGTCACGCATTGGCTAGGATACATATTCATGAACCCCCTAGCTAACTTTGACCACTCTGACTCTATCATAACAAGGAGTCCCATTGCTTATAATGTACATTATGGGGAGTATAATATTTGGAGGCACTGATTTGCAGCTAGTGCCCGCAGAATTGAGTCTTTCGCTGGCCACCCCGCTGCAACCATACACGCCTGGTAGATATACAGCTGTATGTTCCAGTCTTCAGTCAGGACTGTACTCAGGGACATGTCGTTCGACTGGGGACACTTTGCAGGCTACCTTTGTAGCATACCGGAGGGACGTCGCAACATATCATTGAAAGCCAGCATACCACAGCAAAAACTCTATTCATTGCCTCGAACCTCACTTTCAGATGAGGAGAGAACCGGATATAACCTTGCAACCGTTCAACAGGAAGCCTGACGGGTCAATGTCCATCCCGACCCGCTAAAAGATCCCTTATAGACCTAGCTGGTCCATTTCGATCCGCGCATGCATCATTGAATGCCTGCTATATGGACTCCATCCAGACTATGCCTTGGTAGTCATGCCATGAATTGGTCTGTATCTTCTGGATGCCACCTGTGTAGGGCCTGAAGCAGGTAGAGCCACTAGGCGGAATGGGACGAGAACAGCGGTGGTGGTATTAGGGCTCACCCACAAGCGGTCGATCAGAGAGATGACAGTGCTAGTGTCGATACCCCCTGTTATTCCTGACAGCCCAATTCTTCTATCTGCAGAGAAGTTTCCCCTATCAGAAGCACCATCGCGAGCGTCACGCCCTTCCATGGCTAGATCGAATGCACCTTTCATAGCCTCAAAAGGAGAGAGAACAACTCGACAAAATTATTATGCTCTTTGGTATCTTGTCACTACAGATAAGAAGAAGGGAAAAACCGACCCTTTTCAGAAAGGAAAGCCCCTTCCGCGTTTCCCAGCTTGCAGGAAGAACGAAAAAGGAAAGATAGTAAAAAGAATGAAGCTATAGAGCAAAGACAGTCATCATGTTAGGACTGGGAGGTTCATTCCTGCGCGTAAAGCCATGATAACAGCTATGGATCTGTTCAGATAGACATTTCGGTGCCCAATGCGTCGTTTCCCGCTCCGAGGTGGTTTCTATCCATCCTCTCCCAGGTCTGAATTCGCATAAGTTCTCTGGCTCAATAAGGCGATACTCATGTCCAATGGAGGGGTGCACCAGAACGTATCCCGGCGGACATAGTTGGCAGATGGGTAAAAAGGAAAACGATGGCCTGGTTAGGGCATGCTCACTCCTAGGGTCTATCTACGCTCGAAGTGTCCTCATCGGGCTGAGGATAAAAAAGCGAAAGGACCGTCAGCAGGGACAGCCTGAAGAAACGAACAGAGAGTTATATCGAGTAGTGGAAGGGATGTCGGGGAGAAGATGGGGAGGGGGTATTTATAGGCGCAAAGCAGGCAGCAGGGGAGGATTGCAGTGACTTTGTTTATGTTATTAGCAGTATTTAATTTGTCAAGTACAATTCCTTCACACTCGGGTTAAGATGGAAAGTCATTAATATCGCAGGATGCATAGTTCATTATCTGGTACAATACAGTTAATTAGAATACATTCTTGACCATGAGTACTTCCGTAACGCCACTCCATAACACCGACTTGGGCTCACTCAGTACTACACCATGTTTTAGACAAAGAACAGAACTGCGAAAGGAACAATGTACCACCAGGGAGTAGCACGCTGGGCACTCACACCAGACTCCTCTCCATCCGATTCTCCACCCGGCTTTACAGGCTTCATCTCCGGTTCTTCACACTTGAAACTCGCCGATCGATACAGATCTCCCTGCTTGTAGACAGGCCTCTTCGGATACTTGCACAGATCCCGGGTCATCTCGTGTGCACCGCGGAAAATGGTCTTCGCCGCCAGGGTCTCAGGCGCTTTACCGCGCTCGACCCAATCCACCAGCGCGAGCATGGGTTCTACCGGCTGAGGGCCATGACCACCTACACAGTGCCCAACACCGGGGGCAGTGAAGACGCGGTAGAATTCATCAACAGCAGCCTCGCCACCAAGTTTCTCTGCAACGTCGTCGTGGAAATGAAGTAGATGTGAAGGCGGGATGTACTGGTCCGCGAGCCCAACCCAGCTCAGCAGCTTTCCGCCGGCGGATTTGAACGCAGAAAGGTCGAGGTACTCGTCGCCAATGTATGGCCCGCCGAGTTTAACGGACTTGTCGAAGGCGTCGAAGTACTCTGCGTAACTCATTTTGGTGATGTCAGCCATCTTGGGGACGATAACGCTCTTGAGCCAGGCTGCACCTGGGGGGAAGGGTCTGGGTATCCATTTGCCGTTGTGGTAGATGGTTCCTGCGACGCCGGAGAAGTTTGCGCCGGGGGCAGTACCGAACCAGAGTTCTGTGCCGTCGCTCTTGCGTGGGCCTTCGAGTATCTTCCTGACAATAGTTGCGTGTCTGTCGGATATGGTTATATTGCCTACCGGTCCACAGGGGACAACTGTTCCAACGAGACTGGAAGAGTCGAACTCCTTAGGACAGGACCTCAGCAGATCATAATCAGAGATGAGATCATCCGTGGCACCGTCGAGTGGATCGCACTTTTCAACGATGGCGGGCTGGTATCTTTCAAAGACGCAAGACGGCACGATCTCGCCCTCGTTGTGCATGACAACAACCGGCCAAAAGGTAGCTGGACCGACGTACTCCTCGCCGAGCGATGGTGAGGCAGCTAGAATACCGTCAAAGTCCTTGGGATACTTTGCCGCTGCTGCATATCCTTGTCTTCCACCCTGCGAACAGCCTGTCCAGTATGAATATTGCGGATCGATGCCGTAGAATTGTTTGATGAGGTCCTTGGTTGCAACAGACATATCGTGAATAGAGCGCCAGCCAAAATTGACAAACAGGGCCTCGTTCGGCGATCCATCCTCATTCAACGCCCAACTGCCTGTCTGAGGGTCGACGGTATGGTTGAGACTCAGCCCGGCCTCGCTGGACGAAGTCGCAAATCCAGCAGCCAGAGGGGCGACCATGTTGAAATCGTATCCAGCTGCGATGCCACCGCCTCCAGTCGCAGTGTATCGACGATTCCATCCTTGGTGGGGAGGAAGCCAAACAGAGATGAACTCGGTGTCGTTCTCGCCGGGGTGAGTCAAGGCCACGGACACATTACAAAAGTTGAGTTTCGGGACATTTCCCTCGAGTCCTGGCGGAGTCTCGCCTGTGAGGTCTTGGATCGGGGGATAAGTGAAATTTTGGACGGGGTTGGAAGATATCCAGAGCACCTCAGCGTCGGGGATGACAGGGGCTTCGAGGCTGAGGCATCGTGCCCACAAGGATGGAGCAGACAGGTTTGCAAGAGACATCTTTGTCAGTACTGACCCTGCAGGAAAGGGGGAAAGATGAGGAATGGGTTGGTTTGACGGAGATGCAGGTGGGTGGACGTGTGTGACTCGGTGACGTTGTGTTATATACGCTGGGAGAAAGGCCTGAGGCAGACGATATTCACACACTGCAGAGTCTGCACCAGTCAGGTTGTGCCGGTTTCTGTCAGTCTGCTGACTGCTGCAGACTTTTATTTGCTCCGGTTGGCTTAGGCAAGTCTATTTGCAGGAACCATGCAGCCTTGTTGATAGTGCCGCCATGCCCGCGAAGTCTGATATTCATTTAGATATTTATAGCCTGGATGAGTATTACACCAATTTCATAAGTGAATGTGTGCGAGTCACCTAGTATTACATCTAGGTCGTGATTCACATCTCAACAGGCAAAGGACCAGATAGGACAGACATCCATTGCGAATAGCACTTGCGCATTGATGGTAATAAAGGCCTTGTTATTGTAACAGCGTTGAGTCTATCATATCCACAATGACACGGGTATAGTTCCATAACTGAGCCGAGTAATCCGTACAAAACGAGTAGCCAGTGTAGTAAGTGCTGCGCTGTCCCTGCTGTGCGTACAGCCGTTTGTAGAACCCATCCCGTACGTCCTCAGCCGAAACCATCATGGAGGTTGGCGCGTGAGAATCCAATGCGATGATCTCAGGGTTTCTGTTTATTGGGAACGTGCCTGCATCGTTCATACGCCGCAGGTCCTCGAAGACAAGCTGTCTGGCAGCAGCCTCTGTAAAGTTCTCTACTCCCACGACCCTTGTTCCATAATAACCAGGAACACCAGAATAATCCAGAATGCATTCAAACGGGGTGACAGGAAGGTTACCAGGAACGACCGATAAACATAAATGAATAAAACTGGCAAGCGGATATCATGTCTATATCTAAACGCAACCAAACGCCCCATTAAACACCGAAATCAACAAATCATACAATCATACAATCATGTATACCGAATAGCCAGGCCGATGATAATACCGATAATCGCCCCGAAAATAAAGCAAGCCAAAAAATACAGGAGATAGTACTGGGCAGCCCTTGCCTTGGACCCATGTCTCCATTCTCGGCGCATGTCCTCCAGCGATCGGATTTTGTTTTTCTGGGCTGGGTATGCCTCTTGGGCTTCGTAGTCGTAGGGTAGAGGTGCCGTCATATGCACCTGAGCGGGCGGTTGGAGCTTTATGTCTTCGCCCATGGTTGTTATGTCTGCGATCAGGTTAGCTATGCTAGATGGCCATGGGAGTGACAGATATACGTAAATATCTCGCCTAGTTCAATAGTTGGTAAACACAGGGTACTCTGGAAGCAGTCAAGTGTAGTTAAAATAAAAATCAAGCAGCAGGAGCCAGGATAAATAAATCGGGAGAATCAAATTCTGAGGCTGTGTCTGTCGTGACGTACCCACCTAAACAAGCCCGCAGAAGAGGCAGAGAGCACTAGTAAACAGTAGTGCGCCCGGTGCAGTCGACCTTGCGCTGAAACCATCTTATTCGCCCACGATTGGGGCCAAAAATGCTGTGACGAATGCGCCGCCCCGCCCAGGGCTGGTCCGAGTATGCAAGGACATTGGCGATGACGATTGCCACGCTTTTCCCAGTATGTGTTCAAATGTAGTTTGTATGTGTATGGCCGTTGCCAAGATGCTGATATACGACCCGAACATGTTCGGAGGCCGAAAGCTAACTGGAGCTAAATCCGAGTCAAGAACGGAACATGTGGTCAGGTCGGAGCAAGCTTGATAATTCCGGGGGTCCATTTTTATGCCACTTTATCCGTTCCTGCTGCGTTGTAAACAAAGGCTAAGATGGACAGAGCCGGACTTAGGGTTTGAGTTGTCACGTTTGTGCAACAAAGACTCGTACCATTGTGTACCATTGTAATCGAGACAGCCTGCCAAGCGAACGACACTTTGGCAAACAAATAATTACGCCTCGTGTAACCCGACGAGGATGTAGTGCTATTAAGCTCTGCGCCACGGACAGAGCGGAACCACGTGTCGTCCGCCGTATCCCGAAAGTAAGACAGGACTCCGCTCCAATGAGAGTTCATACGTCCGTTTTGTATGGTCCTAGTAAGTTTAGGATGTAAATGCTGTCGGACTCCTGGTATAGAGTACCCTGTTCGGAATACTGAAAGTGGTTCGCATAGAACCCTAAAAGCTGGCATACCCTCTCATATGCGGTAATTGTGCTCTTGAAATTATCGAGAGGGTGATATTGCTACACGGTGGCGATGTTGGTGTATGAGATCATTGCTCACCCCCGATCTTGTATACGTCTTAGCAGTTCATGGACAAGCAACGAAGCTGGCATGCGAAACATGAAACAGGAACAACGGTTGTTTTCTCCATGTTAAAATAAAACAATTTCCAAGTAAAATCCCATTGTAACTACTTATGGCAGACTGCGTCATAGCAGCGTCACCCGTACAGGAACAAGAGGCTGTTATGTCACAGATCGTCAACCCTGATGGCCTCGATCTTATTTATTAATATCTTCATGGATTGTTACTCCAGTCTAAGACCAGATGCACAATGTTCGAAATAGGTGATCAGAACGACTGCGTCACCTTCAACCAGTATGCCCAGCGCTGCTCGGGCATGGCACCCTGCCGGAACTGCCGCCATCGCCTGGCCGAGCATGGCACCCAGCCCGGCGGTGTTCAGATAGATTCCGAGTACTATAAGAAGCTGCTCAGCGATGTATTCCGGCTAATCCAAACGACCGACGAAGCAGGCATTCAACCTTTCCTAGAGCTCGTCCGGAACGGGGCCACATTCCCAGAAGCTCGCTGCTATCTCGACGAGCTGTCACAGGGCCTACCAACACCAGAAGCAGCATCGAGCGAGTCTCTACGACAGGTGAGACTACGAGCTGGATACGAGCTGGAGAGCAGTACGCCGCCGTTACGATCCAAGGTGATGGATGTTCACTACCTGTGTGATTCTGCGCCGGTGAAAGTACCCGCGCAGCCGTGGACGACGGTTACAGATGACGATGCGCTGGTGTCGCATTTGATCTCGCTTTATTTTACATGGGACTATCCGTTTTATGCGTTTGTGGATCGCGAGATCCTGATTAAACATATGCAGGCGGGGAATCTGCAGTCGGACTTTTGTAGCCCGTATCTTGTTAATGCGCTTCTTGCTAATGCTTGTGTATGTCTTGGTTGAGATATTCCAGATACAGTAGCTAACGGCGATAGCACTACTCACACTACTCCGAGGCGTATACGGTGCCCGGGGACGTGAAGACGAAAGGCACGGACTTCCTAGCAGAGGCTGAGAGGCACATGAAGAGCAGCCACTTTGAGAGAGGATCCATCGTGCGGCTTGCGTCGCTGCAAGCCACGCTGCTACTGTATGAAAGGTGTGCTATCTGATTAGACTACATAGGGTTGCACTTTGTGCTCATGTCTGCAGATATTCCATGGTGGGAGACGATGATAAAGGGTATATCATGCTCAACCAGGCGATTGAGATGGCCGAGGCGCTGGGAATCATTAACCGCCCCGAGCTGAACCTGAACCGCTCGTTTATGTCGGAGGATATGATTTCGTCTGTCAAGCGGACTGCGTGGGGAGTATTCCAGATTGATACGATTGTGCATACGAATTTCCTGCGGCCGAGCCTGGTGACTGATGTCAGTATTGAGCAGATCGACCGGGATGAGTCGAAGCCGACGGACATGTGGGTTGCATATCCTTTAAGCAAACCGGACAGGCCGTCGTGGCTCAGCCAGGCGTTTGACGAAGCGTGCCGTCTGTCATATATCGCTCGGGATATGTCACGGACACTGAGTCCAAGATCTGATCCGGCTGGGAATACGCCAGAGAAGAAGCTGGATCTATATAACAAGCTGCGACAGTGGGAGGCCAATCTGCCAGCGACATTTATGCCGAGAGAGAGGCCAGCACCGCATATACTGTTACTACTGTTTGTATACCCATTCCCTACTCCTTCTCTGGCTAACGATCAGGATGCGATACCATGCGCTGCTCATAAACCTCTACTGCGACTGGTTCGACGGCAAGCCTCCATTCAACACCATGACAGGACAAATCGCCCAAGAACCCTCCACCCGAATCGCAGACACCGGGGCACTGTCAATAGCCCTATCCTCAGCACGAGAAATCGCCCTCCTCGCCCGCCTGCACAACGACGAATTCGGCATGGAGCGCGCCCACCAGTTCGCCATGTACGCCATCCTACTCGCCCTATTCGCCTTCCTCGAACAGCAATCCTTCAACGTGCTCGACAACGACTTCCTCTCGCTGACCAGTACATTCTCGGGCATTGCCGCACGCTCGCCCATCGGCATGCACCTGCTCCATATCTTCCGGCACTCGGTGAAATTCCGGCTGCAGTGCGGCAAGTGGGAGAGCTCGGTGGGAGTTCCTGCGGAGGTGGACGAGATGTTCTTGAAGAATACGGCGCCTGAGATTCCGGGGAGGTGGAATCGCTGTGTGGCGGGGCTGCAGCGGTTGGCGGATAGGGGCGAGTATATTGGTAGTCTGGATGGGGGGTGGCAGGGGCATGCGGCGTCGGGGATCAATGAGATGCTGCGCAAGTATGAGAGGCTGAGTGTTGGCAAGGCGGACGAGATGCTTGGACGGGGTGAGTCGAGTGGGTTTGGGTTCTCAGAGTAAACAACTGTATAACTGTATAACTACAATATAATTGTATAATTGTATAATTGAAATTGTATAATGCACCCAGACTACTTTAGCTTCGAGTCCAGGCCCCAAATGTCTCACTCCGGCCAATCGGCAGCCGCTGATCTTCATGCGCTGTGCTGCAAATCCGGGCCGGACCAAGTGTTAATAAGGCTTACGATAACTAACTTGGTTAACTAACTAGTAATTAACTAACTGCTGCTAAGTGAGCTGAGCTGAGCTGAACTGAACTGACTCCCCTCCATCCCCCATGGACAGGCCCAAGAACATCCGCATAGGCTCAACAAAAGTCCGCACGGGCTGCACCGTGTGCAAGTAAGTAGTAAGTTCTCGACCCTCCACTGAACACCTACTGACTAAATCCCAGAGCCCGCCGGATAAAATGCGACGAGGCAAAGCCCGCCTGTCGCAACTGCACCCGCTCCAAACGGACCTGCAGCTTCACCACCAGCCCGCAAGACCCCAAATCCAACCTGCGCATCGTCGTCTACACGCCCCGCGCAACCTTCGCCACAACCGGCGCCGAAAAGCACTCGCTGGACTTCTTCCTCGCCCAGATGCGCTCCCGCTTCCCCATCCCCTTCTCCCAGCCCGTTCTCCAGGCCGCCCACCGCGAGCACGTCCTCGCCCACGCCGTCATCGCCCTCGGCGCAATGCAGCAGGTGTATGAGTACGACGACCCCTCTGCAATCGGCACCTGGAGCCCCATGACCCAGTTCGCGATGCAGCAGTACGGCAAGGCCCTGCGGTTCCTGCAGGATAGAGTGACTCTGCACGCCCGGGGGCTCGCCTCAGCCCAGCCTGATCTCATCCTCATCTCGTGTATTTTTTTCGCCTGCTTCGAGTGTCTCCGCGGATCGAACCAGGCTGCCATTATCCATATGCGGTCTGGGCTGAATTTGCTAAGGGAGTATGAGTCGGATCCGCGGACGGGGTCTCTTGTCCCGAAACGCACGATGCGCTCGCTGTTTACGAGGCTGGATAATCAGCTTATTGAGATGCGCGGGAGTAGTCTGAGTATGACATCTCAGGATAGTTTTGAGGTTGTAGCGCATGACCCGGCTCCAGGTGATGATGTGCATGATGCGCTGAATAGTTTGTGGAACCATATCCTGCATGGAATGTTAGATTCAGCACGGGCTGTTGCAAAGGGAGAGTCACCGGGGGATGCGATTACGACGCCGCAGAATGATGTCAAGACGAATATGAAGAAGCTGCATGACAGCTTTATGCGAGATCCAATAGCTTACGGGCTGGATTATGGGCAGGACCCGGATATCCTGCGGATATGGTTCTTGCTCTCGCCTATGCTGTTGACGGCGCATACGTGGGATCCGGCGGATGCGTGGGGGCCGCATAATGATAACTTTGCCAGGATTGTTGCCTTGGCGGAGGGGTATCTTGCGCGGTGTGCAGCCAGCCATCCAAGTAGGAAGCGGACATTTGGGTTTTCTCTCGGGGTTGTGCCTCCTCTTGTCTTGACGGCGACGCGGTCAAGGGATCCGGATGTGCAGCAGAAGGCGCTGTACTTGCTGTCTATATGTAATCGGCGAGAGGGGATCTGGGACTCGAAGCTGGCGGTGCAGTTTGCGAGCAAGACGATTGAGCTGGATAAGTCTGTCAGCAACCAGTCGAGCGAAGAGCAGGCGGCTATACGACTGAAGAACCGGGCCGCGACGTTTGATGATATTCTTGTGGATGATGAGGATGTACCACAGCCGGAACCGGATCTGAAGGAGGAGGAATAGGTCATAGGCTGTATCCAGTGTATATTCGTCATTTGGTCATCTCCTTTTGGACTGTGGAACAACTGCTCCATTATGTATATATGGAGAGAATAAGGATTTATAGCCGCTGAGAGTTGAGTTCGCGTTTGTTTGCTTGTACGACGTGACTTGTATAGGCAGTCTATGCTGCCCATCCAATTTGGATTGTGTAGCCTCGACAACAGACAGAACTTGATTCAATTCCCTCATTTGTAGAGACCACCACACTGTAGTCCCATCCAATAGAAGTACATTATACTGTGGCTATGGATGCACTGCGCCTAAACGCAGGATGCCATTTGTGGTTAGCCCGATCAGCCTGCATGACGAGGCTGTTTCTTTCTTTTCTCTCTTCCTTCCTTCACTCTCTTTCTCCTCGCCTCCTCTTTATCCCATTAATGTCTTTGCCGACAATGCTCCTTCATAGACACCAAATTCCAGGATGAAACGACACCGGCCCCGTGCTCAAGACTTCACAGTCGGCTGGATCTGTCCTCTTCCGCTCGAATACGCCGCTGCAAAAGACGTCCTCGATGAGCTGTACGACGAGGCTGAATACGCGACCGGTCGCATCCACAACCATGAGGTCGTCATCACCTGTCTTCCTGCGGGCCAAATGGGCACAAACGCTGCTGCCGCGGCCACGGCAAAAATGCTTGCTGCCTTTCCAAACGTAAAAAATGCGCTTCTCGTGGGGATAGCTGGAGGTGTACCAAGCAACCAGGCAGACATCCGCCTTGGTGACGTTGTTATCAGCCAGCCCAATGGACAATATGGCGGAGTAGTCCAGTATGACTTTGGGAAGACCATTCCCGGTGGGTTTCAGCGCGTGGGCTCTCTCAACGCCCCCTCTCACGACCTGCTCACGGCTCTGTCGAAATTGAAGGCGAATCCGGCTGCTGCTAGGCATGCCATCGACGCAAGTAAAACCTACCAACCTCCATCTAGCACCGACGTCCTTTTCCACGCCTCCTACGACCATGTCCAGGGAGAAACGTGTGCCCAGTGCCGTGAGGATATGCAAATCGAGCGGGTGCCGCGGGTTGGGGGTTCAGAAATATTCTTCGGTACTGTTGCCTCTGGCAATCAAGTGATTAAATATGGTACGACCAGGGACGGGACTAGCTCTAAACTGGATGGAGTTCTGTGTTTCGAGATGGAGGCTGCTGGTGTGGTGAACTTGGTGCCCTGTCTCGTCGTTCGAGGCATCTGTGACTACGCAGATTCACACAAGAACAAGACATTCCAACCGCTCGCAGCAGCTGCCGCTGCCATGTGTGCGAGAGAAATTCTTTCCTATCTGCCCTGCAAACCAGCCTTGAGGAATGAACAACAACAGGCTCCTAGTGGACCAGTGCCGACGGAAAACCAATGTGATACAGAACCCCACCACTACAAGGCGTCGCTAGCACAAAGACAGATTTATATGGAGTCGCTTAGATTCGACCAGATGGATAGCCGGCACGCGACAATTAAGATGGCACATGCAAAAACTTGTCGGTGGCTGATGAACTGTCAAAAGCACCAGGATTGGCTAAACCCCGAATGTTTTGATCAGCATCACGGATTCTTCTGGATAAAGGGGAAGCCAGGGGCAGGTAAATCTACACTGCTGAAGTTTGCTTTTTCGCAGGCCAGAAAACGGATGGGAGACGTCAATATTGTGTCTTTCTTCTTCAATGCGCGCGGCGAGGCTTTGGAGAAGACGGTGTTAGGGATGTACCGGTCTCTTCTTTGGCAGCTACTTGAACAGTTGCCGGATCTACAGGCAGTATTCGACACATTGTCAGTTAATGCAGGCCACTGGAATTCCTATAACTGGAGTATCGAAACCCTAAAGGATCTCCTCTGCACAGCGGTTGAGGGTCTTCAAAATCGCTCTGTCAAATGCTACATTGACGCCCTTGACGAGTGCAAACAAGAAGAGGTCCAAGATATGTTATCGTTCTTCGAACAATTGGGCGAAATTGCAGCATCCAACCGACTTCGGTTCCTTGTCTGCTTTTCAAGCCGCCACTATCCTCATATTACCGTTGACAATAAAGTTGAGCTGGTGCTGGAAAATCAAGGCGATCACCACACAGACATCTCCAATTACGTGAATGCGGAGCTCAAAGTAGGCAACAGCAGGCAGGTTCTACAGATGAAAGAAACAATTATCAATCGATCATCGGGAATTTTCTTGTGGGCAGTACTTGTCGTACGTATACTCAATGAGGAGTATTCCCGTGGACATGCCCACACTCTCAAACGAAGGCTGGAGGAGATACCAGATGGATTGAATTCGTTATTGCAGGATATCCTCACAAGGGACAACAACAATATGGCAAAAACGCTACTTTGCCTACAGTGGATCCTATATGCGGAACGGCCCTTGACGCAAAAAGAGCTTTATTTTGCTATTTTAGCTGGAACTGAGTCCCCAGAGTTCCTTGCAGATTGGACAGCAGACGAAGCAGATATTGACGAAGAAACTTTCAAAATATCCATGCTCGATTCTTCTAAAGGGCTAGCAGAAGTCACCAAATCCAAAAAGAACTCCACAGTACAGTTTATTCATGAGTCTGTCCGTGATTTCCTTCGGGATGAGGGCCTCAGCAATCTCGAAGTTGGCGGTATTGCCCCAGGATCCAGTCACGACGCGTTGAAAATCTGCTGTTTGAAGTATGTAAACATTGATTTGTCGTCACGTTTACCGCATTTCCAAGATATTCCACGAGCCAAATCCCCAGAGGCGAGCCGTCTTATAGAAGCTGTATCTCGGAGTTATCCTTTCCTTGAGTATGCCGTGCAGAATGTGTTCCATCACGCAAACATTGCGGCCGAGCATGGGATGGCGCAGGGACTGTTTTTAGCAGGGTTTCCCACTGCCAGTTGGATACTGAAGAATAACATGTTTGAGAAACATCAAGTACGCCGGTATACCTCATATGCAGACAAGGTGTACATCTTAGCAGAGCATAACTGGTTAAAGCTCCTTACGATCGAGTGCTCTACGGGCTCTCCAGTAGTTGATTCGGGTCAGCGATACAAGCATCCTGTATGTGCTGCTGTTGCTGGTAGCCACGACGAAGCTGCATGCACCCTTTTGACATATGACACATCCTTGAGAAGTGACTTGGATCGGCAGCGGGTGAACCATATGTCACTCCTCGTAGCTGCGTCACAGAAAGCGTGTGCAGCTACTGTAAAGGTACTACTTCAACATGGCGCCAGCGTTGACGGCAAAGATAGGGACAACAACACGCCGCTCTACTACGCGTCTATATCCGGCTCCGAAAAAATAGTAGGGATGCTACTTCAACATGGCGCCAGCGTTGATGGCAAAGATAGGGACGAAGACACGCCGCTCTTCTACGCGTCTAGATTGTGCCACGAAGGAATTGTAGGGATGCTACTTCAACATGGCGCCAGCGTTGACGGCAAAGATAGGGACGAAGGCACGCCGCTCTGCCAGGCGTCCTTGAAAGGCCACCAAGGAATTGTGAAGATACTACTTGAGCATGGGGCTAGAGTTGACGGCAAAGATAGGGACAACAACACGCCGCTCTACTTCGCGTCTAAATTCGGCCGCGAAAAAACTGTAGGGATACTACTTCAACATGGCGCCAGCGTTGACGGCAAAAGTAGGGACAACGACACACCACTCCACGAGGCGTCTATATCCGGCCACCAAGCAATTGTGAAGATGCTACTTGAGCATAAGGCTAGCGTTGACAGCAAAGATGAGGAGGACAAAACCCCGCTTCTCCGTGCCGCAGAAGCAGGGTTCGAAGGGGTCGTAAAGATACTGCTCGAAAGCAACGCGAACGCAGAGCTGTTTGATAAAGAAGGACGAACACCCCTTTCCTTCGCATCAACACCTAGCGTTACCAGGTTGTTACTTGAATCAGGTGCAGATCCAGAGTCGCGAGACTACCAGGGACGGACTCCCCTTTTCCATGCCATCTTGTCAGGCACTACACCGAAAATGTGTCTCCTACTTGACAGTGGTGCGGCGCTGGAATCAAGGGATAATTATGGGCGCACGGCACTTTCTCATGCTGCCCGTCACAACGCTGGCCTTGAAAAAATCAAGGTTCTGCTTGATCGAGGTGCAGATATAGAATCAACGGACTATGAAGGGCGAACCCCACTGCTTCTCACCGCGAAGTATGCCTCGCCGGAAAGTGTTAGGATAATGCTTGACCGGGGTGCAAGTATAGAATCAAGAGACCCTAGTGGGAAGGTGCCTCTTTCTTACGCTGCTATCTCTGGAAACTCTGAAACTCTTGAAGTGATGCTTGATCGAGGTGCAGATATAGAATCCAAGGATGATAGTGGTAGAACTCCGCTATCTTATGCTGTCGAATACAACTGCTGTGATACATCAAAATTACTTCTTGATCGAGGTGCAGATATAGAATCACGGGATGACTTCGGGAAAACCCCGTTATTCTATGCTGTCGATTCAAATGACTTCAACGTTACAGTAAAGCTCCTGCTTGATCGAGGTGCAGATATAGAATCAAAGGATGATTCTGGGAGGACCCCCCTATTCCATGCGGCTGTAAAGGGCTACAACTGCGAAAACTGCTATCTTTTGCTTGATAGAGGTGCAGATGTGGGGTCCAGAGATTGTTTGGGGGGTACTGTTCTTCACCACATCGCATCGAGATACATGGTTCATGAAGGCCTCCTGCGGAGACTACTGGCTCTGGGTGCTGATTTGGAAGCCAGAGACAACGATGGACAGACACCGATTGCCATTGCAGGGCGTGAGAATGTCGGCTGCTTCCATTCCCATAGAGTTCTCGAAAAAGCGATGAAAGAGGATTGGAAAGCACAAAGCACTGAAAGGAGTGTGTCATAACAGCAGGAGATAAGTATGGAGTGCCCTTATCTCCGGCCGGTCTCCAGCTATCTCCGCTGGTCTCGGCCCTCTCGGAGTTGCTCTCGGCTTCCCGGCGGTCTCCACATGAAGTTGTATATAAGTATAGAGCTGGAATTGGATACCAAGACAACTCAGAATACTATCCATCACAATAAATCATCAGAATGTCCAAGCTCGTCGTCTTCGGTGCTACCGGCCAACAAGGCCACGCCATCACCACCACCATCCTCTCCCACCCAACTCTCTCCAAGAAGTACTCTCTCCGGGGAATAACCCGCGACGCCAGCAAGCCAAAGCCCCAAGCACTCACAAACAAGGGCGTCGAAATAACCGAAGCAAACCTCGATGACCCCTCTACCCTCCCCGCCGCAGTGCAAAACGCCCACACCGTCATCCTCATCACAGAAACGCAATACGTGGCTGACCTAAAGGCCCGCGAAACAAGACAGGCAAAGGCCGTGGCAGACGCTGCCGTCGCCGCTGGCGTGAAATTCTTCATCTTCAGCACTGCCGTGCACTGCATCGATCTCTGGAATGGAGGCCCCGTGGACCAATTCGACGTTAAAGCCGAGATTGAGAGATATCTCCGCACTCTCCCATTCAAACTTGGCACTGCGTATATCGCCCCTGGGATGTTCATGCAGAATCTGGCGACTGTCATGGCGCCGAGAAGGCAAGAGGATGGGTCTTTTGCTATTGTCGGGATTAATCATCCGAGTACTAAGATCCCAATGATTGACTCGGCGGGGGATTCGGGGGCGTATCTTGTTCCCTTCCTGGAAGATCCAGAGGGGAGTAATGGGAAGACTGTCTATGCGTCGTCGACGATGCACTCGCTTGATGAGATGGCCGGGATTATCTCCAAGGCTTCAGGGGAGAGTGTGAAGTATGTGCAGATTCCGAAGAGTGTATATCAGGGATTTATGAGTGAGGAGCAGGGGGGACGGATGGTTGCGATGATGAGTTTCTTTGATGGGCCGGGGTATTATGGAGAGGGGACTGCAGAGAAGGTTGCTGAAGCGGTGGATCTGGTGAAGAATTCTGGTGGGAAATTATCGAGCTTTGAGGAGTTTGCGGAGAAGAACTTGAAGACTTTGTAGACTGTTATTGTATAGACGGGTTTATATACAACTCGTCATGGTTCTGTCGTATAGCATTCAGCACCCAAGTACGATCCAGGTACATAGTTAGTGACAAATATCCTATCGAACATAAATAAACCCATTACTACCTCCCCGTGCCGATATAAGTTACACAGGAATAGGGTTATTATAATTAAACAACCCATTCGGATCCCACACCCTCTTCAACTCCTTCAACCTATCCAGGTTCCCCCCATACCACGCCTCAGGGCCTTCATTCCCCTGTGCGAAATTACCATACACATGCAGCTCATCAAACCCGCTGGTCCCCTGGAACAAGTCCATCACCTCAGGCATCCACGCATTAATACTATCGTCAAGTTCCGGATCAGAGTAGAAGTTCTCAAACAATCTAAACCATTGCCTTAGCCACTCAAACTTCAGGTATATAGTAAGGAAACATACAAATGAGAAACCGCCGATCTATGCGGATAGGCCGTCGCAGCATCCTCAACCTGCCTTGCAAGCCGATTCGGAAACCGCGCAATGACCGTCTGGCCTGTGTATCGCTGCTCAGACGCCCACAGGGAATGCAGCTGGTTATAGTACTCGATGTATGTATTGATGTCTGTCTGCTTGAGCGAGATGCTCCACTCGTTCATGTACTGCCCCGGGGCGCAGTTGCGGGGGTCTACGGTGTGTGTGTACGACTGGAGATCGGGCCAGGAAAGGGTTCTTTCTTGGACATCGAATGGGGCTGCGTCGTGGAAGGGTTGGATGTAGGCTCTTGCTTCGGAAGCTGGGCCGTAGTAATTTGCCTGGACGGCTATGAAGGGCTGTTATCCACGGTTAAGATAGGTTAGTTAATAAAGGCAGTTAGGGTTAAGGATACCTCTCTTTCCGGACCAATACTCATGGCAATATTAAACGCCAACAAGTCAGGCATATCCTCGTCAAATCCCTGTAAAGCCTGCCAAACAGATCCATTCCGATCCGCGGTATATCGAAAGAAACTCATCGCCACATCCCCGCCATTAAACACATCATGCAGCCGAAACGTCGCAGAGGTGACGATGCCGAAATTCGCACCCGCACCTCGAATCGCCCAGAAGAGATCTGGGTTCTCGGTTGCAGATACAGTTATCAACTCACCTGTCGCTGTAACCAGACGCATTGAGACTAGAGCGTCAATACCAAGTCCGTATAGACCCTGCCACATCCCCACTGCGCCGCCGAGTGCTGCGCCAACGATTCCAACACAAGGACTATTTCCCATAGCCATCATTTTGCCGGCATTGTACATGAGCTCATACGCTTCGCCGTAAGTTGCCCCGCCACCGACGGTGATATACTCATGATCTGGACTGATTTCAACGGCATTGAATTTGCTTAACTGGATCGTGACACCGGTGTCGCTAAAGGCGAATCCCCCGAGGGTCTTTGTAATCCCATGACCGGCGCCTGTGGCTAGAAAGGGGATGTGGTTATTGATTGATGTTTGGACGATGTGCTGGATGTCTGCTTCTGTTGCTGGGATTATGGTCCCGTAGGAGCTGGGTGGACGGTATATAGTGTATCGGGGCGTTGTTTCGTTGCGGAAGTCGGTGTCGGTGGTGTATACTATCTCGGCACCAGGGGAGAGGTTGGTGTATATGGCTGTTAGGTTTATGGCTGCTGCTTCAAGGGCTAGCAGCGCGAGGGAGAGGATTAGTTTTCGCATGGTGAGGTAGGATGTCGAAGGAGGTAAGTCAAGTACATGTCCAGTTATAGATACCAAGTCTGTATTAGGAGTCTTTATGCTTTATATATCTAGCCATCGCAGAGGATCATGCTGAAGGTGGATATGACCCGTGCCTGTTCTAAGTCTGCATATACGCCGATTCACCCAGGCGTTCATCTAATTAACTTGTCTACTCCAGACGTAAGCTATGTTCCATACAGCATATGCATATAAGATAATCGACCCGATCAGAGGATCACCCTTCTGCCAATCGTAAATCGTCCTCCAAGCCCCCCGAAGCCAAACCTGCGCCGGCATCTCTAGCTTGCTCGGATAGTAAGCAGGCTGAGTGTCAGCTGTCAGCTGCATTGGCATGTGATGCATTTATATAGACGCAGCGTCTATTTAAATTACAAAAGCAGCTGGATTGTATTTTGGGTGAATATATGAAGCTATACGCAGTGCCGGCTTCGAATAAACCAACCCAGCCCTAACTCAAGAAACCACCGGTAACGACTGGAGATCAGCTACGCAGGTATCCGTTCCCATGCACGAACAGAATATCAACCCCACCAGAGTACCCGTGTAACCCCGTGTAACACCCCAGCCATGCGGTCAGCAGGTATCCGATCCTGCAAGCGGGTGGCTTTCGGTGGCTTTCGGTGGCTTTCGGTGGCTTTCGGTGGCTTTCGGGTTCCGACGTCCGTGAGTCTGGGAGGGCCATGCGCCGAACCTTCTTCCTGCAGGGATGGCCCTGGTATTTGGGTTGGGAATCGGATCTGTGCATGGGCGGGGAGTAGTTTAATTCGATGTCAGTGGATGTAGTTTGCTGCTGTATGCTGGCTGACTCGAGTATTGCCTCGCGCTTCGGAGCCCGAAGGGCCGACGTGCATGCAGTCTTGATATAAAGGATCCTTGCCTGTACACAATTGGATAGTGCAGTCTGAGATTCTAAGCGTGGCCATGGCACTGAATACTACGATTGTCGACCTGGCGAGGAAGATTACTGCCGCTGCTGAGGTGATTGACGGCTTCACCACTGAGAATAACTTCAGTCTCTCCTTCGACGCCGACTCTGCTGATCCTGCTACTCTCCATGGCGAGAATGCGCAAGCATACCAGCAAGCCCGGATCACCGCTGTCGAGGCAGCAACCGAAATGAACGCTCTACTATCCGGGAACAACGCTGTCTTTCTCGATCTATGCACTTATGTATGAAAGTACTTGCTTAATATACCTACCTCTCTGACAATGATAGTACCACGCAGCATCCGCCCTGCGAGCGGTCTTGACATTCAACCTCGCCTCGTCAATCCCTTTAACAGGAAGTACAACCTACGAAGCGATAGCCCAGAAGACAGACACCGGCAACCTGGACAAAAAAACAATCCAGCGCCTGTTCGCCATCCTAACAAGCTACCACATCTTCAAGCAGCCCTCGCCCGGACACATCGCACACACCCGCCTCTCCAAAGCCATGCTTACAAACCCCAGTCTCTCCGCCATGGTGCAATTCGGGTTCGAAGAGGTCTACGGCTTCTCATACCACCTCGTCGAGGCATTGAAGAAGTGGGGGCCTAGCGAGGAGCCGAATGAGACTGGGTTTAATGCCTCCACGGGCAGCGAGGCGACGTTTTACGAATATATCGACGAGAAGCGCAATCAGGGCAAGTCCAGCTCGTTTACGGCTATGCTGGAGGAGACGGCGGAGTATGAGTTTTGGGATATGGATGTGGTTGTGCGCGGGTTGGAGTGGGAGGGGGTGGATCTTCTTGTTGATGTACTCTCCTTTCTCTCCTTTCTCTCCTTTCTCTCCTACTTGTTTATATGCTAATTTTTAGGTTGCTGGGTCTGTTGGACACGTCAGCATTGAACTGGCGAAACGGTATGAGCATCTGCAGTTTATAGTGCAGGACTACGACACCGTTATTCGACGAGGAGAGGACGCATTGCCTGCTGAGCTGAAAGACCGGATCAAATTCGAAGCAAAGGATATATTCGAAAAGCAGGAAACTATCCCTGGTAAGAAAGTCGTCTACTTCCTCCGGGCGATCCTGCACAACTGGAGCGACAAGTACGCCCGGCGCATCCTGCAGGCGATTGTGCCAGCCATGAAGCCTGAGGATCGCATTGTGATTAACGAGCAGATTGTCTCGGACGGGACGTCGCTGTTGACGGAGCGGATGGCAAGGTATGCTATCCCCTTGATATAGTTGTGTTGTATTGATGAGAGTAGATTCAGCGACATGACGATGTGGGCTGGGTTCAATGGCCAGGAACGGACAGCAGAGCAGTTCGAGGAGCTGGTCAGGTCAGTGCCAGGGCTAGAGATTGTGCAGATCAGCCCTGGGCTGGGATTGGGGATTGTTGAGATATGCAGTGATGGTGTTCTTTAGTAGTGATGGTGTTCAAGTTGTTGTTGTTGGATAACGCCATCGGCTAAACACTTGCCCGTCAATTACACTCACTCTTAACAATCATCTACTTCATCATTTACTCTACTTACCTTCATCTACTCTACGTACCTTCATCACTCATAATGAAGCTCGCTATTCTAGACGACTACCAGGGCATCGCCCCCTCCCACTTCTCGCACCTCGACCGTATTACCATCACCTCCTTCCCCTCCACCCTCAACCCCTCCATCCCCGCCGAACAAGACAAGCTAATCGAACGCCTGCTCCCCTTCGACATCATCCTCGCCATGCGCGAACGCACCCCCTTCTCCAGAGAAACCCTCTCCCGCCTGCCGAACCTCAAGCTCCTGCTCACAACCGGCACCCGCAACCGCGCCCTCGACTCCGCCTACTGCGCCGAACGCGGCATCCCGGTCGCAGGCACAGAAACACGCCCGCCCGGCGTGAACTCCACCGTGCAGCACACCTGGGCGCTAATTCTTGCCCTCGCGCGCCATGTGGCCCGCGATGACGCAGCGGTTAAAAGGGGCGGGTGGCAGGGATCGCTGGGGACGACGCTGGGAGGGAAGACGCTGGGGCTGGTGGGGTTGGGCAAGCTGGGGGCGGCGGTGGGACGGATTGCGATCGTGGCGTTTGGGATGGAGGTGATTGCGTGGTCGGCCAACCTCACGCAGGAGAGTGCGGATGAGCGGGCTGAGGCATTGGGACTGGAGAAAGGGAGCTTTACTGTTGTCGAGAAACGGGAGTTTTTCGGGCGGGCGGATGTGGTGAGTCTGCATTATGTGCTGTCGCAGCGGAGTCGCGGGGTGGTGGGGAGGGACGAGTTGGCGGCCATGAAGAGGGACGCTCTGCTGGTGAATACGAGCAGGGGCGGATTGGTCGATGAAGAGGCCCTGCTGGAGGTGCTAAACAACGGGGGGATTCAGGGCGCGGCGCTGGACGTGTTTGAGCCGGAGCCGCTGCCGGTGGACAGTCCGTGGCGCACGACGCCGTGGGGGCACGACGGGCGCAGTGAAGTTATCCTGACGCCGCACATGGGATACGGCGACGAGCAGATCCACGGCTGGTACGACGAGGTTGCGGCCAATGTGGAGCGATGGCTGAATGGGGAGGGCCTGCATTGTTTACTGTAGCTGTCTATTAACTGTCAATAACTGCATGTGGAAGAAGTGATGCCTCGGATAGAAGGATCCACCATCGGAGCACTGAGGAATGCGGTATACACTTCCGTTTGCGTTCCTCGGTATCTTTAACTTAATCTCTCTTAATCTCTCTTAAACTCGTCATTCCCTTCTCTCATTCCAGTCCCCCATCCCCCCCTCCATTCCCCCCTCCATCCATTCCTGTCGGTCAATCCGCTGTTGTCGCCATGCCCATCGCAGTACAGCCCACCGAGCCGCCAACAACGGCATCAACAGCTCCATCACCACCAACCCACCCCGGTCTCCTCCGCGTCGTCCGCAGCCCCAAAGCCTTTGCCAGTGGCGCCATCTCCGAAGTCTCTCTCCCCGCCGGCGCCGTCTTCGCCAAAATCACCACCGCCACCCCCGGGAAAAAGGCCTACACCTCCGTGCAGACCGGCCGCGACAGCCACATCGAGCTCAACTCCGACCTGGTCTTCTGCAACCACTCGTGCGAGCCGTCGCTGAACTTCGACATGGCGCGCATGGAGGTGCGTGTTGTCGACGACCGACCTTTAAAGGTCGGTGACGCCTTGACGTTCTTCTACCCCAGCTCCGAGTGGGAGATGGATCAGGCGTTTGAGTGTACTTGTGGTGCGCAGGGGTGTAAGCGTGTTATCGAGGGGGCCAAGGGGATGAGTAGGGAGGTTTTGCAGGGGTATTGGCTCAATGCGCATATTGAGGAGTTGTTAAAAGAGAGAGATGGACTTTGAATAGAATAGAATTAGAATAACAATTATCTGCTATTGGCAATTGAACTCAGCAATGACTTGATTGCTGCAAAACAACCCGACTTAACCCGAATGCCCTACAAGCCATTTACTCGGTAGATCTGCTGCAATTGCTGTTTCAGTGTATTCGCCGGCCCACGCAGTAGTAGCCAGGAGAGGAATAAAGCACTCGGATTGTCCCTTTACATGAGAGTATGTACTACCGTAGTTCATATACTGTTATAAACACTGTCTCTATTTTGGAAATAAGCAAGATCAACACTCAACATTGGGCTGGCCCTGGCCCTAGTTTGCCAACGTATAGCTTTATACTCAGGTACAGGTCACACAAGAACCCCTGAAGCGAGAGAATAAAAATAAGGAGACGAATAGGACCCTCAGAAAAGACAAAGGGACGAAGAGAACCAGACCTCACTCCAGGGTGCCGTAGGGGGACAGGATTATCTTGCAGGGAGCCCATGCGTACTGAACAGCTAAGCATAAACAAATACGAGAAACGCGTTCCTTGGGACCCATCTGAGAGGGCACTAAAACAAGGCTTACATGGACTCATCACCGCTCACCTTCAGACAAATCATGCAGATCACGGCTCGATATGCATCTTCCTCATTCCCACAAGCAAGTCAACGATGCAGGTTCTGGTTATGAGATGACAACTCAGCTTGCGGATAGCCGACGGGACCGAAAATGCCTCTGCACAGCCTCGCCTAGTGTCGCAGACAGGGACTGGTCAGAGAAAGCTGGTCAGAGAAAGACATGCGGAATAATGGGATGAGAATGACGATCGCAGTTGTCCCCTGCAAATGCGAGTATCTGAGAAAGCAGCGCAGGAACAACCACCTATCCACCAAACAGCCCTAACCCACCCAACCAGGTATAATATAAAATACCGACTAAAAATAATGAACAGCAACATGCCCATCCATCAACGCTGACAAATCCTCAATGCAGCAACTCGCAATTACAGCCGAAACCCCAAATGCAATCGAAATATACCACACCTTGTCAAACGCCCCCGCAAAGGCCTCCACCACCGCGCCATGCAGCACCCCCAGCTCAGGGGCACTAAGCATCCCACCAACCCCAGAACTGACAATCCACTCCTTCCACGGCGTCGCTACAAGCGCAGGCATCATCGCCCCTAGCGTCTCGAAATCGTATAACCCGACCTGTAAGGCGGCGGGGACAACGGTGTTGTATGTATTCGCCGTTAGGGCGGAGGTGAACTGGGTGTAGAAGATGCTTGTGCCGATGACTTGGCCTACGGCGCGGAGACAGGCTGTGAGACAGGTTGCCGTTGCGATGAGGGAATCTGGGCAGATGACTGTGATGATGATTTGGTTTGGGATGAGCACGCCGCCGATTCCCAACAGGCCGAAGATTAGCGGCGCCCAGGCTGTGGAGATGTTGTGCGGGTTTATGGCGGCCATGCTGCCGATTCCTAAACTATTATCAGTACTGGGTAAGCTAAGTTTTAGAAATTGACGTACCAACAACTTGTATAATGCAGAAGAAGGTCATTATTGTGCGGACGTGGCCTTTGAGCTGGGAGACCATGATGGCTGAGATTATGGCGCCGCCGGCGATGCAGAAGCCGTAGGGGAGAGTCCTGATACCGAGCTCTGTCTGGTCTGAGTTGTAGATGCTGACGGCTTCCAAGACCCAGAAGATCAGGATAGACACGTAGTTGATTCCCGCGAGGAGGATGACGACCATCAACGCCGTGAACGTGCGCGGGCGCTGCAGCAGAGAACCAGGGAACATCGGATACGGGGCAAAGAACTTCTCATATGCCAGAAAGGCAAGGAGGAGTGCGATTCCAAGGGTTAGGAATGAAATGACCCGGCCAGAGCTCCAAGGGTACTGCTGCCCGCCCCAGTTGATACCCATGAGAAGCAGGATAAGACCGCAGGTCATGATGAGTCCACCCAAAAAGTCGATTCGTTTGACCTTTTGTTTCCACGTCAGGCCTGATACATTCTTTAATGCCATCGGGGGCGGGTTGTAGAAGATGCCGATGATAACGGCCGTGATGAAGTTCCAGATCGCAATGAAACAAGCGCAGTATCGCCAGCTGGACTGGGCGATTAGGGCTCCGTAGAGCGACCCCGGGGCGAAGGGGAGGAAGCTCGTCACGATGATGGCAATGTAGTATCCCCTGTGCATGGTTGGGACGATTTCAACAATCGCTGCAATGGCCATGAGTTCCTGCACTGCGATGCCGATTCCTGTAAAGGCCTGTCCGGCGAGATATCCAGCTGCATTAGGCGTCGCAGCAGCCAGGATCATGCCGACCATTGCGGACAGAACACCCGCTATTGTTATCGTCTTTCGCCCGAACAAGTCTGCCAGTGACCCTGCAAAGGGTGCAATGACGCCGCTGGCGATTTGCTGGGTACAGAAGAACCAGACCAGCAGGTCTGAGGCACCAAAGTCTGCGGAGACCCGGGGGATGATGGCGGCGAAGAGGAGCGGTTGGATCTGCGAGCCGACAAAGGCCATTCCAAAGCCGACCAGGATCATGATGAACCTGATGTCCGAGAGCTGGCAGAGTTAGCGGCGCAGCAGTTATTGGTGACGGTAATACCTTTGGTCTGTGGCTGGCCTCGGAACCGATGTCCTCCACGCTGGCATTGTCGCACTGCACTTGGGTCTTCCCCCTGTCGCTCATGGCGAGGACTGTCGTGATCGTCTTGGGCGTCATGTTGTATATCAGATATGAACCACAAGTAACGAGGCCTGGGCTCGGAGTTTATAACCACGACAAGTCCAAAGACTAGCCAGGGGCAGCATAAATATACTGCTTAACAGATAAGACGCCGAATTGTAGCAGAGTGTCATGTTGAAACAAGCTTAAACTCCTATTGTTCCATCGTCGATCATCACAGCTACATGTCCGATCTGCGTGATCGCCGAGAGATACCTGAAACAGGGCAAAGGTGTTCCATCGTGAGACGCGAGATTCTTAAGTGATACTCGTAGCGAACGAGGGCATGGAGCTTAGACTCTCAGTTTTAGATGTTCCAATCCTTTTGATATTTATTTCCTGGTTGGCCCACTGGTCGTGCCGAATTCCCGCACGGAGATTGAGTATAAGGGAATCGCAATATGTGAGCTCGTTATTATACTAGCTATAAGGCTTCTTGCTGTTGTTCAATTCATTGGAAGTGCCTTAGTCTGTTGCATTCACGTTCTTTGACCACTTACTGGTCAAAGGCCCTTGTCCAGCATGTCTGTTGAATATATAAATCCTGCCTTATACTTACAGAAACCAACCCACCATTGCAGAAGAACGACCAAAACTGCAGACTTCTCAAAGGTGTTTTGGAACAGAACAAATTATTCTGCTCTCATAGTATCCGGAGAATCGAAATTATAGTAAGGAAAATGTCGCCCATCAGGTTCCTGCGCAATGCCATGGAAAAGATATGCGACATCTTCAGTACTGAGCGCGAGATGTACCCGTCGACTATGGCGCTCAACGAGGCGAGGAGAAACCCAAAGAAGTATTCCGGTACGCTCTAAACCTTCCATGACTTATCCTCGTATTAACAAGAACTTGACAGGATATTCCGAGTTCGCAAAAATGCTAGCTGCCTCCGGGGCCCTGCCTATCGTGCGACGGTTCGACAGGCTGTCACTCCGTGTCATGCTCCGTCTCCAAGACGAACTCACCAAGATCGAGGAGCAGCTTGACGCCATTGACAAGACCCAGATGTCAAAGGAGGCCCCTCAGGATATCAACAACGGGACCTTTCGTGCTGACCCTGTGCCAGAACGTAACAGTCTGTTGCAAAATGCACATGGAAAGCTGGAGCGTTACCGTTTGTATACCCGTCAACCCCACTTGAATGAGCCTTTGCTAACTATCAGGGTATTTTGTAGATCGCTTCATGCACAAGTACAGCAAGTTACTGGCTTTGGCCGAGCCGCATCAAGGCGCCATCAACAACCTCCGTAACTGGATTGACCAGAATTCGCGGTGGGATACGATTGACGGTGAAGACCAGCTTGTGGATGGGCCGATTAACAGCGAGGAGCTGGAGTTCCTAAACGGCCCAGATCTCATCCCTATAGTACCCGACCAGCGCAGCCCCTTTCGCAAGTTCATGAATAGATCGGAATTGCTTCGTCGGTCAAAATTTCTCCAGACGGAAATTCCCGACTCCCTCAAACCAAATGTGGATGATGGGACGTTGATACTTACCGATGATGCAAAGCTGTTGATGTCCGAGAAGGTGCTGAGTGGCCTCGTTGGCCTTGTTATGCTGGTCTTGCCGATGTGGGTGCTTCCACTTTTTGATGGCTTCTATCCTGAGGTTGGTATTGTTACGGCCTTTGTCTGCACCTTTTGCTTTATTGTTTGGGCTTCCACCACGGCTAGACCATATGAATCTCTGGCAACGCCGGCTATGTAAGTTGATGCATTTGTGGTTTAATGCGATGTGGCTGACTGTTTGATCTTAGGTATGTTGCTTTTCTGGTGTTGTTTCTGCTGGCAAAGGAGAGGTCTTGAATGGATCTAATCAGCCTGGAGGTACTGGAATATCATTATTGGCAATTATCTCGTGTCTGGAAGATGAAGAGGTATGGTGTAAACGTATCATGTTTATCAAAAATGAAACTTTGTTGTTATAAATATATTTATGGAATGCGGTTAACCCATCTATTGTAGAAAGGACCTTTAGAAGACTACTAACATTATAAACTATTGAGGCGTAGTTTATACCTCTTTATATAAATATCAGTCAATCTGGCAATTGTGGCGTTCCCTCCGGGTAGTATTGTAATCTCTCTCTGGTGATATACATCATCAAACAAGACTAGAATTATGGGAGTGGATTAAGAGCTACGGGGTGGCAGGGGGAGAAAAGAAAGTAGTCCATTCTAAACAGATTGGGGGACCTCTCATATTAGAAGTTTAATTCTTTAGTCTCGTATAAAGGTATAATATTGACATCTGGTGCTAAAGGCGCATGTCTACGAACCTGGATGAGAATGTTAATCTCCCCAAAGGGAAACCAGAGAGGGGATCCACGATAAACATGCATTTTGCCCCACTGGTTCGGCAAAAGATGAATGTCAAGAATAATGACCTTTGAATGAAAGGGCTTTGACCTTCGGGTGCCTGGTATGGATGACGCTTTGACAGGGACGGTCGTTGTCTCTATCAAGCCCTCGCATACTTCCATAAACGACAGGAAGTAACAACAATAACAGATAAGTACATTATTTCAGGACACAAAGGACTAGCAAGTTTAAATACAGATAATTGCTCCAGGGAACCTGCAAACAGGTGATGGTACTGTATAATAACGAAGACTGTAAATATCCCATTATTCAACGAATAGATTGGACGGACATTAGTCAACATAAGAAATGCCTTTCGCGTGCTACGCGGGATATATACGAGACGCTTAATCTGTTTGACTCTTACGATCTCGAAACTCAGCACTTGTTACATAGACCAGGCCCAGGAAGCAAAGTGGAAGGATGAAAGAGAACAAAGTCCGTTGGAAGGGTGGAAGATCAAAGAGAGAAGGACATGAAAGAGAACTTCAATAATATGACACATTCATTGCACACTAAAGGCAGTAGCTCTATACGGAAACAGTCATCTCAGACTACAAAAGACCACAAAGGGTCTTCAAAGGCGAATCTCTTACGCCAGGGTTGCCATTAGCGTTTGATGAAACTTCGTCGTTGTAATGGCCGAAATCACGAGAAGCCCATTGACAGCCTTCGAATTATCTTTGGAGTCATCCTGGTGGGAAAAACGCTCTGCTAGACTCTCTTTTAATATGGCAGATTAAATATCCTCTCTCTTCACATGAAGAGCGAGCATGAGCACGGCAGCGTATCTAGAGGTTGAGTCAGTCACATTACTTGGAATACACACAAAAAACTTACCCTGTAGTCACGCCCAGCGCATTTCCAGGCTTTATATTTGTGCCCGCCAATACAAGGACAAAGCACACAAAAATGAAGGATGTAATGACACCGACTTTGGACTGGTGTGTTTGGACAAGCTGGATGCTCCACAAGGGGCCAACCAGCATCAGAAGGCCAATGAGGCCTGTAACGATCTTATCCAACCGATCCAAGCCATTATCATCTGTGAGGACCATCCCGCCATCCTCCACGCTTGACTTCAGGGAACGTGGAACCTCTTTGCGGTACCAGCGGGACAAGTACGAGTCTCCATCCCGCTCAAACAGATAGCGGAGTGGGGACCTTTTCTCGGGAACAATTGCAAGAAGGTCGGGCGCCTCAAGGAACTCAACCTCTTGCTCTTCGATTGGCCTTATCTTGGGTGTCCGCGTATTCTCCGGGCTGCCCTGCCCATCCCATTGCGTGTTCCAGTCAATCCAATCCCGGATGTTGCTCACATCTCGATCAGTAGGCTCCGGCCAATCTCGCAGCTGTGCGTATTTATGAACGAATCGATCTAGGTGAAGATTGGTGTTAGCGTATTCCACCTTGAAAGGATGTCCGGGGTAGTGCATACGATATATGTCAAGCTTTTCATACGCGCTCCTGAGCAGAAGCTGGCGCTCTGCTGAGCGGTCGTGCCGGAGAGTGCCGTTATTTTCGCTATCTTGGCCATTTGGCTTCATCATTTCGTCGTCGATATTGTCGATACGCTGCTCGATAATGCTTATCTCGTCCTGTAGACGTAGAATATCTCGGATAACCAGTTTGTCGAATCGACGAAGCATGGGGAAGTTGGGTGCAACCGCCAGGAACTTTGAGAATTCGGGATATCCTGCCAGCTAGTAGTCAGTGCTTTGCGAAGAGACTTGCCGAGGTTAGAGACTGTACCGAAATACTTCTGGGGGTTGCCCATGGCCTGATCAACAGTGATGCTGCCGGGCTCCATATCGTCCGGGTAGGGTTTGAGAATGTAATAAGATGGATTTACGACTAGAGGAAATTGGACATAGGACCAAGGCGTGGGAGGCAAAGAGAAAAGGTATGAAAATGGAAAGGGAAAGGCAGGGAACTTATATACAGGTAGGGCTACACAAGCTGATTCACGGATGGAAGATGACAATCCAATTTTTCGAGCTTTGTCTCCTTTAAACCGTCCTGGTCCAGCTCTCAGGGCTTGAAGTCTGCATCAAACTAGGCCAAGCCTATTCGTTTCTTCTCCCTAAGATAATTTATATCCCACCATCCCCTTCTCTCTCTCCTTCGCAGCTCAGATTTGCCCCACGGGGTAGTCTAGACAGTTTCACCAGCTCATTCCGCCCTATATCTCGTGGATCCCAGGCAAGCGTTCCCCAGTCCCTCCACGGGCACAACTCGACCAGGAAAGAGAATCGCACACAATTCTCCGACAGTCAGAATGGCGGACAAAGGACTGGGCCTGAAAGGGGGTCTAACCAGGACAACACCAACAACGGCGGCGGCGGTGCCCCATCACGACGTGGCACCGGAGGACAAGGCGGTTCTGGTCGCGGAGGAGGTTCCAATGAAGGAAACGACTCCGGCAGCGATACCAATCATGGAGTCGGTAACGACGACGAAGATGAATCCAGCAGCTCGCAAAGTCGGAAGTCCGATGACGAGGATAGGAAACCCAACAAACAAGAAGTGCAAAAGGCCAAACGTTTACTTTGGGAGCGCAAGACACCTGTCAATGGTCAGTCTAGTTCAGCACGGTCCCGTACAGGGGATGCAGAGAATATGATTGAAGGCCAGGGAAAGAGCTATAGGGCCCATACCAGGCGCGCTTTCAAAACGATGTCGAGAAAGACGGCAGATTTGATTGCTAAGGGCAAGGCGAAAGTGAATGGTCATGTTTGATATCCCTCTGACGCTTACAAAGGCGCTGATGTTTCTTTGTCTTGTTTATTCTCTTGGTGGCCTGTGTTTATAGCCTAAACCGTCTTTGTTAACCAATAAAGCACTGTCCTGTTTGTTATTCTTGTCCCTGGTCCATTTATATTATTAACGCAATACAGCCCTTGATATATGTAGCGTACCATGGCACAGTATAATAGACCCAGACCCCCACTTTCAAGTTATAGAATATTAAAATGGCGGTTATCCCATTGCGTAGACAGAACGACAACTCAACATTCGAAACTATTAGTGACACGGACCCAATATGCCGAAACGGACATACAAGGATGTACGAGCAGCAGCAGCGGGATTCGCTCGGATTCTTGATAAATCAGGGGTTCCAAACATACACTTTGGCATGAACACCGTTGGAATTATTGGCAATGATTGTGGGACTAAAGTGAGTCATATTTCCGAACTTCAGGGACGATTTACTGATACTATTGGCTCTACACTAGGACATCGACATCGTTGTAGAGAAAGGCAAGCTTAAGACAGCTATACAGGCCATCACAGACGCTGACTACATCAAATGCACCGACCAGGGCTGTCCTGAGCTTGGGGAGGACCGCCATCCACACTTCGATTGGCTTCCAGAAAACACTTGGGAAGAGGTGAAGGCAAAGTATGATGCAGTATCAGAAGGCTATACGCTACACAGGTTCCACCCCATCGCCGCGGCGCATTTCCATATTCCGCGGGGTTATATCGTGTCGCTGTATCGCAAATCCCATTTGCTTTGGTGGCTTCGTGAGATCCCTGCCGGAGCAATGGCTCCGGATGATCCTGATATTGTCCATTCGACCGACTCAGCACGTCTTCCGCAACCAGGACTTGTACCGTGGCCCGGCCCTATTGATGAGGCTCTTTCAGTATATTCATTGGGCCAGGGCTACGGGCCATGGTCTGAACGATACCCCGTGAAAGTATTAAGCCCAAGAGCGCATGTTGAGGCTGTGATCCTGTTGCTTTGCCGGGACTTCCACGTGGAGAGAAGAATTGATTTCAAATGGTTTTGTATGCTCTGTAATCTGGGAGAGAGAAAGATCGGTACGCAGTGTGGTGCTCGTTATAAGTTAAAGGACGAGTTCCAACCCTTCTGGGACCAGTTTCGCGGCCATGTCCAGGTAGCGGACGACGCGAATATTTTTGCTCCGTTATTCAATCTTCGCGACCAGCTGATTGCAGAAGGCAGGCTCCCTGACCTGCCGCGAGGCAACCCTGAGACTGGGATCCTCTATCGTTTCGAATTGACCAACGGTTACTGGGACCGCGGTGACAAGCGTCGTGGATGGGTTTTCTACAAGCTTCGCTTACCCAGCGAACCCAGGTTGTCAAAGCCCCTTGCGAGGCCCTGTTTCGAGGTTAGTCTTCCATTATTGTTTTCGTAGTGATTCGTTGTCTTTTTGTGGTTGTAGACAGCATATCTTTGACCCACAAGCTCTATATCCCCACCAAACTTTTATTTTCCCTCTGTTCCCTTCTCCAGTTCATCCAATTATCTAATTATCCAATCATCCAATCATCCAATCATCCAAATTCCCCTCTGTTCCCTTCTCCAGTTCATCCAAATCATCCAAATCATCCAAAGTCATCGAGAAATCCCAACCACCAAAATGCCAACCTGGCGCCCCTTGACCCCCAACGATATCGCCGGCCTAATGCAGGTCGCAAATGAAACCCACCCAGACCTCCCAGAACGCCCCGAAGTATTCATCAACCGGGTTTCGCTCTTCCCAGCCGGCTGTCTCGCCCTGGAAGACGAAGATGGCGGCCAGCTCTGCGGCTACGCGATTTCCCACCCGATTCGCCCCCGCTGCCCGCCGGCTCTGGATTCTGTCTTGGTTGAGATCCCCGCGGACGCAGATCACTACTACATCCACGATGTGGCCATCCTGCCCAGACTCCGTGGGCGCGGCCTGGCTGCTGAGTGCGTTGCGCGGCTGCTGAGTGGCGCTGCGAGGTATCCGGTGGCTGCCCTGGTCTCGGTTTATGGCACAGAGGCGTTTTGGGGGCGTTTTGGGTTCAACCCTGTTGTGATGGGTGAGGATCTGGCTGGGAAGCTGCGTGAGTATGGTGAAGATGCGGTCTACTTGGAGCGTGTAATGGACAGGCTGGATTAAGCTATAGTATTGTCGTCAATCCCAGCACGATCGTTTAATTCAATCCAGTTCTCACTCCACGCATCTTCGTTCCCAGCTTGTTTCCTGTGTAACTTGAGAAATCGTCCGAGACGGCTCAATTGAGGGATTCAACAGCCCAGGGGATAAACAAAGAAAATGGCAAAGCATAATTAGACAAAGAAGACATGGTACTCTGAGAATCTGCTTCGTTGATCGGGTGGCTGATCAAAGCCACGCGATGGAATAAGACTTGCCCCTGATTCAAACAGCTGGTCATTTGGGTTTGAGCGGTTGAGACATTGGCAAAGAGGCAATGCCAGCTTTCAGACCAACGACAGGGAAATAGAAGGGTCTGCAGCCTTCCGGCCACTGAGTATGGACAGTTGATATGCCACTGGCCAGCCTGCTGTCTGACTGTTCTTGGGCCCTTATTTCTGTACTAGTCTGCTAACTTTAAGGCCTGTTAGGTATATAATATCAGAATCTAGAAAGATGATTCAGCTAATTCCTTTAGAGCCTCTAATATATAGTAGTTTAATTTTTGTTATAGGGTTGCTGTCGGGACCGGCTGCTGTGCCGGATTTTGTGTGGAGGTCTGTTTTTTATTCATTTTAATCTCACCGACTGTCTCCCTCAAAGCCACCGAACATGGTCGGCCTTTTCAAATCTACTGCGACCTGCTAGCTTCTAAATCCAAAAATATTACGTCCACCTTTAACCAAGGACTTGTGTCGTTGAGATTGGGACCTCAGAGTCTCGGCACGTTTAGCTATCGATGCCCATCGATGGCTAGAGACTTCCAATTCCCAAATCCAAACAGTTATTACTGTCTGCTTCAAGTATCTGCAAGCGGAGACAGACGAGAATCCATTAACAATCTCTATTTGGTCACTACTTCCTAAACAACGCAATATGACAACTAGAAACTCCCATCCGCGCGCCAAGCAGACTACAACTCTTGATATTTGGAGAAGAAACGGTTCACTGTCAGTTTCAGGGTCTCACCTAGACCCACTCACGCTGGTCAAAACCGAGACTGACGAAATACGCCTCCCCCTGGAATCACTTATTGGACGCCCGCCTGTTAATCCAGGGGGAAAAGATGTGGTCCTAACAAAGGATGCAACACTCAAGATATTTGAGCAGTTGCTGCAGAGCCGAACGTCAGATTATGAATAGCTCTCACTCTAGTTTATTATAGAGAGTACTGGGATACGCCTTTTCTCTCCGCTTTTCGCCGCGTGTGCGGGTAGGCTGGGTTTGGGGGGTCGTTGTGGCACCTGAAGAGGACCCAGTCCCCAAGGATGCGGCTAGATCCGCTAAGGTTCTAGCTTCTGTAGTAGGTGTAGAGTTGAGTAAGGCTGTAGGTCCTTCGGCCGACACGGCGGTGGTCCCAATTTCCAAGGTCGCCGTGCGGGTGCTGTCTTCGCCCAGAACTGTTGCACTGGTGGACGTAGAAGGTGTGGCCGCCGGCTTGGCGGTAGTTTCGTCACGGGTTTTGCCGTCTTCAAGTTGTTCTGTATCTTCATGTTCACTGTCTGATGATAAATCTGAAAGTTCCTCTATTATGGCCTGGGGTAGTGAGAGCTGGGGTCTGGTCCCTGCCCACTCAAAGCCGGGGCCGCCAATTGGAGCCTCAACAGTTTCAGGCCCTGTGCTTTGCAGGCCCATGGCATTCCTCCGAACGCCGAGCCCGGCAAGAACCTCGTTCCCCACAGGGGGCTGGCTCGGGTCCTCCTTATAGAGGTTAATGGCCATTTGGATATCTACAACGCCAGGATCAAGATATCGAGACTTCCCACGTCCCACATGTTGAAGCCGTCGCACCAACGCATGCACTATATAGTTCATTGCTTGGTCATAGTCCGGGCACGCAGCCGCCAGCCTTGTGAGTTATTGATGGCTAAAAATCCCGTTGCCTTGGTTTCTTCCCATTTACTGAGAACCTTCTTGGTTGCTGCCTTGCATGCCCTCTGATTTTTCGCCGTTGTTCGTACGGCCTGTTTGGCTTTGGACCAGATATGACGATTCTTCTTTCTGATCCTGGCAAAGTCACTCCCTAGGGTATCCTTGCCTACAGACCACATGTTCACGAAAAAAGTATCGCGTACTAAGTCGTAATTCTCAACAGCACGGTTGACCTCTCCCAGAGCTTCGTGAAAATGTTGCATGTAGACTGCCTTCGGTAGTTCGGCGGCCAGTCCTGAGTTGAGAAAACATTTCGTCTGGCGATGAGAAACTGTGGCCAGCGACGACAAGTGGTCCCGTGGATTTAACAGACGATGTGGATATAGCTAGGTCGCTGTTATAAGTGTTTTAAGTGAGTCATGGTAGTTGCTTTCTGGGCGCGTACTTGTAACACATACCTCATTCGCACGAGCTATAAGATGTGGTAGTTGACTTATGTATGAAAGATATGAGGTACTAGGAAAGGCGTTGAGACAAGAGAAAGGCGAGCTCACACGCAAGATGAGGGGTGAGGTGGGAGATGAGGTGAAAGATGAGGTGAAAGATGAGGTGAAAGATGAGGTGAAAGATCAAGAAACTAAAGTACCCGTAATCGGAGTAAGGGTTTTGTATTTTATGAATACCTAATGTCGAGATTCCAGGAAAATCTGGCTGCGGAGTGTCTCTCTCTCCAGCTTGGATCCAGGTATGAGAGCTGGGAAGGCGTTCTCATTGTATAACTGGATTCTTAGAAAGCCCGTCGGACGAGATCTCTGGTTCTTCTACTGCTATTTTAGACCTATGCCGCCCATAGAACTCTACGAGATGACGCCCTTTTTAATGATAAGAATTGACATCTTGGATCTGTCTTCAAAACGAAATCCCGTGTTATTGGGGTTGGACTTTCAATTGTTAACTTGTTACTGCGAGGACCTGCTAGTCAGCAGCTCCCTCACAGCCGCCAGCACAATGTCATTCTTCTCCAAATGCACACTATGGTTCGCCCCCGGGACAATCACCAGCCTTGCACCCTGAATCCCATCTGCAATAATCCTCGACTGCTCTGCTGGACAGATCCAGTCATTCTCTCCCACAATGACCAGCGTCTTGGCCGTGATATTCTTCAGCTGATCCCTGTAGTCGAAGAACTTCTCCGAGGCAGAGTACAGATCATCTACCAAGCACACAAGTTAGTCATCTATTCTCATTTAAACACCTAAACGTACTATGTGCTTCGGCATTAAACACCGTTTCCAAACTCCTCTTCAGCGCGCGATCCGCATCGAAATTCTCCGGTTCCGCATACAAAGGCGCAGCAGCGTGCATAACGAGGCGGAATTCCTCATTACTCTCGAACGATCCAAAGATCTTGTCCCTGAGCATGGAAACGCTCATCCCCGGTGAGCGGTGCAGCCGAGTTTCCAGCGTTCTAATCGCCTCCGCTTCATCTAATCAAAAATCAGTCTTACAATCAAAAATATGAATGGTTTAAAGAGAACTAACGATGCCAACTCGCCGCCGTCCCCCTCAACACCAAATGCGAGACATTATCCGGATAAGTCACCGCGTACTGCAGCGCCAGGAACCCGCCGAAACTGCCCCCGATTATGACGACTTTCTTATTTCTCCCGGTGAAATGCACCCGCAGACCCTCGATGTCGTTCACGATTTGCTGGAATGTATACGGCTTCGTTGCTGAGCTGAGTCCGTGTCCGCGATACGTGAATGAGAGGACCCGGTTGTGCGTGGATAAGGCTGAGTATGCGCTGAAGTCGGAGCTATGGTCGCCGAACCCGCGGCCGCCGTGCAGGGTTATTATTAAAGGACCATCGTCTGGGCCTGAGATGTCATAGGCGAGTCTTGCATTGTTGATTGTTATGTAGTTTGTCATGTTGGCCTGATAGTTGATGGTGGAGACCGGTGGGTGGCTACGTAGGTATTTATAGTCCCATCTATGAAATAAAGCAGCCAGTGGATGGCGGGGGACATCCGCTAGAAATTACCCATTTTAACCCTAATTAACGTACCAAATACTAAACAGGTTAAATATTACTTCCGTTCTCTCAACCGCCTCACACCATCAATCCCAACCCCCGTAAACAGCGTCAACGCAACCACAAACGCCAACCCACTCGGCCAGCCATGCGTCTCCTTAAACTGCGGCGCCTGGCTAGAGGGAAACTGCAGCTGCTGGAACGGAATCACAACCGCCTGCCCCAGCGAAACCATAAACCCCAGCACAAACGCCCGCAGCTGCTGGTCCCCGCCACAGACCGAATTCACCCACCCGGCCAGCAGCGGCGTAAAGCACCCATAGCAACCCGTGAGAATAAAGGCAGCCATTTTTAGCTTCTCAGACACGTCCCAGTGCGTTAGCACCGCGAAGCAGAACGTCCAGAGACAGCCGACGGCGAAACACACGGCGCCGCGGCGGTGCGGGCCAAGGATGTCCACGACGTACCCTGTGCCTAGCATGAAGACGAAATTGACAGCGCCGAGAGACGTCGGGATGTTGTTTATCTGCGGGATGGAGTAGCGCCCTGTGGACTTGAGCCAGAGCGTAAAGTACTGCATGACATAAGACCCGCAGGTGAGTGTCCACAGACTGTAAGCGATTGAGAAGACGTAGAGCTGCCACGACGCCAGAACGCGGCGAAGGAATGTCCAGTCGAATTTGAGGGATGGGTTAGGGGCTCGTCCGTCTTGTTGCATGCGCTCCAGGGCGCGCGCGCGCTCCCACTCGTTCAGGTAGAATGCTGTTGTCGTTTCGGGCGTGTCTGGGTAGAATATTATCCCGTAGAGAGCAACAGGGATGGCGAGTATGAAGTCGAAGATGAACAGCCAGCGCCAGGCGGGCATGCCGCCTCGTCCGTCCATGCCTTTGTAGAGGCCTGCTTGCAGGTAGCCGGAGAACATCTGGCCGAGAACGCCGGACATGACGAAGAGGCCGCTGCGGCGGGCGATCTCGGATTTGGTGTACCAGCAGCCCAGGACGTACTGAATGCCGGGCCACGCGGCGGACTCGAAGAGTCCGATGCAGAAGCGGAGGGCGTAGAACTCAGAGGCATGGTTGCACTTGAATAAGAAGAGCACGAAGAAGGACCAGGTGAACAGGCAGAAAGTCAGCCAGATACGGGGTCTGACGACGGTGAGAATGAGGTTGGAAAAGGGACCGCCGATGATGACGCCGGCGTTGAAGTACGTGTTCATCCAGCTGAGTTCGTTGCCAGGGCCGAAGTTGAGGTCCTCTGCCATACCGGACGAGTATGCATTTGTGACATTGTTCCCGTCGAGCTGTTTGATAAAGAAAGTCAGGCAGCTGTAGCTGAGCAGGAACCAGTCCAGCTTAAAAATCAGCCACTTGTCTGCTTTGCTGGTGCCGGGCTCATGCCAGCGAAAGAAGCGACGTGCCTCGACAGGTTCGGATGTCGAGACTGTCGACGGCTGTTTAGCATCTTTGTCGGCCATTTTGTGCTTCAGCAAAAATAAAAAGCATCGTTAACTCTTATAAACGGTCGAGACGATTGCGCAATCCGATCGCAGTGATTAGGGCTTCCGACATAAATTTCCCTTTTGGGACGTGGGGCCGCGATAAGCCATGTGGCAGGCTACAGGAACGAGCATACAATCGTGCTCGAATCGTGATCACCGGGCAGAAACGGCGGCGCAGACATGTTTGGTGACTCGTCCGCTGCCCGTGCATACGACAGATTGCCGCCCTCTTGTTCCTCGTGGTCGATGAGGTCCTGGTAGCAGCTGGCCTTGCCGAGTGTTTCACCGAGCAATGACACCATCTCCTGGCGCAATGAGCGAAGCAATTCCTCCCTGTTTACTTCCAGGGGGTAGGTCTCGTGGCCGGCGACGACTTCATCGAGCTCGATGAGGATCCGAGCGAGGCGTCTTGCGTGTGTCCAGGAGTCGGGAAAGTTGTCGAGGATGTCGACGAAGGCGCGGATCTCGTTCCGCGCGTGGAAACTGCTTGTGCTGCCGTGGGAGAAGCAGTATATCAGAATAAGACAGGGCGGGAACAGTCGACTCAGCGTCACCCGGTTCAGGGGTAGCTGCTGGTGACTGAGCAGGACGCGATTATACTGGCTGAATTTGCGGACGAGCTCGAGCAACGCCGTAACCCGAGCAGTGCCTTGAGCTGAAGAACCAGAGTTGAACTGGCATGGGTAATAGAGAATGAGAAGGAGATGGTAATACCGCGCATTCAGCCATCCCATCGTATCATGCAGCCGGACGTTATCCAACTCCGGCCGCGAGATCAAACAGCCATGGCTATACCAGTTCTCGATCTCCGAGCGTAATCTCGCCGTTATAGTCCTGCGGTCTGCCTGGGTGAGTGCACTGACTGCCACTCGTCGCTGCAGGTGGACGGTGGCCATGATCTTTGCTTCCAGCTGGCGCAGCTCGATAACATGCCGACTGACCTGCAGCATCGAGGCATGCTCAGCCCGCTTGATCGACGCAAATTCCTCAACTGTGATGGCAGGAAATGGGATATCCATCTCGTCGCCGACCAGCCCAGGCGTCACGCCTACCGACGCAGCCATCATCCGGTCGAGTCCGAAGATACTCCAGAACAGCCGCCGACGCAGCTCGACATCTTTTGGCGATAGCTCCCCTGCGACTCCTGGTCGAGTCAGACCTTGCGCCATTGCTTGCCGCGTGATAATGCCCACAATGGACCAAGTCGAAGGACCTGTCGGATCGAAGAGGGAATACAGAGCAACAAGCATCAGGATCTGGATCGAGTCAATCCCCTCCTCCATGATACACCTCTGCATGATATCGGCATACGGGATATCAAACGCAGCGGTAATACCGGGGGGAGCCTTGCCAGAGCGCTCCAGACTGGTATACCCAATCGCCATGACCATATACAGAATCTACCAATTAACACCTCACCTTCCATAAAACAAAGGCAGACTTACAATAGCGTCGGTGTCACGCGAATCAGGCACGCAAGAAACCTCCACCCCCCTGACCCTCTCCTCATCGATAAACGGATACGCCCTGTACACATGGTGGAAGAACGCATCAACCAGGACACTCGGGTCAGGAATCTCCACGCGCGCAGGCGTAACAGCGGTACTCAAACTCGCATCACCGCCAGGCTCAACAGGCTCATGCCGTGCAATCGGAACAGTAACCTGCTCCTGTTCAAGCTCCGTGACATACTGCGTCAACTCCTGCACGCGCGCCTGCAGCGTCTGATACGAGCATTTCCGCCCGGCATGGATGCACGCCGCGCAGTCTGGTAGATTCCGACTGCATTTCTTCTTCAGTCGACGGCACCGGTCGCATGCTGGGCGGGTGACAGCTGCAGTTGGAGCAGCTGTATCTCTAATCCGTGGCAGTGGCGGCGGCTCCGGCGAAGCCCTCTGCACGCGAAAGCGATGGGTCGCAAAGGCGGGATCCGTTGAGGAAAAATTGGGCGGCATGAGTCCGGTGCAGACGAGGAAAAGGCAGTGGAGCAGCGAATGCGAGCGGTCTATTGGCGTCGTTTTATCGGTTTTGGAGATGCGCGCAATCGGGTGATTCGATGGCGTTATCTGCTGCTAACGAGGGTGTATAGTGACCCACTTGGAGTGTATAAGTCGTGCTATGGCCGGGAAATGAAGAAATAGATAGTTTGTTGGCTATGTCTTTTCCTGATATAAACATTTCTATAGGTATGTCTCTCCAGCTGTAAGTAGAGCTTGGCTCATGTATAGACCGCGGTGGCACGTTCTGCGACGTCCTCGTCCAGACAGGACAGACAGACCGCGTCTTCAAGCTCTTATCAGAAGATCCAGCCAACTACCGCGATGCCCCGACAGAGGCAATCCGCCGGGCACTGGAGGCCATCGAGGGCCGGGCAATCCCCAAGGGTGAAAAGATAGACGGCTCGCGCATCGCTTCATGCCGGATCGGCACGACAATCGCGACGAATGCCCTGCTGCAGGGAAAAGGCGAGAAGTTTGCCTTCGTCACTACGAAAGGGTTCGAAGATGTCTGTATTATCGGCGACCAGACCAGACCGAAGCTTTTCGATCTAAAGGTTCGAAAGGCGACGCCGCTGCATGAAAAGGTCGTTGGAGTGGACGAGAGAGTTACAGTGGAAGACTACGACCTGGATCCGTTTCCCTTGGACAGGAAGCGAGATCTCACTGATCCAAGACTTGTCCGGACGAACAGTGGTGAGATTATTCGAGTGCTCCAGCCGTTGGATACTGCTGCAGTCCAAGAGACCCTGCTAGAGCTCAAGGCAGAGGGATATACGTCTGTTGCAATTGCCTTTCTTCATTCGTATCTATTCCCCGATCACGAAGAACAGGCCGCTGCCATTGCAAGACAAATCGGCTTTCGATACGTGACGACATCTTCTGAGATCTGCCCTGTTATTAAATACCTCGACCGAAGCAACTCCGTCTGCTCCGAGGCATTCCTGTATCCCATCGTCAAGCAGTACATCTCGGACTTCGAGGCTGGATTCTCAGTTCTACCGAAGAGAGTCGATTTCATGTGCTCCGACGGAGGGCTGAGGTCGGCCTCAAGATTCCGAGGCAACGAAGCCCTCCTGAGCGGTCCAGCTGGTGGCGTTGTCGGAATCGCACAGACATGCTACGACTCCGACGAGGGGACACCAGTTATCGGATTCGACATGGGCGGGACAAGCACCGATGTCTCGCGGTATGATGGGACATACGACTATCTGAGCCAGACCACTATAGCAGGTCGAAACATCACCATTCCCATGTTGAATATTGCCACCGTTGCTGCTGGCGGAGGCTCGATCCTGGCTGCCCGGAATGGGCTGTTCGTTGTAGGGCCTGAAAGTGCAGGATCGCATCCTGGACCGGCTTGTTATCGTAAGGGAGGGCCTTTGACTGTTACTGATGCCAATTTGTTCCTGGGGAGGCTCCTCCTGTCCTCGTTTCCGTCTATCTTTGGTCCTAATGCGGACCAGCCGCTGGACTATGAAGCAACGGCACAGAAGTTTGGTGAAATCACAAAGGAGATCAATTCGCAGACAGGACAGTCTCTTGCACCAGAAGAAGTTGCTCTGGGTTTCCTCAACGTTGCAAATGAGACCATGAGTCGGCCAATCCGCAATGCTACTGAAGCCCGTGGATATCATCCAGAACGGCACAACTTGGTCAGCTTTGGAGGCGCAGGTGGCCAGCATGCTTGTTCTATTGCTCAGCGGCTGGGGATAAAGAGGATTCTGATTCACAAGTACTCTTCTATCCTCTCTGCAGTGGGCATCTCCAAGACAGAGCTCAAGTCGGACGCTGTTGAGCCGTACGTAGGAGCCTTTGATCTCTCAGTACTCCCAAACATCAACTCCCGGTTCGCCTCTTTGAAGGAAAAGGTTAGACAGGACCTGCTCGGTCAAGGTGCAATTCCAGAGTCGATTCGCTTCGACGAGTCCCTCAGTCTGCGATACCAAGGGACAGACACGAATCTTGTCATTGCAAAGCCACCCGACGAGGACTATGCAGAGGCGTTCCGCAGCACACACAAAAGAGAGTTCGCTTTTACGCTGGAGAGGCCGGTGATTGTTGATTCAGTCCAGGTTCGGGGTGCCGGTGGGAGCAGTTCCTGGGAGGCCTCATTATCTCCTTTTGAAGCTTTATCGCAGCTCAAGGCCAGCCCTAAGTCGGCGGAGACCCAGATCCATACAAGAGTCTTTGTTGAGTCTTCGTGGCAAGATATCCCCGTCTACAATCTAGAATCCATCTCGCAATCTGTCATTCCTGGTCCAGCTCTCGTCATCGACGCAACGCAAACCATCTTCGTCGAGCCCCAGTGGCAGGCGTACATCCTGTCTGACCATCTGGTCCTGGAGCGACAGGCCAACAAGCCTGAACCATTATCAGCCCAGGTTGAATCCATCAGTCCCATCCAGCTGTCCATCTTCGCCCACCGGTTCATGGCCATCGCCGAGCAAATGGGCAACACGCTGCAACGCACGTCCATCTCGACCAGCATCAAAGAGCGCCTCGACTTCTCCTGCGCCATCTTCTCTCCATCCGGAAAACTCGTCGCCAACGCCCCCCACATCCCCATCCACCTGGGGAGCATGCAGTACGCAATCCAATACCAGCATCGCCTCTGGCAAGACAAGCTCCAACCAGGCGACGTCCTCCTCACCAACCACCCGGACTGCGGCGGCACCCACCTCCCGGATCTCACAATCATCAGCCCCGTCTTCAGCGCGTCACACGAACTGGCCTTCTACGTTGCGGCACGCGGACACCACACCGACATCGGCGGCCGCGGCATCTCCGCCATGATGCCCGACTCCAAGGAACTGTGGGAAGAAGGCCTAAACGTGCAGTCGATGAAGATCGTCGAGAACGGCGTGTTCCTCGAGTCGGATGTCCGCGAAGCTTTCCTCCACGCCGGCACATTCCCAGGATGCAGTCCCACCCGCCGACTTCACGATAACATCTCCGACATCAAAGCCCAGATCTCCTCGAACCAGCGCGGCATTCTCCTCCTGCAGAACCTGTGCGATGAGTTCAGCTTGCCTGTCGTGCATGCACATATGCACGGGATCCAATCCAATGCCGAAACCGCCGTGCGATCTTTCTTCAAAACAATCGCAGCAGACACCAAAACTAAATCCAAGACCCTAAAGGCAGCAGACTACCTCGACAACGGCACAAGAATCCAAGTCAGTATCACAATCGACTCGACCACTGGATCCGCAGTCTATGATTTCACAGGCACAGGACCCCAGACGTGGACCAACTACAACTGCCCGATCTCTGTTACACATTCTGCCGTGATATATACAACACGCTGTCTCATCGCCAGCGACATCCCGCTGAACGACGGCTGTCTAGCCCCTATCGAGATTATTGTTCCAAAGGGAACTGCCCTAAACCCATCTGCGCCTGTTGCGATCTGCGCAAGTACACTCGCGAGCCAGCGCATCATCGACACGATTCTGCGAGCCTTTGGTGCTGTTGCTGCGTTCTCGGGGTGTGCGAATAGTTTTGGATGGGGGGTTGGAGGGAAGGATCCTCTTACTGGGGAGATAACCCCTGGGTGGAACTATGGGGAAACGGTTGGAGGGGGCTGTGGTGCTGGACCTAGTTGGGAAGGGGAGAGTGCGGTGCAGTGTCACTCGACGAATACGAAGATTACGGATGTGGAGGTTGTTGAGAAGAGGACGCCTGTTGTTGTGCAAAGACATGCGGTGAGGCAGGGGACGGGGGGGAGTGGGAGGTTTAGGGGAGGGGACGGGGCTGTTAGGGTTATTGAGGCCAGGGTGCCGATGAGGTGTAGCATCTTGAGTGATAGAAGGGTGTTTGCGCCGTATGGGATGGAGGGGGGAGGGGAGGGCGCTGTGGGAGAGAACTATGTGTATCGCTGGAATGGGGACCGCACTGGGTTTGATCGAGTGTCTGTCGGGGGGAAGGCCGAGTTGAAGCTGGACGAGGGCGAGATGATGGAGGTGAACAGTCCGGGGGGTGGTGGATGGGGATAACGTAGGCAATACAGAAGGTCCTTATGGTAGATACCAATATACTCCGTCAGACAACTCCAGTCTCATTCTGCGACTCTTCTGCTGGCAATAATAATAATGAAGACGTTCACATGTTGTCCGAGGCGATCTACAGACCCAAACAATTAAATGGCGCAAAGTAACGCCCTAACGCTAGGTTAATCTTAGTTAGCCCTTGCTGCCAATCAGAGCGTTGACACATCAGGAATCAATTATCACCAACTCCAACACGTCTACATCGTACTCCAACTAATTACTTATATTACCGGTCAGATCTGCCTTCGGTTGGGACTTGGAAACTGCGGTGAGACCCCTGACCGCGTCATGAAACCAGCGGAGACCAGCGACCACGGCCCCTGGACAAAAATAGCCGAATTAAAGGGGCAAATCCACACCGTTGGGGAGGATCACATTCGGACTGGACCCAGAGAACTGTCAAACGCCATGCAAAAAATTCAATCTCAACCATGGCGCCGTTGCAGATGCGCCTATCACGCCCGCCCCTGGGCCTGCGTGCACTCCACTGCTGGGACCTGGATCCTGCTGCTAGGCTGACATAGGAAAGGAGTGCTCGCTGTTTGTACACTAGCATGCTCCAGGCTTAGCAGGCTGGGGAGCTTAGGGTTGTGCTTGTAGACGGGGCGTTGGGACTTGGGACGTTGAGTTTTCTCTTCTGCAGCGCTCAGTTGGTTATTTACAATTTCTGTTCTGAAGTCGCATTGTCGCTGTGCATCGCAATGGCTGAAGCTATGTCCGGGAAACAGGTACTACTTTCACCTTCTATACCTTCTATATCTTCTAATACTAACCCAGGTCAAGTCCCAGGAACTCACCCTCAAGACAATCCGCGATGCAATCCCCAAGCACTGCTTCGACCGCTCCCTCACCATCTCCTGCGCCTATGTCGCCCGCGACCTCCTCTACGCCAGCGTCCTCTTCTACGCCGCGCTGCAAATCGACCTGATCCCCTCGCAGCTCCTGCGCATCCTCGCCTGGACCGCCTACGGCTTCGCCCAGGGCTGCGTCGGCACCGGCATCTGGATCCTCGCGCACGAGTGCGGCCACGGCGCCTTCTCCCCTTACACCCTCGTCAACGACACCATCGGCTGGGCCCTGCACTCCCTCCTGCTGGTCCCCTACTTCAGCTGGAAAATCACCCACGCCCGTCACCACCGCTACACAAACAACACCGAGCGCGACACGGCCTTCGTCCCCTGGACGGACAAGGACTACGAGGGCCGCCCCCGTAACCTCCCCGCCTGGCTCGAGCACTTCGAAGACACCCCCATCTACTCCTTCCTCAGCCTCATCACCCACCAGCTCGCCGGCTGGCAGATGTACCTCTGCTTCTATGTGACAGCCGGCACGAAGAGCCGTCCCGTGCAGGGCAAGGGCAGCGGCTGGTTCGGGTACCAGCAGAGCACCAGCCACTTCGACCCAGCCAGTTCGCTCTGGACCGAGAACCAGCGGCACCTGATTGCGATATCCGACTTTGGGCTTCTCCTTGTCGGCGGCGCCGTTTGGTACCTCAGCCAGCAGGTGGGCTTGCTCAAGACGGTCCTGATCTACTTCGTGCCCTATCTCTGGGTTCACCACTGGTTAGTAGCGATAACGTATCTGCACCACACGCACCGGGATATCGCGCACTACACGGACGCAACGTGGACGTTTACGCGCGGCGCCCTGTCGACCGTGGATCGGGATTTCGGGTTCATAGGCCGGCATTTCTTTCACCATATTATCGACCACCATGTCGTGCATCACTTGTTCTCGCGCATTCCGTTTTACCGCGCCGAGGAGGCCACGGATGCCATTATCCCTGTGCTGGGGGATCAGTATCATAAAGAGGAGAGTGGGTTTTTGAGCAGTCTGGTGCAGACTTATGCTGCTTGTCAGTATGTCGGCGAGACGGAGAAGGATAGTGGTGTTTATCATTGGGTTTTGGACGGCGAGAAGGGCGTTAAGGCGGAGTAAATTGGAACTGGGTTGGAAATGTAGATGGTGGATAGATTGATTGCGAGAGTTTCGGTACGTTGGATAGACTGCTAGAGTGAATAGATATAGACTGCCGTTAATATCCATCGCTAGATGCGGACTGATTGTTCGCTCATGTCATAATCTTCATTGAATCCTAATTGTCTATATACGGCTGTCGGCGATGTATGATGCAGTCCGAGCAGCTGCCATTAACAAACATTACTTTTTAAACGCTGATCGTCTTGAACACACTGCAAGCAGTTAGTACGAGCAAACATACTAAACGTGGTAATAGAGATACATACCCAAAACCGTTCGCACCGGTGGCCATTAGAGTCCCCGGCATTTGAGCCTGCCAGTGCACTTCCTTGACTGACTCGGCGTAGTGGACGAACAGCAGCTGCGGCGGAACATCCGCTAGACCCGCCTGGCGGCTTTCCTCCTCGTCCAGCTCGACGGCAAGATCCCACAGGGTGACGGTGTTATCGGCCGACCCGACGGCAACGACACTGTCGTCCGTTGGGTGCCATTCGATACTTGTGACCGGGTCCTTGTGGAAGTCGAACGAGGCGACCGGAGATGCCGTGATAGGCGCCGAGGGAGCGCTGGGGTTGGGCTTCCAGTGCCGCAGATCCCAGACAGCCCACTGTCCGTCGTCGGCGCCGGTGGCGAGAAGGTGCGACGTCTGCTTCGACCAGCTCATTACGTTGACGTCGGTGTTGGAGACCTTGACGTCTACGGCGGGTTTGCGGGACTTCGATCGGACATCCCACACCTTGACCGTTCCGTCGCTGCTTGCTGATGCGAACACGTTCTTCTCGTTCGGCGACCATTGGAGTTCCTCGACGGATGAGGCGTGTCCGGTGAATGGGCGGGTGTCGGTCACCCATCCTCCTCCTTCTGTACGGGTTGTAACGTAGATTAGACCGTCGTTGTCTCCCGTCAGGAGCTTTCCGAGCGGCTGGAGAGGGGACCAATCGAGAGCGTATCCTTCCGACTTGTGCATGCGGAGGGTAGACAAGGGCTTGGAGGCGGAAGGAGGGAGCATGGTGCCGGGGACATCGAAGCTGGTGAGGTGGGGGGTGACATCGTGGATGACCACTTGAGCGTTCTCCAGCATTGTCGCCGTAATAGTCTGCGGGGGCTTGGTGATGTCGGACTGCGGAGTCTGATGGGCGCGGATGCGGTTGGCCGTAGACCCGAGAGGAATGCTCTTGGACTCCAGGATGGCCTCGCCGCCTTCGTCGTCGTCCGAATCACTCTCGGAGTCTGTCTCGTTCTCCTTCTCCATCTTGCTCAGTCCGCTCATCTTGAGAACCATCAATTCATTCTCCTTCGCTCGACCGCCCTCCGCCTGAGTTCCGGTGACGGCGTATACCGTCGCGGGGTACGTCTTGCGGTTGTCACCGAGTGTGTCACGGACGATGTCAAAGGATAAACAGGGCCACGGCGTACTGAGCGTGTGCAGCATATCGTAAGTCGACGTGTCGGGCGAGAGCACCTCTCCTGGCGGCAGTTTCGTCCGACCGGGGATGAATATCTGTTGGTCTACCTCCATTGAGTCGGCTTCACTTGTGTTAGCTCAATCAATCCACACGACTTTTGGACAATCATACCCTTTTCCTCTGCTTCACGCTCCGCGTCCGGTCGGCCATCCACACCAGCCTCCAGAATCTCATCCTCGCTCTCAAACTCGTCCTCGAACTCGTCTTCGAACTCGCCCATCTCGTTGGGAGGGGCATCGGCCATGGGGCGCTCGCCAGCCTTGAGGGCGGCGGCGTGCTCGTCGGCGGCGTCAGCAGTTCTCTTGGACATTTTCTCAAGCAAATCGGTCGCAAATCGGTGGTCCGGGTCGCAGCAACGAGCCAGTCGTGCGGCAGAGGACGGAGATGGCGATGATGAAATAATTTTAGGGTTCAGGAACTTTTTTTTTGTCGACGGCCGGAGGCCCGCACTAAGCCTATCGCGGTTAGCGGCGATCACTGGGGAGCTGCGGCTGTGCTGAGTTGAGTCTCTGTGTTGCTCTGTTGACCTCAGGCTCTCCCCTCCTGCTCGTCCAACTCCAGTCCCTCCTGCTACACTTTGTTTCATCTCTAGTCTCTCCCTATCGCCTTCACGAGCTGCGCTCTGATATCCTCTCGTTCGTCCCGCCATGGACCCCACCCAACCCGTCCAGCCCCCGGTCGCAGAAGCGCCTGCGCCCGTCCCCGAGCCACAACAGGAGCACCAGCAACAGATCCAAGAATCCCACCCAGAATACCCTGAGCACCAGGTGCAGCAAGTGCAGGAAGTGCAGCATGATCAGTCAGATCAGATGGATCACACCCCACAACCGCTCTCTCACTCGGAGCCTGAAGTGCCTACGATCGTTCCCATTGCAGCCCGCGAAGAATCCACCCTCCCTCCGGCGAGCTATCACAACGGCTACAGCAGCGACTCTCGCGCCCATTACGAATATCACACTCCGACCCAGGACCCCCAGCCGCAAGCCCCGACGTCGTCGAGAGCGAGCTCCGGATTATCAGTCACCCAGAACCAGAAGCAGCCGTCCCAGTCAACGAAAAACAGCGTGGTGATCAAGGTTGGCATGGTCGGAGATGCACAGATCGGAAAAACCAGCTTGATGGTGAAATACGTCGAGGGCAGCTGGGACGAAGATTATATACAAACACTGGGTAGGTCACATCTGCGGTTATCTGATTGGTGCCCTTGCTAATTGTGCAGGCGTCAACTTTATGGAGAAAACAATTTCGATCCGGAATACGGAGATTACATTTTCGATCTGGGATTTGGGTGGCCAGCGCGAGTTTGTCAACATGCTTCCCCTAGTGTGTAACGATGCCGTCGCCATTCTGTTCATGTTCGACCTCACTCGCAAGAGCACCCTGAATTCGATCAAGGAGTGGTACCGACAAGGCCGTGGGTTCAACAAGACTGCGATTCCCTTCTTGGTGGGCACCAAGTACGATCATTTTGTCAATTTCCCCCGGGAGGACCAGGAAGAGATTTCAATCCAGGTACGTATCGTATTCCTGTCAGTCGACTCCTGCTAACCCTCCAGGCCAAACGATTTGCGAAGGCGATGAAGGCCAGTTTGATCTTCAGCAGTACCAGTCACAGTATCAATGTGCAAAAGGTATGGTTGCACCTTAATTATACATGTCACGGTTCTAACTCCCGCAGATATTCAAAATCGTCCTCGCCAAGGCTTTCGACCTGAAATGTACAATCCCAGAGATCGAAAACGTCGGCGAACCTCTGTTGCTGTATAAGAATGTCTAACCCGAGCGGGTTTATGCTTGCGTCCGTGAATTGGACGAACGATGTTGATGACCGAACAATCCCTTGATTTGGGTTGGACCTATATCACGTCCCGGGTCGCAGTGATCCTACATTATTTTTCTTTTCCCTTCTCACCTTATGCCAGCATTGGGATGCGCCTGGAGCTTTTCTTCTCTCGGTCTTTTCTTCTCTGTGTTAAATTCCCCCACCTGTTCGTTTCTTGTATGCCCATTGCCCGTCTGGTGTTTGTATTTTTCTTACCCGTCGCTCTCTTGCGAGGATCCACTATGTCAGAGTATCTAATGCGCGGAAGGCATTGCAGTCTTCGCCTGATAAAATGTCAAATGACGCACCCTATAATATACGGCTTACCAATTCAATCAGCTATCGAAGTAACCTACGAATCAAGTCAGGTCTTTAAGTGGATCGGAATGACTATTTCTGGCCATGTTATATTTTAACGTTAAGTTATACATTTCCATGACCCGTAGATTAGGGCTTGACCACCACTCAAGGACAAAAATAGGCGATAATATATTTTGCGGACTTCACTAACAGATAGGTATAAAATAACATTACTTTACTACCATCGTCTTAGGCAACCGACTCCGACCGATCCCCCGTCAACTCCCTGGAATAAGGCGGAACAAGCAAATACAGCACAGCATGCGCCATCGCCGCCGTCAAGGGCCCAATCCAATAAATCCAGTGGTAGAAGTAGAAATGCGACCCAACCATCGCACCAAAGCACCTAGCCGGATTTCCTGCTTGGGGGTCGTCAGCCAATATACTTCAATGGTACAGTTCTTATTGGTCGTACAAAACCCAGTAAATCCCGGCCGACTGATGCCCGTGAAGAAGGTGCACGTGGCCAGCACAAACCCGACGAGGATGGGACCTAGAGCTGGACCGAAGACGGATCGCTGGCGGGGCTCGAGACCGACGCCGAACGAGAGGAAGATGAGGGCGAAGTCGGTGGTGAATTCGATTGTGAATGCGCTGCGTACGGAGACGAGGTTGGTGTCGAAGTAGCAGCCGGGAACGATGAACTGTATGATTAGTTGTTTGTCTTGTGTATGTTCTGTATATAGGTAGAGACGCACTGATCTTGTATCGAAACTAGCCCGCAGAAGCCAGCCTGCAATAGCACCGCCAAAGATTTGGAAGGTGACGTAGAGAATAGACCTTGGAAGAGTGGCGAGGCGGCTGAAGAAGGTCGCGATGGTGATTGTTGGGTTGAGATGTGCTCCTGATACAGGGCCAACGGCGAATATAAACAGCGGAAGAGATACCAGAGCCGTGAGGGCCCCGAGTAGACTGGGGACGAGCGGGCCAGATGCAAATGTACTATATGTATACTTGTTAGCTGGGCTGACTAGGAGTAGGTGGGAAGCGCACTTGACAAGTTCCCCTAGACCAACGGCTACGAAGCAGGTCAGGTACACCAGCAGACATGTTCCTATGCCTTCAGTCACAGCAGCCTTCCACAGCTCCGGCTGGAGAATAGTTCTCAGAGACAAGGCATCTCGCACCGGAATCCAGGGTGCTGCATCGGGAAACTTCTGCAAGAGTTCTCGCTGGGTACAAGTGTCTTTATCGACAGCAAACTCCTGGTTGGCGCCTATACGACCGGCAAAAGGGATGACATGGCTTGGGGTGGGCAGGTCGGTCCGACCTGAGCGCCAGAAGCTGGCATTAGGGAGCATCCAGCGCATTTTGTATGTTTAGTGGAGATTTACAGAATGATTCTGGTGTAGGAAGCTGTATTTCATGTCAGAAGCCTCGTGTAACATGGCTGTTAGTCATGATTAAGCATCATCTCGTAACGTGCATGTCGGTCAGCTTTGGGCTAAACTCAGAGCAACCATGGTTGGCTTCAATGACTGGCTGACTCGATGATGTAAGTTGTCTAGACCGAAACAGTTAATGCTAAAATAAATACAAGTAAATGAGACTAGTTGAATATTCTGGTATCCTCCTGCGTTGTACTCCATCCAGCCCTAACAATGTCCCTTTGTTTAGCCCTATAAACGTATAGTTGCTAATATCGCTTTATCAACCACAATCCGGTAGCAGCACGTCCGGATACTAAATTTTAAAATATACTGACATCTCTCCTGTCATTGTGCTTTATCCTACAAAACACATAAAGGTTACATTCCGGATATTAAGAATAAGGCTCGAGCCCTCAGCGACAGGTCTAGACCAACGCCCCGCAATCTCAGCCCAAGGGACGACTGGACCCCGCGAACATGAGTCGCGTTCTGCAGGTCTTTAGGCTATACAAATATATTGGCATGCGCTCTGAAGAAGTGGCTTTGCCAGCCAAGCAGCAAAATTCCCATTCGGATCAGGAACAAGTGGTTGTCTCTGTAGAAATGCAATTCTGGTCATTATTTTGTCCTCGTTCTGCAACGGAAACATGTCCGCTGGATATGGTTGCAGCCACAGCTCGTGAACGCCATCACGGTGTCCTCCTGATGCGCCACGGAATATGAGTCTGAACAGCCTAATATGCCTCATACAATCAATTCAGCCTGCCTGCCTGCCTATAAAGGTCTATAAAGCAGCGCTCCCTCTACCAAACTATCAACCAGCACCGAAAAGACAATCAACATCGAAAGAACAACCATGGTCTCTCTATCCACTCTTCTCTTCGCTTGCACCGCTGCAATCGGCGCCTTCGCCGCCCCTACCAAAGACCTCTCCTTGTCAGAGTCAAGCCTAATCGAGCGCTCCACCCCTAGCTCCACCGGCTATCACAACGGCTACTATTACTCCTTCTGGACCGACGGCGGCGGCGATGTGACCTACACCAATGGTGCCGGCGGATCGTACACCGTGCAGTGGTCCAACGTGGGAAACTTCGTCGGCGGAAAGGGATGGAACCCTGGGAGTACACGGTACACACACCCTATACCTGAATTCTAAAACAATGCTAACAGTCCCAGAACCATAAGCTATAGCGGAAGCTTCAACCCCAGCGGTAATGGCTACCTCGCCGTATACGGCTGGACCCAGAACCCGCTGATTGAGTATTACATCGTTGAATCGTACGGCACGTATAACCCCGGCAGTGGGGGCACGCACCGTGGAACGGTGAGCTCTGATGGGGGCACGTACGATATCTACACCGCGACTCGATACAATGCGCCCTCGATTGAAGGGACGGCGACGTTTCAGCAGTTCTGGTCGGTTCGCCAGTCGAAGCGGACTTCGGGGAGTGTCAATACGGCGAATCACTTCCAGGCGTGGTCTCAGCTGGGGATGAGTTTGGGGACGCATAATTATCAGATTGTGGCGACGGAGGGGTATCAGAGTAGTGGATCGGCTTCGATTACTGTGAATTAGGGTGTTGTATTTTCTGAAGCTACTCGGGCGAAGTGATGCTGGGAATAAGGTTATAGGATAATTACTATTCAGATTATTATCAATGAAGGGAATTTGCTATGAGATATATACTAACTGGAAGCTGCTCTATCCACTTAACTTGGCGAGCCTGATACAGCCCTACTTTCAAAGCCAAGGCAACCCAGAGTAACAATCTTAGCAAGACGATACTTCTTTGTTCCGCCATTGAGTGGGAATCAACAGAAACAGTGAGTTTGCTACCTGTGCAACCTGGGCGTGAACAGTCTCACTCCAGCCAATGGCTGCAATAGCGGTACCAATATTCACCGTGCTGGCTGCAAGGGGATATTCTATTTTCAGTTTGATGTTGGAGGGGTAACCGGTGATATATTGAATCCCATTTAATCTCGGTCGTGCCTGTGTTGGTCTTGAGACTTGAGACTGGGTTTTGGAGTGGAAACAATATGAAGCCATTCCCATTGTCTGCCTATTGTTCACCAACACGCCAACTCACCACTGTTTTTGCTGCTGTTCCTGTTACGATATCTTTACTTATTCATATTTCTTTTCATGGGCTTTTAATATTGGTTGCCAATCGGCTTCAAACTCTCGCTTACGAATTCTCCTTGCTTTAAAGATCATCTGCAATGCGACTATTGCTTTTTCTAGCGATAACGCTCGCTGCATTGGGCGTTGTGTCTTGCAGCGATCACATCGTCCATGAGCGCCGCGACATTCTTCCTGAAGCATGGAGCAAGGTCGCAAGACTAGGAGGCCAGGAGGTCCTCCCGGTCCGGATTGGACTGGCCCAGTCGAACCTAGACAAGGGACACGACTTGTTAATGGAAATGTATCTCGCCCAGCTCGACTGCTCCTGACTGCATGCTAACCCTTGCATAGATCGGATCCCGGATCGCCGGCCTACGGAAAACATCTATCGCCGGAACAAGTCCATGACCTCTTTGCGCCGGCTGGAGAGAGCGTGGATCGCGTGCGTGCTTGGTTGGAATCAGAGGGTATAGATAGAGATCGTGTCACACAGTCCGTGAACAAGCAATGGCTGCAATTCGATGCGTCTGTGCAGGAGATGGAGCGGCTACTCCGGACGGAATACTATCTATACTCGCATGACTCTGGTCGGTCGCATATTGCCTGTCGAGAGTATGTCTGTCCTCTCCTTTTCTTGTTTCGTGCTAAGCGGTAGGTATCATATCCCTCTATCGTTGAAGTCGCACATCGACTATATCACGCCCGGTGTCAAGATCCAGGAGGTCAGCGCTGGATCGCATAAGCGCAGGCAGAAACGGGACGATGTCGATATTTCCCCACAGCCAATTCTTGGTTCGGATGTTGACTTAGGGGAGTTGTTGGAAGACGTTCTTTCATATTGCGATGTGGTAGTGTCGCCGGCCTGTATCCAGCGTATGTATACTGCTTCATATAAATGGCATTGACTGACGAACAGTCATGTACAATATCACTCAAGGCACGACTGCAGTTCCGGGGAATGAGCTTGGGATCTTCGGGAGCTTGGGCGACGTTTATACCCAGTCCGACTTGGACCTGTTCTTTTCCAAGCTTGCAGGGTATATCTTATCTCCATCCCCTAATGCAGGGCAGCCCTAACTTCAGCAGCAACATCCCCAACAACACCCACCCAATCCACAACCTCATCAACGGTGCCACAGCCCCAGCATCGCCAGAGAATGCAGGCCCAGAATCCACCCTAGACCTCTCAGTCTCATACCCCCTCATCTGGCCGCAGAATTCAATCCTCTTCCAAACCGACGACCCCGTCTACCAGAACAACTACACCTTCAGGGGAACCCTCAACAACTTCCTCGACGCAATCGACGGCTCCTACTGCGACGCATCCGAAGAGGATCTCGACCCGCCATACCCAAACCCGGCCCCAGGCGGCTACAAAGGCGAAAAGCAATGCGGCGTCTACAACCCCACAAACGTAATCTCCGTCTCGTTCGGCGTCGCAGAATCCTCCCTCCCCATAAGATATATCCGGCGACAATGCAACGAGTGGATGAAACTCGGTCTCCAGGGTGTTTCCGTCATCATTGCGTCCGGCGATAGAGGCGTATCTGTCGACAATCCGGATTGGTGTCTCGGCGAAAATGGTACCGTCTTCCAGCCCGACTTCCCAGCCATCTGTCCCTATGTTACCGCCGTTGGTGCAACTACCCTACCCGCAGGCGGAGACCCGTATAACCCCAACGAAGTCGGCGCTTCGTTCGGTTCGGGCGGCGGCTTCAGCAATGTCTTCCCGCAGCCGTGGTACCAGCGCTGTGTGGTTGAGGAGTATCTTGCCCGTGTGAACCTGAGCTACCCATACTACGAGGGCGTGGATAACAGCAGTTTCGCGCAGAATGGGGGAATCTACAACCGCATTGGCCGCGCCTATCCCGACGTGTCAGCTATCGGCGAGAACATTCTTGTCTTTTTGAGAGGAGGGCCGATTATAGGTGGAGGAACTTCCGCCAGTGCGCCGATATTCGCGGCAATGCTTACCCGGATTAACGAGGAGAGACTTGCGGCGGGGAAGCCGACTGTTGGGTTTGTCAACCCGCTGCTTTATGCCCATCCCGAGGTGTTTCGGGATGTTACTGTGGGGAGTAATCCGGCGTGTAAGTCGGATGGCTTTCCGGCTGCTCCTGGGTGGGATCCGGTTACTGGGCTTGGGACGCCGAAGTATGATAAGATGCTGGAGCTGTTTATGGGAGTGTAGTTACTTTTACACATTTTAGAAGTGACAGAGCTTTTGGAATAACCTTGAATGATAAGTCCTCGTATGAATCGGTTGTAAATTTTCCATTGTAGATCTGGATAATGAGCAGTTTTGACGAATCAGGGGTTCCCTGCGCTGAATAGGCAGTGCAGTCTCTGTCCGTATGCAGACAACCTTGAAGCGAGATGAGCTTAAACTAATTGGCGAATTGTCAATGACAGTTCCTTGTTACTTATTATGATTGGCTATGAGTGGACATGAGTGACCATGAGTCATGTCTTGGCGTGATCCACCTTCCGGTTCGGTCCTCAAGGGCTGAGTACTGAGTATAAGAGTATAAACTGAGGATAAACTGCATCCATCAGTTCTTCAGCATCACACTCATCATTTTTTTTAATCATGGCAGACAATACTGCACAAAATACCTCTGATGCTCTCGAGAAAAGAAAATCAACGCCGGATCTGCAAGATGAACCACAATACCCTGGCAAAGCCAAGCTCGCCTTCATCCTATTCGGCCTCACCCTCTCCATGTTCCTCGTCGGTCTCGACAACACGATCCTCTCCAGCGCGATTCCAAAAATTACCGATCGATTCCATGCCCTAGGAGATGTGGGCTGGTACGCCAGTGCATACCTTCTCACCAACTGTGCCTTCCAGCTGTTCTGGGGGAAGCTGTACACCTTCTACACCGTCAAATGGGTCTACCTCGCTGCTCTCTTCCTCTTCGAAATCGGCTCTCTCATCTGCGCCGTTGCTCCGTCGTCCATGGCACTGATCATCGGCCGTGCCATTGCAGGCGTCGGGGCTGGCGGCGTGACCAACGGCTCATTCCTGCTCATCGCGCACTCTGTCCCAGCGCCAAAACGACCAACTCTTGTCGGCCTTCTCGGTGCCATGTACGGTCTTGCTGCCATTGCAGGGCCACTTATGGGCGGTGCATTTACCGACAACGCCTCGCTGACATGGCGATGGTGCTTCTACATCAATCTCCCTCTCGGCGTTGCCCCGGCCTCGATAATCGTCTTCCTCATCCCGTCGTTTGCTGGCAGCAACAGCCGCCAATCCGGCGTCCTGAACCAGATCAAGCAGATGGATGTCCCGGGGTCGCTGTGTCTTCTCCCAGGTGTCATCTGCCTCCTCCTCGCGCTTCAATGGGGCGGAACGAAATACCCATGGGACAACGGCCGCATCATAGCCCTACTTGTCCTCGCTGGCCTCCTGCTCATCGGATTCACAGCCATCCAGTACTTCAGCGGAGACCGCGCAACCGTCCCACCCCGTGTCTTTGGGAACCGCAACGTCTGGGGTGCTGCCCTCTTCGGGTCCGGCGTCACAGCCGGCTTCTTCTTGATGCTATACTACGTACGTCTCAACCAGCCAACCCAAGTTTAACCTCTCCCTCCCTAACATCTTCGTTAGATCCCAATATGGTTCCAAGCCATCAAATCCGCCTCCCCCATCCGCTCCGGCGTCATGAACCTCCCCATGGTCCTCGCCTACGTCGTCTTCTCCCTCTCCGGCGGCCTCCTCACAAGTATAATCGGCTACTACGTCCCCTTCGCCTACCTCACCGTGATCCTCATGTCAATCGGGTCGGGTCTATTGACCACCCTCTCCGTCTCCTCCGGAAGCCCCGAGTGGATCGGATTCCAGTTCCTATTCGGGGCCGGGGTCGGACTCGGTCTGCAGACTTCATTTGCGGCGCCGCAGTGCGCGCTCCCCATTGAGGATGTGGCTATTGGCACTGCGATTGTCATGTTCATGGAGAATCTGTGCGCGGCGGTCTTTGTCTCTGTTGGGCAGAATGTTTTTGGGAATCAGCTTAGCAAGAATATTGGGATTTATGCGCCGGGGGTTGTTGATGCTGGGAAGTTGATTGAGAGCGGGGCGACGGAGGTCAAGAGTGTTGTTCTTGAGAAGGGGGAGAGTGCGTATCGGGCTGTGCTGGTTGCGTATAATAAGGCGCTGACGGAGACGTTTTATGTTGGGGTTGGCTTGTCTGTTGTTGCGGTGTTGGGGGTTGTTGCTATGGAGTGGGTTAATGTGAAGAAGAAGAGGGGTGTTTGATCGTATTTCTATATTGCTACGCATTATCAGGATAGATTTATAGATAGAATTGCTAAGTCTTAATGATATAATATTGTCTTCGTCATGTCCCACTATATGCTCTACGCAACAATATTCGTGCAGAGCTTGCCGGTGTTGGCGCCCTCAAACAGCTTCAGCCACACATTCGGCACATCCTCGAACTTTGAATCGATAATCGTCTGCATCGAGTCGTCGATTACGATCTTGCCTTGCGCCCACGCGGCGGCGAGCTCGCTGATGACGTCGGCGAACTTGTGGATGTAGTCGAGTACAATCAGGCCGCGGATGTTGAGGCGCATAGACACGACTTCCTGTTTGTTGTTAGTTTCTTAATTTAAACAGGGTATGTTAGGTACGTACAAAGAAGTTCTTGGGCCCGGTGGGTTCGGCGGAGTTGTAGTTTGAGATTGTGCCGCTGGTTGTTAGTTAGTATGTATACAGTGCAGTTATGATATCTAGATGGGCGTACCAAACAGCAATGCGTCCGTGGCGCTTCATGCGGGTGAGCATCAAGTCGAGGATGTCGCCGCCGACATTATCTATCAAGTCAGTCAGACACTGCAGTTGTTAGGTTGGATATAACATACCAAAGTAAACATCAGCAAAGCCCTCCGTCGCATTGATGAGATCCTGCTTGAAGCTGTCCTTCTTATAGTTCACGCAGACATCGGCACCGATCTTCTCAACATGGCGACACTTCTCATCGGTGCCTGCAATGCCAATAACCTGCACCTGTTAGCCCTTTCCAACAATCAGAATATAGATGAAGAGACTCACCCGCTTACACCCAAGAATCTTCTTCGCAATCTGCACAACCATACTGCCCGTCGCACCCGCAGCCCCCGAAACAACAACCGTGTCCTCGCTCGTCGCCGCCGCAACCTCCTTAATCCCGTAATAAGCAGTCAGTCCGGTAAAGCCCAGCGCACCCAGGAAATGGCCCCGGTCCAGCCCCGGAATCGGCTGCACAACCTGCAGACCCTTGATCTCGTGCACCGCGTACTCGGTCCAGCCCTGGCCGGTAACGACGAGGCTGCCCACGGGCAGTTCATTGGGGTTACCGGACTCGACGACCTCGGTCAGCGCGAAGGCGGACATGGGCGCGCCGACGGGGATGGGCGGCATGTAGAGGCGCTCGGGGTCGGCGTTCGGGTTGATCCAGGTGCGCTGGGCTGGGTCGTTGGAGAACATGAGCGACTTGAGGACGACTTGCGAGGCCGTTGGGGCGGGGAGGTCGACTGTGGCGAGTTTAAAGGTGGGCGAGTCCCCGGTTATGGTGGGGGTGCCTGTTGGCTTGGAGTTGAGGATCCATTGGCGTGTGGACGGCATTTTGTCAACTGCAGTCTGGATATGTGTAGATGTAGACGGGAGATTGAGAGAGGCAGTGGACTGGCCTTATAAGTGACTGACTCGAGCAGGCTTATTTAGCTCGTCGGCGATATCCACATTGGGACGGAGGGATCCACGCCGTTTGAAAGTGTCCGAAATGAACCCGTCGCCACTGTGAAACTGAAACTGTGAAACAGCGGTTGTCATAGCTGGATCGTGTTTGTTCTTGTGCAGAACGGGCCTGGATAGGGCTTTAATTCCGGCACCCAGTAACCTTATGCTTAGTGCTTACAGGATTCTGCATCCCTAGTGTGGGGCTCCATATCTCCTGCCTACACCGTACTTAGTGTTATGAAGGGTGTCTTGGACTCCCCGCTTGTTGCAGACCTCGGGCCGGGGACGGCTGAGGTTATGCAGTCTCCATTGATGGGCACATTGTCTAGGCTGGAGAATAATACTCCTAGCAGTGAATAATACCCCTAGCAGTGAATAATGCTCCATAGGCTAGTCCGGTTTCTACAGCCCTGCTGCTGCTCGTTTCTGGTCTGTGCAGCAACTCTGTTCCCTCCTCTTGGCGACATCGTCCAGATAAATAATTGAGGTCAACCCTGTAACAAATTGTCTCGTATATCCAATATCCAAATTATGAATCGAATGAATTGAATGAATTGAACATTATTCAGTAGTGGAAACGACCCACCTGCTTATCAATCACTTATCGCTCAACGACATCATACAACCCCTCACCCCTCATCTTCAACTACTAAACTTCTCTTCCCTAAACTTCTTCTTCCTCTCTAATCAATCTCCAATCAACCAAAATGGCCCCCCAAACCATGCGCGCAATCGGCATCAAAAATGGCTCCGGCGATGCCGACGCCCTCTTCATCGACCAAATCCCCACCCCCACCCCAGGCCCCTCACAGGCACTCGTCAAAATCAACGCTTTCGGCCTAAACCGCATGGACCTGCTACAGCGCGAAGGCAAATACCCCGTCCCGCCTCAAGCTCCGCCAACCCTGGGCGTGGAATTCTCCGGCACAATCGCCGAGCTAGGCGGGGGCGCAACCGAGGATTTCAAGGTCGGCGATGAGGTCTTTGGGCTTGCGTATGGCGGGGCTTATGCGGAGTATATCTCTGTTGCGACGGGGATGCTTATCCATAAGCCTAAGGAGTTGTCGTGGGAGGAGGCTGCGGGGATTCCAGAGGTATGTCTTCTTCTCCTTACCTACCCATTCTCAACTGTACTTGTCAGGTGTTAACTGGTGTAGACATGGATAACAGCAACCCAAGCCCTACACCTGGTGGGTGCCTTCAAGCCCGGAAACAGCGTGCTCTGGCACGCCGGCGCCTCCTCCGTCTCCATCGCCGGGATCCAACTCGCCAAGGCGGCCGGTGCATCCGCAATCTACGTGACCGCGGGCTCAGACGAGAAAATCGCCTTTTGCGTGGACAAGCTGGGCGCGACGGCGGGGTTCAATTACCGCACGCAGGACTGGGCGGAGGAATTGAGTAAGGCTACGAATGGGCGTGGCGTCGATGTTATCGTGGATTATATCGGGGCGGGGTATTTCCAGGATAACCTGAAGGCTGCGGCGCTGGATGGGCGGATTGTGAATTTGGCGTTTTTGGGGGGTGTTAAGGTTGAGGGGCCGGTGGATATTTCGTATTTCCTGAGGAAGAGGGTGAGGTTTGAGGGGAGTACGTTGAGGAGTCGCGATGAGGGGTATCAGAGGAAGTTGAGGGATATGGTGGTTGAGAATGCGCTGGAGAAGTTGCGGAGTGGGGAGTTCAAGGTCTTTGTTGAGAAGGTGTTCAAGTTTGAGGATGTGGTTGCAGCGCATAAGTTGATGGAGAGTAATCAGACCAAGGGGAAGATTATTTGTACTATCTAGATATAGTATACGCTCATACATTATATTTTATACACCATACAATAACTACGGCTGGAAAGGCGGTCATCTATTATTCATTTTATCATTTTATCCTATTTACATCGTAGTGACCAGCACATCTGTTTAAACAATAACCTGGTGGCCGGCAGGCTTCTCGTCCTCCTCGCCGAAGATGTTGATGTTCCAGCGGGGCTTGTTGGCCACGAAAGGAGTGTTGTAGCGGCGGCGGTTCTCGCCGAGCTTGGAGACCTTGGCAATCTCCTCGGGGGTGAGCTCGACCTCCTGGAAGTTCTCGACAATGCGCGAGGCAGTGACGGACTTGGGGATGACCGAGTGGCCGCCGACCTGGGACCAGTTGAGGATGACCTGGGCGGGGGTGACGGTCTTGCCGGTGCGCTTGGAGGCCTCGTCAGCGACGGCCTTGACGTCGGGGTGGGCGACGAGAAGGGGGATGTTGAACATGTTGTTTCCGAAGGCCTAGATTTGTTAGCTTAAACCAGACAACAAACATCCGGAGACATACAGAGTAAGCAGTGATGTGGATGTTCTTCTTGGCGGCGTATTCAACCATGTCGTTGCTCTGGAGGACGGGGTGACGCTCGAGCTGGTTGGCAGCTGGGACAACACCGGTGGCGTTGATGATGGCCTCGAGGTGGGCAATGGTGTGGTTGGAGACACCGACAGCGCGGGCCTTGGACTTGGGGAGCTTGGTCATGGCCTTCCAGGTGTCGACAATGGAGATGTCGTCCACAATGAGGACATCGCCGCCTTCGGCATCGCTCTGGGCCTCCAGAGGGAAGAGGTTGTCTCCAGTCTTGAAGGCGACGGGCCAGTGGACGAGGTAAAGGTCGAGGTATTCGAGCTCGAGCTCAGCAAGACACTCGTCAAGGGCCTTCTCGACAACAGCGGGGTCGTGCTGGGAGTTCCAGAGCTTGGAGGTCTAGAATTTGTTAATACAGAAGTGTGCTGTTTAACCAGGCTGTTTAAACTTACGATGAAGAGGTCCTCACGCTTGAGGCCGGGAACATCCTTGTAGGCGCGCTTGATACCCTCAGCAACCTCACGCTGGTTCTGGTAGATGGTGGCCAGATCCAGGTGACGGTAGCCAGCCTTCAGGGCCTGGTAAACAGCCTCGCCGACCTGGCCGGGGGCAGACTGCCAGGTACCGAATCCCAGCTGGCTGTAAACAGTTAGTAGACGCGATTAATTCAGAAAGAGAGCTGTATCATACGGGATCTGGGCACCGGTGTTGAGAGTAACCTTCTTTCCGAGAGACATGGTGAGTATGGATGGACGAGGATAGAATTGGTGGGAGAAAGAAAAGAAGCAGGCCTTGGGAGGGGGAGGAGGGGGAATAAAAGGTCGCCCAGACGCAGCTCCGGTGGGGTTCGACAGGCGCATCGTGGTATTGATGTCCCGACCATCCAACTTCTTAGTAACGCAATTATGCCACCCATCCATCAATCCAGGTCTTGGGCTTGATCCCCGCCATCCCTCCAGTTCCGTTACCCCTCGGTGGGGCACCTCTCACCATGGCACTCGCACCCTGCCTCATGCCAGCCAATGTTCTGTTGGACGGCAACAGATTCTTCCTGCATGCACTCTCACAGACATCTCCATGGCCGCACAGGGTCCAGCACAGTTCACAGCGCAGCCAGAATGATGTCAGTCGGTTGACACTCCTCCGTGGGGAAGAGAGCGGGCTCTCAAAGGGGAAATTCACCCGGTTGGACGGATAAATTGCAGCCAGCCCGTCAGCCAATCAGGCCTTCGGTTTCTCGCCTCGGAGAAAGACCGGCTCCGCTGGGTCGCGGTTAAATTTGTCGCTTTCGGCGGTCCTCTGCGGCTGGACCTTCTGCTTGAGCTCCTGCGCTTCGGTTGATTTCCATTGCCCTCTCCAGAACAACCCCACGCTGGCCGGGGTAACTCCAGGCGGCCCTCCGACAGGCAACCAGAGCCTGCCGGCAGGTTTGACGAGACCCTCCTAGAACCTCAAATAACCGTCGTTCTTTGTAATATTGCCGAAAGCTGCCTCAGTGACTACGGCATTCGGCTTTCAGCAGCCAGTTCATCCATGCTAGCGCCTCTAGACCCCAGGCGTATTCAATCGGGCCGGGAAGATTCTGGTCCAACACCGAAACTCGGCTCTATTTATTTGCTGTCCGTGTTCGCGTGCATCCTCGCTCGCATACGGCACACTCCACACGGCATATACTATACAGTCAACCCACCAAGCATCGACTTACCTCGCTTCCAACCGGTCTTCGGTAAAATGGCTGTCCCGCTGTATTCTGGAAGTGATTCCTTGGCCTAATCTGGCCTAGCCTCCCAACGCACGACAGATGCTCTACTGGTAAGCGCTGTAGCTAGCCTGCGAACATACTGGTCCGAGCTGCATGTTTAGATATCCATTACGAGCACGGACGAAGCAATTAAAGAACTACAAAACAAGCAATGCCAGTTTGCCAATTGCAATATTGACGAAGAAGAGAAGTTGTGAAGCAAGTTAAATAACTTTGGCTAAGCTATATCACTTGACATATAAAGCAGTATGCACTTGGTCTTCTGGGTCTTGTGTTAGCATTCTTTAACAGGTTAGCCGGAGTATCTGATAAGATCGATCGAGATCCTGACCACCTGCAAGCGCTAGTCCTTTTCTGTAAAGCTCGAGATAATTCTGTAGTCACAGATCGAAACATCTACCCACAAGCAGTATATGCAACTCCTCTTTATAAAGTATTCCATTCTAGTCGCAATACATTGATTTGCAGAACTAACTTTATTGCTACCTTAGACATGATTGGCTTCTATCTAGCTAATATCAACGGCTAGTTCCTGGAGGCCTGGGCATCTTAATCGAAGCTTAACGTGTGATGCGGTTAACTGGGCATTATACAGCGGAGTGTTGGGACAAAAATTGCCTGTGAAACTGGCTAGTGCTGACAAGAAGGTTGTTGATTTGGGGGCTTTCCCCACTATATGTATACAGTGTACAGTGTATGGAGGAGAGCTGACCTTAGTGTTTATGTGGCTTGGCCCTTAGCACAAGGCAGCAACATGAGCTGTCAGGTTCATTCTGTTTTCCTGCCCAGTATCCTGAGCATGAGAGACATTCTGCCTTAATTAGTTAACTGCTCGATCGCTTCAGAGTGGGCTGTGAGACAAGCTCATGAATAGGGCTGGCGTAGATTAATTATTCTAAATTAAGACACAAACACTGAGATGGCAGCAGAGACTATACCAGGTGCGGAATGGTGTTGTCTCTGCCAGCCCAATAAACACAGCACTATTGACGTGATTGTGGGCCATGATAGACCCTGATTGGCTCGCCAAGGGGAACTGGCCCCCTTTCCTGGCCCTTCCATAGTTCAGTTCATCCCTACAGAACCGGATCTTGGAAGGCTCTGCTTACGTGTGCCCTGCGATGCTTTCAGCCTCCCAACAGGGTTAGCGACACACACCACAACCAGGTCTTCAGCCATTTTCGCTCTCATTCATGTATCGATTCTTGTTCTAACTACCTTGCTCCTCGCCTCTGACGTCTCCCGCGCCCCTCAGCAACCTCTACCGCGCCGCCTTATTGCGTCTGCGTCAACCGGCTCTGGAGAGATCGTCCTGATGCCTAAACGGCGTCTCTTCCGTTGGCCAGCGCCCCGGACGGCTGGGCTGACGTTGCTGGCCATGCTGTTCAGTACCATCGCGCTCTTCCTCTATGGCGGCGGTTCATTTCCTGTATCGCCGCATCGTCGACAAAAGCGTTCGTTTTTTTTTTTTTTTCGCATTTCCTGACAGTGAACGCGTGGATAGTACTAACACTAGCTCCAATAGAGGAAGAAGAATCGAACCGTAACCAGGCCATTCGCGAACTTGCCGACATCACAGCGACATATAGCGATTTGAGTCAAGTCGGGTTGGTATTAGCAGCGACGAAATCTGACGATCTCCAGTGGCTTTTAGATTACTGCAAAGAACGGTGCGTCATTGCCGCCAAAAACACGACTTAGCCGGCCAGTGGAGAACAAAACTAACTCTTCTCGTGTTTTGACAGCGGACCTGAAACCGTCCCATTTATCTATAGCACCGACGATATACCCGACCCTCGTCTTTTAAAACCCCGCACAACCCGAGGCCGTGAGGCCACCGCATACCTGTCCTACGTCGTCGATCACTACGACAACCTCCCTCCCTACTCGATCTTCATCCACTCCAACATCAACCAATGGCACAACGATCTCTTTGGCTCTGAAATGCCTGCGACTCTGCGCAATATCCGCCTTGATGCCGTCGATGCGATGGGCTACGTTAACCTCCGGTGCAAGCATGACCCGGGGTGCCCAACGAGCGTCCACCCCTGGAACCCAACACAAATCGACATCGACGGGAACGACATCCGCGCGTTCTTCCCGGAGGTCTACAAAATAATCTTCAACGTCGCAGATGCAAAAGTCCCCGAGCATATCGGGAATGTATGCTGTGGACAATTCGCCGTCAGCCGCGACCGCATCCTCCAGCGACCACGGTCCGACTACGAGCGCATGCTGAAGTGGGCGGCGGAAACGACACGCACCGATAGCTTCGGCGTTGGCTGGGTGTATGAGAAGATCTGGCATATTATTTTTGGGATGGAAGAGATCTAGTATGTTGCTGGTCCTTGTCCTTGATTCTTGATCCTTGCGCGCTGTGCTGCAATTCCGGTTTGCTAACTAGTGTTCTTCTTGTAGCTGTCCCCGATACGAGCAATGTCGCTGTGACGTTTACGGGTGGTGCGGACCACTGGCGGACACGGGCGAGACGCTGCAGGCAGTGCGCGCCCCGGCCTTACTACAATCTTAAAATATGTTTACTCGACCTACGTAATAGACGATTGACGGATATCATTTTTTCTTTGGCTTGCTGAAACAGTGCAAAATTCACGGTTACTTTGTCTTTTCATTTTTGGGGCATCATCTTTGTATAATATAATGGGTTTTCGGAGCGTACGGCTTACTTGCATTGGCATGACATGGTGTCTGTTGTCTGTCGGAACGAGAGAACGCGGGAATGACTTGGATGCCTGATATGGCGGGTGGTTTTATGAGCTGGAGTCTGGTAGTCTTCCATAGATAAACGAATAAACAGGGTGGTCATAATTTCATAGGTATCTTGATATACAAATTTATCGCCATTCCACCATAGCCATCATATAAAACATCACGCCCCAGCAGTGTTACTGCCATTCTCCGCATGAATCGCCCGCTGGTGTCTCGCCCCATCAAACCCACCATCAAGCTCAAACACCGCTCCATCACCCACAACCCTCTCGCCATTCCTCATCCCCTCCTGCTCCGCCACCGAAACCGCAGGAACCTCATGCACGTCCCCACTATCCAGCATCGGCACATCCGACTCTGACGGGCGACGCCTCGGCACATTCCGACCCGCGTTCAAGAACAGCGCATCCCCCTCGCTAATCGTATTGCGATTGCCAGGCCCATTCGTCCCCGGAATCAAAGACGTAGGAACAGGCATTGAGGACGCCGTTGCCGAACCAGCCGTTAGAGACGACGGGAGACCAGAAGACGGGTCCGTGGATGATGGCGAGGTAGAGGATGTGAGTCCTGCTGTTGTTGTAGAGAAGGCCGTTGACACAGGCCGCCGGGGAATTGTCCCTGCTGTCGTGACGCCTCGTTCAGTACCAGAAGTGGATCGGCCTATCGCTGCTGCGGCGATGGGCGCGCCGTTACTGCTGGCCGCGCCCGTGCTGGGTGTTTGGCCTTGGCTGGGAGGATGCTGTTTCTCTGCATCTCTCATAGCGGCGATGCCTGCGCCGGCTGCAGCGGCGCGGTTCTTCTTGCGCTGCCGAAGCCAAAGCCACGCCAGGATAAGCGCGATGATGATCGCGACAACAACGCCGATTACAATTCCCGCAATTGCGCCGCCGCTAATGCCAGAGCCGGAGTCCGAGTCCGAGTCCGAGTCGTCGCCGGGAGACGCGCTCGCTGACGGTGAGGCCGTGGTGGTCGCGCAAGAGTACGAGCCCTGGAAGACCGCGCCGTCGTTGTCGCCTCCCTCGGCATTCACTCTGTCGATGCCGCTACACCCTGCTGAGCCGGTGGCGACGATAGAGGATTCGCCGTTGACGCGCTCGAGGTTCTCGAAGGAGAGACTTTATTACCTGGTTATCAGCCACAAATACAACGCGCGGGTGGGCAGGGAAAAGAAAACATACGTATTAAACCCCCCATCCAAATCCATCTTCCCGCGCACAGTCTTGAGATTATCCATGCTCAGCCCCGTGAGTGCTTTATTATCCTGCACTGTTAGATCGCCTCCCACCGTCTGCGCATCATCGAGCTGCAGACGATTCAGCTGATCGTTGCCTGTGACCTTGATTGCGCCGCCGACATTCTGCAGGTCTGATGCCGAAAATCCGACCAGGCCTGTGTCTTCAATTGTCAGGTCCTCGCTGACACTCTGAAGATTCTCGAGATTGAGGGTTCCGGCTGCGGAGGAGGAGATTGTGACGCCGCCTTTGATGTCTTCGCAGTTTTCGAATGCGGAGTCGGCGTCGGCCTGGGAGGTTATTGTTACGCTTGTGCCTGGGGCTGTTAGCTGGGTTGTGGTAGGTCGGTAGGTATGTATGGGAATGACGTACAGGATGAGGAGCCATTTGCTGCGACCGGCCGGACTAGGGCCGTTAAGGCCAGAGAAAGCACGAGTTGGGGTATCATTGGGAAAATCATTACGGCGTACTATCAGTTGTTGTGTCGGTGCGTCATGAGGAGCCTGGGGGAATGGGTATTGAGGCTATACAGCACAACGCAAGGACGGCATTGCGGACAGTGACTGGGAACTCCTGTGCCTGGAGGGCTAAGGGTTCTTTTATTGTTGATCGGATTTCTCCAAAACTGGAGCAGGCTAGTTGTTTAGCTCGACTTGGCTACTATTTTTTTTTTCGCGATGGTTTCATCTCGCCTTGTGGGTTCGACACTACATAGTATGGGTTTATTGCAGGCTCCAAACTGCGAGGTCTCTTGCAATGGACGAGTCATTGGGAAGACGTTCTTGTTACCTGATTGCTACTGCGTTGGCCAATCTGTGATGGTATTGTTATGGAAGATCAAGTGGTGCACACGGACTGGAGGCTGCACTGCCTCACTGACCCACCGCATCGCAGTTTTCTCTCCACAGAGCTTCCCAACAGCGCAAACCAGCTCGAAATTCAGGACCACGAGGGCTTCGTCAAGCCTAACCGAACCCTTCCTTATCCGATTCGATCTATTTATATCCAGACCCTGTCTCCGATATCCGCTCGAAGCTACATCAAGTATCCACGCCAAATTCAGGCACCAAAATTCTATGGTGTATCACTATCACCCCAGCCTTGGTATAAATATTGTTACCTAGGCGATGCTTGGCCCTCATTTTATTTGATCCGTCCAATCGAAGACGGTGTCGTCCGTGCTTTCTCCAGGCAGTGATATAACCAGTCGGCCATTTCCAGCTCCATCTCGGCCGGACGTGAGTGGATCGCCTTTTTCGCACTCTTCGAACTTGAGCGTGTCGGCTTCTTTCTCGTTCACTGTTGCCGTGGACCATGAGAGCACTGGATAGTTTTCCATCTTATCCTCATTCTCCAATAGGAGCCTCACGATATCCGGGTGATCTTGATTAGCTGCCCATAACAATGCGGTTTGCCCGTTGTTATCTCTGCTCTCGACATCTGCGCCGGCCTTGAGAAGGAATTCGACCACTGTCCGCTGTCCATATTTAGCAGCGAGCGATAGCGGGGACTGCCCATATTTATCTCTGGACTGTTTATCAGCGCCGAGATTGACAAGGAGCTCGACAACATCGCACTGTCCGGTCTTTGCCGCCCACGATAACGGTGTGTGCCAATTGGTATCCATCGAGTCTCGAGAAGCTCCCAGATCCAAAAGCAGCTGGACCAGACCAACGTGTCCTTCGCAAGCTGCCCAAGAAAGAGGGCTCTTCCCCAAGGAGTCAGGCAAGTTTATATCCCAACCTATCATAACCAGCTCGTGTACGGTATTGTCTAGCCCAAAGTACGACGCAAGATGTATACCATCGACCTCTTTTGGAATTGGCCAAGGGCTGTCCTCTAGAAGTACCTGGGCGGCGCAAGTTGCCTTTTGTTTATTTCCTAAGAAGTCCAGCATGATACCTAGGTCTTGACGCTGAATCTCTCCATGGCGACCCCAATTCTGAGCTGCGTAGCGATAAAGGGGGTACTTGTCGAGAACGCCGGCTTCATGGATGGAATGCGAGGGGCAGTCCTTGCAGAAATCGTACGACAGGTATGTTATGCAAGTAACTGCAATATTATGTTGCGCGCTCGGAAACCATGAGGACCAGGTCCGTTCAAAATATTCCTGCGCGGTGTAGTGAACCAACCGAATAATATTGCTCTGTTCATCGACAATTACAAGGCCTGCGCATACTGAAACTATGTCTTCCACGTCCGAGATATTCGCGTCATCGAGGTAGGGCACCCCGATCTCTACAGCCAGGGCATGCTGTAGTTCTCTTGTAGTCAAAGGGCCGGCACAAGTGATCCACGACAATACCTGCTTCGCCATATCTCTCTGGTCAGAGACCTGCCCCTCAATCCGTTCCATGGCAGTGCTATATGCAGAGTCGTACGCATTAGATCCACTAGGTAGGCTTTTAAGGGCCATTTGAACTGCCTTTTGAGACCTCTTCCCAACCAAGGAGTCTAAATGCAACTTGGCGAGCAAGAACCTGCCGGTTCCGGCGGTTAGTTTGCACGACATATGTGATAGGAACCACTTACATTCCACCCACTGCTTTGGAAACCTCGGCGATTATCTCGCATTGAAGGTCCTTGTTCCGCGAGACGAATGATGGGAGTCTGGAGAGTTGACTGCGTAGATACCGCCACACGTCTTCCATGGTGGCGCGAATCTCTAGGGTAGGGCACGCTTCAAACGCAGCAATTGTGTCTGGAATATACCTGGAGGTGGCCAGAAGGTTGACATTATGCTCTTTCTGTAGACCGTAAATTGCTGCGATAAAAGATTCCCGAGCAGTGCTTCCACATTCATCAAGAGCATCCACCACAATGAAGACCCGAGAGAGTTGAGCCGAGAAGACCTGCAGGAACTGTAGAAGCTCGCTGACACTTGGTTGTATCTTTTTATTCCGTGACTGGGCATACGCTGTCCTCACAGAGTTTGGAATCTCCAAGCTTCGCTGGACGAGCTGTCTTACCACGCTTGCAAGGAGATCTCGGAATGTCTGCGAAGGCCGCTGCCGAAAACTGCAGTAAACATATGCGATACCGATACTTTCACCGTGCTTGAACGCTCGTTCCAGGTAGTCAATAATTATAGATACCATGATTGTTTTCCCCGAGCCCGGTATTCCTGGACAAAACAATGTCTGATTGCTACCCTCCAACCAGCCCCGAAACTGGCTTGCTCCAAGCAACCACTGGCCGCTCCCTGGCTGCTGTTGGTTAAGGAAGTCATTCTGCTGCGCTGCATAATTAACCGGGCTCAACCACTCAAGAACCTTATCAAGCTCGTCGTCGCTGTGGAAATGCTTAATCGCAGCAATATCATCCCTCGAGCGAGTCGTCGTCTCACATATCGCAAGGTTAATCTGTCTTCATGAATATCAGCATGTGACAACAAGTTCACATCCACAAAGCGTACATGTTGAGTCGACTCATAAATAGATTAAAAATAGCCACCTGCCCCCGAATACGCTGCTCAAAGGCCTCTATCTCCTTTGGATCCCATTTCAACCGCTGCCACACACGTCTCGAGAAATGGCGTGGACCGCGAGTAGCCTTTGGATCTGCCGTGTCCATTTCAATATTATGGTATCTTGCAAGCAGATGATGAAGCTCTTGAAGAACCCCACAGCAGGACCGTGATATATCCTCGAGTTGTTGTCTCTGGGACTTGCTCAGGGCATTTTCCGGGTCGATGTCTTCGATATCACGCAGGACGTTGGATAGGGACTTGATACTGTCACAAATCACAAAAGCATATTAGCTCTGTTCCCCAAAGGAATAGGGTGGGTAGCTAGCTCGGACATACCCTTCGGCTGTATTCTTGAAATGGGTTGGTGCGTAGACGAAACGCCTTCGGATCTCGTTTGCGAAGAGGAGGACGGAGAGGAAGTCTCCTGCTCCATATCCGAAGCTCATTTTGGATTGACGTCGATGGGGTTTGTAGTGTAGTATGAGGCTATACAAATATATGCAATCGCGATGATGCTGGGGTACAGTGGACGGGGCGTGGTAGGAGTGTGGTAGTCATTCTAAGAAATAGCCTAGCTGTATGGACTCATGAAAAGAGTCTGGATTGCCGAGAATGGCAAGTGCATCCTAGATTGGAACTGTGACTAGAGAAGGACTGGGGTCAGAAGGGTCACGCGCTGATATGGCTCGGCCGTGTCGGGTATAGCAAGTACCGAGTATCTGTTGGTATGGATGAAGGGCTGACAACGCTTGTCAATTATCAATGTATAAGTCTAAGTTCATGTGCGTATCGCATAAGGGGCATGATAATCATGACCAAGGGTATATATAAATCTATAAGACATTTCAGGAATATTGTAACACGGATATAAAACGGAGATACCATCTCAGTAACGTGGGCTCCAAGTATCGAGGGTATGAAGCTCGCTCCACTCGACCTCCAATTGACGAACGATCCAGGCTGTTGGCCATCCCACTTTCTTCTCCACAAAGTCGAGGAATTCAAACGATCCCTGGTGCTCGGCTGGATGGCGAAGGCAGAATCCATCTTGACGGGGTTAGTGTTGGCCTTGGCTATCAGGGTGAAAAACATACATCGATGGAGTAGATGGCAGCCCATAAAGTACGCGTTCACGACTGTTTCGTTGGATCTTGATAGTCCAATCACGTTTATGAGGTGGTATGCAATAGTTTGCTTTGATGGTCAGCGTGAATCGTGTGGGTATCGTGGTAGGTACACAAACCTCTTCTATGCGCCGCAATTTGGCGCGTTCATAGTCGCTTACAATTGAGTAGTGTGCGTTAGAAGTTGCTAGGAGGATGCGAGAGGTATGGTAATATTGTAAACCGACGACTTAGATGGTCAGTTTCATTCGACCCGGGGAGTTAAAAGAACCATACCTGACGGCGGAGACACCAACCACAGCTCTGGAAAGGGTCTACTTTCCGCAGAATTGGCCTCCTGGTATTTCAAGGGCTGCCAGCTGATGGGCTTTTCCCGATGCCACTGCTCAACGCACTCGGATAAATAGTTCCAATCGTTCTCATCAAAGCTAAATGTTGGCGCGGAGCGGAGTTGGATTATTCTTGCACACAAGAAGATGATCCTGTTCGAATAGGCTGCATCATCCCTCCGACGAAAGACGGACGAATGCTCATAATTCTCTAGGTTAAGTTGCATGGGCTGGTATTCAACAAGGCAGGCGTAGATGGCCTGCCGTAGAAACTGCCAGCTGACAGCCTCCGCCAATCCACCAGACGAAGCTGATTTTGACATTGTGTTCAAAAGCCGGGTTGAGCCAAGCCAATGGCACTTTTCATCGGCTACCCTCTCCAGTTCTTCATACATGCGTAGGATTACCACGGTGATTAACAAGTTATCGTCGTATGATTCCTCAGCTTTGCCAAGTGCGCGTAGGAGCAACTCAATGCACTGGCCGTGGTACTCTGAGGCTTCCCACTCACTAGACCCAGATACGACCGCGGAGTGCCGCGCAGATAAACATAGGACTGCCTTGAGGACCATCGGAACCTGAAGTGCTCTCCGAGGAACTTCGGTTGAGAAATGGGAGTGCTGATCACAAACATCAAACTGACAGGTCAGTACCACTAGCCAACTTGCAGCATCACACAGAACGTACCCTAGGAGAAAGCGTTTGGATGAAGGAACGGAGAAGGAAGGCCTCGCGCGTCGTCATTGGCGCAGTAGAATTTTGACGTGGGCTAAGGGAGCTTAGAGAAGGTGAAAAGTCTCCCCATGTGCTGATAGAGGGCAACGGAGACGGACCACTCGCAGGCTTGGGCGAGATGCTGATAGACGATATTGTTCGGCGCTCATCAGGACTAGAGCCCGCCAATTGAGCAATCAATTGGTTGCTAGGTTGGGTAGTATCCTCGCGCGGACTGGGTGTGCTTGGGAATTGCGGTTGTGGCACCGCTGGCAACACATTGGGGGGAGGTCGATTGTCCCTCAAAGGATCAGATGTACCATCTGAGTCGGGATCTTCGGCGGATTCTTCAATGAACATCACTAAAACACGGGTTGGTCAGATTTTATCAAAAGAAGTACGCCCCAGGTTCCTAAATAAGCTTACATGATTGAGGAACCTTCACCCAGGGCTGACAGGCATCCCAGGCCAGCTCGAATTTGGATGCTGTTCCCTGGCTTTTCTGATATACATGGCGGACAGTCTTGAAGCGGAACGGAGGGTCAAGATGACACGGCCGCGAGAGACGAGAGCATTCATTGCATGACGAGGCACCTTCGGCAATGGTACATTTGATATGGCGAAGACGACAACGCTCACATCCCCTACCGATTCGCATTGCAAGGAATAGAGCTGTGCGTCCAGCGCTAAGAGGAGAAATTGAAGATGGTGATCTACATCGGCGGACTCGGGACACAAATTGAGAAGGCAACGCGGTCCGTGCAGTGTACAGGGAAGCAAGGACAGAGAAAATGGCCAGGCTAGGAGTTAGCGAGAGCGAAAAGCGAAGCGATTCACAATCCTGCGATTCGTCTCGAAATGGAAGTTTCCCCGCAATCCCCCGGGTTGCTGAATCAGCCGGCGTTTGCGGGTGTGATTGGTGCCCTCACGGGTCGGACTGTCTCCGACACCAGCCACGAGATCTCCTCTCGCCATCGCTCCCCAAGACACCAGGCAGCTGAGCTGGCTTTTTTGCCGCTGATCGCGCCTAGCTTTTACTCGAAACGTTTGACAAGGCCCGAGTTGTTGATTGGTTGGAAACGTCCGCACCCGTCAGCCATTGTCATCTCCAGGATGTTGAGGTTGGTTCGAATCTGGAGATACAGGAAACCACCAGGACTGACGCTCCCAAGACCATTAAAATAGGGGCCTAAACAATGACACGGGATAGAAGGGCGTCTCGGGATATATAATGTCAGCAGCCCAAATAGTAACTGGGTGTCCAACCTTGCCGATCAGAGCTGCTCCCCTCACATCCACGACAGCCCTGAACAAGCATGGCGTGACGGACGACCCCTCGTGCACCTGTGGACATGTTTGTTAAGTCCGAATTCGACAGTATTCTGAACTTCTCACATCAACTAGGCAAAAGAGACGGTGGTAACTGGTGGCATTTGCCGCTCCCTTCATTCTTACCCCTCTCAGGAGTGCCATCGATTCGATTTTTCGCTTCCGGCATGAGCCCACTGTATGAACACATTTGCAGGATTTCACAATGTTTCGTCGTTTCCGACTGGCAATTGGGCGTGTATCTAATCTTGATATATTCGTTCCAAGGACCAGCGGGATGTGTCTATGGGGTATTTCCGACATCAGCAGGACCCCCAAGAGTTGAAGGAATGGAATTGACCCTTTCAAGAAACGCAGAGTATATGAGCGTCAACCAGAGAAAATACCGGCGAAAGACTATTTAATCAACAGCCTGGAAATTGAGGCATTCGAATTCCGAGCGACCGCGGGGTCCCCATGCATCATACGACTCAGTCGGGGTCACTTTCCAGGGCTTGTGCCCAGGCACCTTCATGTCGAGTTGGATCGGGTATTACTTTCCAGACTTACGATATTTCCGAGGGACTTTATTCAGTTCTATCTATTCTACCCTTGACGGGCTCTTACTCCATCACTAGAGGGCACACGAAGAACTAACTACTATCTCACGCACCGACTCTTTCCGCAGCTAGATTGGCTAGTCAGACAGCCAGGGTCAATACAAAGTACCTTCTCGTCACATAGCTGACCCACGGCACTAGGCGGCCATGGACGAGTAGTTCGTTACTCCGTCGAGCATGCTGTCCGTCTACTGCTCATCACCCAGCACTGGCCACCGCCGATATCGCACCTATACCACGGCAAGATCAAACGCCACAACTCGCTTCAATCTGAAGATGAGATCATTTGTCTCTAGAATAATCAAAATGAATATCTTTCCGTTTTCTTGTTTTAGATCCCGGAACGTCCGGAAATTAGATAGTCATCCTGCTGGTGGGCGATGTAGAGCTGCGATTTAGACCACTGCCCAGACACCAGCACAGACATGGGAGCTGAAACCTCTGCCACCAATTGATGACCATGAGACAGCTTGACTAGAGCTTATTCGAGACCTGACAGTTGAACGCGAATTCGTCGACCTCCGGGCTCCATTGTGAGGGCGCAGCGGCCCACTGATCGGCCGCCGTGTGGAGGAGTCGGCCGGCATAAAGAATTCTCCCTTTTGTCTCAAGAACCCCCCGACTCCCTGATCAGGATGGCCAGCGGTTCGAGCCGCCTGCAGAGGTCTTTTTCTCTACAATGAGCAACCGTGACCCTGACTTCCGACATCAACTGGGCCGATTCCGTCTCGAACCCCTGCCGGCGCAGCAGCTCCCCCTCCCTCCGCCCTCAGCCATCTCGCCCTCCTCGCCGTCTCCGACTTCCGCGCCCTCCGCGCCCACTCCCCCCCTGCCTCACCGTGCTGCATCCCGCACGAAACGCGTCTCAACGGCCTGCGATTTCTGTCGCAAGCGAAAGAAGAAATGCGACTTCCGCTATCCGAATTGCTCCGCCTGCACTCGGGCCGGCGTTCGCTGCACCATCGCCCCGCCGGGCTCGCAAATCACCAACGCATCCGTCCCCCGCGACCAGCTTGAGAAACTGCAGGATCGGGTACAATGGCTGGAGGAAATCATCCGCCGCAAGACTGGCATCGCCGTCGCTGACCGGCCCACGGGCAGCGGGCTGGAGGATGAAGGGGACCCGAACTCGTGGCATCAGCTGCCCGCAATTTTGATCAAGGTCGACCCCAGCAGCCCGCAAGCTGCTTCCACAATAGGAGGGTCGACAACGGGCATCGACTCGAGCGCAAGCCCAGCCTCAGCAAGCCCGTCCGCAGTGGGGACAGAGCTTCCAAATGTCGGCGAGATATTTCGCGACAAGCTCGAGCATCGTCGCCCGTCCGTTGCCCGTCCGACAATCTCTTCATCTGCGCCGCGCGTTATTCGACTCGCCACATTGGAGGAAGCCGAGCGGGTGGCAGGCCAATACTTTGAGAGCATGGGATACCAGTATCCGTTCCTTTATCGTGTCGAGTTCTTTGACAATCTCCGAAGGATCTATGCTGGCGAAGTCCCGACTCCTGAGGTGCATTGCAGCTATCACATTACTATCGGCATTGCCCTGCTTATTGGATCCGCGGAAGATGCAGAGGCAAGGGCAATGGAATTTTATCGCGCCAGTAATGAGACACTTCCAATTGCGCTACATAATGAGGACCTCGCTGCCCTGCGCGCTTTGCTGAGTCTCGCTCTTTACACGCTTTTCGCGACCACGGGTCCCAGCATCTGGCACGTCCTGGGCACTGCTCTACGACTTTCAACCAGCCTAGGTCTGCACAAGGCAAGACAGCCCACCAATCTGATTGACGATGAGATGGCAAAGCGAGCCTTTTGGAGTCTGTACAACCTGGACAGACTCATCGCCAGCACGCTAGGCAGACCGCTCGGGATCGCCGACGAAGACATCACCGTTTCCCTTCCTCGGGAACTGAATGACGATGGCACTGAAACGCCTGGTGCTAGTTCTATGACCATTCCCATCCAAGTCGTTAAGCTCCGTCGCATTTTCTCTCGAATATACCGTTACCGTAAGTGCTGTTCCCTCTATCTTACATGACAGACATCAACTAATTCCCTACAGTATACAGCATCAACCAGCCACCTCTATCTCCCACCGAAATATCCCTAAATCTACGCCATTTCCGGCAGGAACTCGACGATTGGCGCACCAGTAGCCCTATATACCCACCTGCCCTCCTTTACTCAACCAGCTACTTCGACTACCTCCACGCAACAACCCTTCTCCTCCTCTACCGGCCCAGCCCTCGAAACCCGACCCCCGACCAAAGCAGCATAATCAGCTGCGGCGACGCTAGCATCGCAGTCATCCGTTCCTACTGGGACAGTTACTCCGTCGGGAAACTCAAATGGATATGGCTTACGTTGAGCCAACTCTACTTCGCTGGAATTACGATCCTATGGTGCTTGAACCGGAATTTCCATTCAGTAAACGACGGCCGTGGCCCCGTATGGGAGCCGGATGAGCAAACGATGCGGCGAGCAACCCAAGCTGCCGTCGTTATTCTCGAAGAATTCGGGAAACGAAGAGCCGGGGTGGATAAGCTGGCAGAGACATTTCGAACACAGAGTACCACCATCTTCAGCCACTTGGCCTACCAGCAGCAACAGCAGCAGGCTATGGCGCCTTCGATGCCTCCACCGCAGACGGGCCCCAACCAGGTTTTCATGGCCCCGCCTGTACCCCTTGCGCCTGTTCTCGATGATGTCTTGTTGGTTGATGCATCAGGGAATATGCCCGTGATGGATCCGCAGATGGCGGAGCAATTGTTTTACTCTTATGATTGGTTCCAGGAGGAGATGGCGACGTATTATACCTTGTAGCGCTGTTGATTTTACCACTGTATTTATTTACTTTTATGGTTTTGTATATGGAATGATATATCTAGCATTGTAGATTGAACGCGTGATGATATGGTATATACATTATTTATTAGGTGTCTATATTACATGGTCTAGATAATGCAAATATCTACAATAAGCCACAGCCCGTAACTGAACCAGCATATGGATGAAATGTAGTCAGGTACTTCACCCCCAACTACTAGGCCCAAACCACCCCTGCGGAGGAAGCTTCTTCCACGGTGTCCCCATTCCATCGGCGGTCTTCATGAAGACCTCATTCCCCCACCATTTCAGTGGGCCTGCTGGGAGCATGATGCAAAAGAATATAACGACAGTCGATACCGCGACGCCGGAATCTAATGCGGCGCTGAGGACGTAATCTACATTCTTGTCAGCCAATGCATGCTTATACATGGAGAATGAGAATGGTGCAGTTTCCACCCAAAACAAAGGCAGAAGGGTACTCACTATACTTAGACCACCAAGCCGGCCTCCGTCGCTTGATGAAACCATTAAAGATAGCATTGACAACCCACCACGAGGAGAAATTGATTCCTGTGGCCGGCGGGACTAGGCCCATGGCGCTGAATGCAACGGGCCACGAGATGTAGTTTACTGCTTTCCAGCGGCGGCCAAGCAGGTACGTTGTCAGGACTATGACGGGCCCGGCGAGGAAGAACCAAAGCAGGTTTCCGTATATTTGGCCTGGAGAGAAGTTGCGGCCTGGGCCGAGGGCGCCTGAGGTGTGGAGACATTGGTTAGTTTATTTCTACGAAATAGTGGCGGGATAAGTTATATTGAAGGAAATGACCTGCTTACCCCAGATTATGGAGGAAGAGTAAGTGACGAGGCCGTGGGGACAGATGAAATCGCCGTCGGCATCAGGCCTGCAGATGCCGTCGAAACGGGTGATCATGAAGACAGTTACGCCACATTGCACGACTGCGCCGACTAGGGTTGCTAGGCCTTGCGCAAAGAAGAGTGTGCGCGGTGCTATGTGAAGATAATGCGCAAATTTCATGTCAGCTACGAATCTGTGGTGTCATCAAGTCAGCGAGGTTTCCTGCTGGGGTGATAACAGGGCCACCACTTACTCTAGTCCCTGCGAGACGGTCACGTATCCATAGAATTTGAAAACCATGTTGGCAACAGGTTTGCCGAGGAATGCGTAGCCGCCAATGAATTCGGTAATCAAGTTGAGTTGGTTGCTCGTGATATTAGTTAGGGCTTTGACAATCCCCACAGGGATGAAATAGATGATCGGCAGCACGAAGGATAGCAGAACTGCCCACGCTGGGAGCGCTGTGTGCCACACCTCATTGGTAACAATGCTTAATATGAACATCAAGAGGGATACAGCTCCAAACCACCACCATGGAACTGGAGCATATGATTCCATGAGACGAGAATGGACATCTCTCTCATGGCGGCCACTCCATTGTTGGACCAGTTCTTTTCCGTGGTAAAGAGCCGTGTGCACGAAGATCCCCGTTAGATTAGCGAATGCCACACCATATGTCACGGCATATCCAGCTGGTATGAACATCGGAGAATAGCTTCGATAAGCATCGGCGTCGACTGTGCCGTTCTTGTTCATTACCCGGTGTACATCATAGAAGCGGCCGGTGTTGTCGAAAGTATTGGAATCCAGGAGCGGCAAATACGCAGAATACCACGTGTTTGTGTAATAAATTATGGGAACAAGAATCCAAAAGAACAGCATAAAGGAGCCCATGACATTCAAGCCTGCCCAGAAGGGGACGAGGAGAGGGCTATCATTTGCGAAAACGACTTGAGACCAATCGAAAGTGAGCAAAGACATCCCAAGTCCAGACTTCTGTCCGAAGAGCTGATTGACCACAACATTGGTCGGGGCAGCCCAACATATAAAGCTGAAGATACTCAAGCCGGTAAAGAGGTATCCTGGGGCGAAATACCAGACTGCGCCACCAATGAAAACGAAGAGGAAGAACCTGAGCCGGGTAATAGCCCAACCGTCAGCGACTCGGTTGGCTCTGGAATGAAGGGTGGTGAGAAGAGCTGCGTTCGACAGGACCTGAGGCCAGATCATAGGAGCAGGTTCCACGAGCCAGCGTGAAACCATCCCAGCTACGCCGAACCCGAATAGCTGCGTAGTAATGCATAAGAGGACTTGAAACCCGCCTTCCGACGGCATCCTATAGAATTTGACCATTGCCTCGATAATCTGGGTGGCAGAAGCCGACCCAAATGAGACATTGGCCATGATCGTGATCAAGGCATGTTCTTTGATGTTGAACCGGCGATCCGGGTTCAGCCATCCCAAGGGCATCCACCGTGCCCATGCACACCCGATCGGAAACGCTATCAGCTGTGCGACCAGGGCACTGATTTTTACACTCGGCTGCCGCAAGCTAAAGAACTGATTTAGCCCACTCCCGATCTATAGTCATGCTCGAGTCAGCGTTTGCAAAGTGGAGCTAGCCGGGGGCCGGACCGACAGGCTGGGGGAGGATCTGATATGGATGCATACAATCGAGAAAAGAATGCCAATAGTCCACATTCGAACGGTATTTATAGGCAACTCGACGTCGTCCACAGGTGGGACGACTGCTCGCACCTCCGGGAAAGGCGAGTCGTCCGCGTCGTAGGGAAGGACCTTCTCCGCTTCATGATCGCCGAGCACGCCACTGTGAGCTGGGTCATGATTTTCTAGGTTATTCACTGGCGATTCCTAAACCGGGGTGTCTGGATTAGCAATCGGAGAAGAAAGGGCGGGTTGGGACCGATCAGATATTACTCAATATAGTAATACCGTGAAACGGCAGTCGGCAATATTGGACAAAAAGACCGAGAAAGTCAATACAAGCCGCAGGATCAGCATAACCCACCTTTACTGAACCCCTGTGAAGGGGATTCTTTTCGGTTTCCCGCATCCTCCATGAAAAGCCAGGCCTGGCTTGTGATGCCCAACGCCGGAGAAGCGGGATCGAGGACACTGGGGGCGGCGTCCGACTTGGCTGGCGGTGGGCCCCTGTTGGTTGATCATTGATCTCCAAGGTCAACCGGGGGACATCAGAAAGGCAAATGAAAGGCGCAACAGCATCAAACTTGGGTGCAGTTGTGTTGGGATCAGGACTCAGGAGAAGCGGAGAAAAGAAGCTGCGGAAAAGAAATTAAGTCGTGCCTGAGGCTGAGCATTTTCTGCCCCCACCGTGTATTACGCAGCATCTTCTGCCGGGGTGACTGTTTGCTACAGTTGAAGCCTTTGGCTTTTGCAAAAGAAATGCATTTTGCATCTATACAATGTCGGACTCGGATCTCCCGCATCACAGGCCCGTGGGCCACAATCTTAGCCCGGCAATAGTGTGCATGACTTGCAGGCGAATTTCAATCCCTGTCGGCGCGGTCCGCCCGCAATCTGCTGCTTTGAGTAAGTGACAGGAGCCCAACACCAACACTCTCCTCCGCCGCTCATCCACAGGTCCGTGTCCCTCCCGCTCGGTGGACTGAGAGCGGGCCCTTGCTCCAACAAATCCTGTCACTGCGTCCTGCGTCGGATGCCACACGTCGGTGTTCTCAGCTCTGGCCCAGCGGATACAGCCGACTGTCCCCAACGATAATCTCCACGGCGCGTGTTCACAATAGGCAAGTGACAACAAAAATGGGGAACCAGAGATGTGCGAGTGAAGTCCTAGTGGTGCTTCCCCTCCCAAGTATTCGGCAGACCCCTTTTACCTTTTTACCGGCCTCCCTTATATTTCATCCCCGAGCCTCGACGTGCATCTATCGCCGATAGATTTTCCCTCTCTCAGGTCTCTACAGTGCAATTGCGCCGCCTAGATACGATACAACAGACAGCAGCCTGTATTAGCTAACATGGGAGAGTGTGGTCATCCTTCCGGCGCCACCCCGTTTCCGCAGCGTCCGATCATTATACTCGGTGCAGGAATTATAGGATGTGCGGCCGCTAGGCAGCTTCTTCTCGATGGCTTCTCTGTTATCCTAGTAGCAGAATACCTGCCGGGAGACCAGAACATATTCTACGCTTCCGCGTGGGCCGGGGCTGCATGGCATGCAGCAGGTGGGATTAGCCCGGAGCAACGCTATTTCCAAGCCGTCTGCTACCGGCATCTACTGAAGATGGCGCGAGACGAACCTGGTTCTGGCGTTTCCATAGTTGATTCCAGAGAATACCTGGAACAACCTCCGCCCGAGAACTCCTCAGCCTGGGGCAGGACTATACTCCCCAAAGTAAGAACCTTGCAACTTTTAACTATACTTCTCTAATCACCGCCACAGTTCCGCGACTTGACCCCTGGTGAACTTCCTTCGGATTTCAACTGCGGATGGGCATACGAAACCGTTGTTACAGATCCAACCAGACACATGCCACACCTTCGAGAGAAAATCATATCCCTTGGAGGACAGTTCGTTCGAAAGCGAGTTGAATCGTTAGAAGAGCTTTACACACTATTTCCTGAATCGAAAATCTTCATCAATGCTAGTGGTATCGGCAGCAAGACGCTTCGTGACGTCCAGGATGATAAATGCTTCGCCGAGCGTGGTCAAAATGTGTTCTACCGTACGAGCAACTGCCATACGTTATACTTCCGGAACGGAAAGCAGTACACATACATCATCCCCCGTCCATTATCCCAAGGCGTGATCTTAGGAGGAGTCAAACAAAGGGGGAATCTGTAAGCTTCCAATTCCACATACTTTGCACAGGTACTTACCTCAACAGGTCACCCGAAGTAGACAGGGAAATTGCGCAGGATGAAATTTCCCGTGCGCATCATCTTGCCCCTGAGATTGTTCCCGCCACCCCTCCCGAGGAGTCTCTCAGTTACATTGTTGGCATCCGCCCTTCCCGAGAAGGAGGTTTCCGGCTCGACTCTGAGAGAGTCGGAAACCGCGTGATCTTATCAGCTTACGGATTTGGAGGTGGAGGGTATGCTTTCTCGTACGGGATTGCTGATGCTCTAGTGAGGATGGTTGAAAACGAAGAAAGAGAACATGTCATCCTTTGATAACTTGCCATCGTCAGCACTCCGACATCAACATTCTGTGCTAGTCGACTACCATTTACGTTCGTTCGTTTGGGGCACCTCTTGTGCCCGTCCATCCTCAGCAACTGCGTGTGCTCTCCCACGCTGAAGGCGAAAGCAAACCCTAAAGCAAACAAGTATTATGACTTACGACGCCATGAAATCGTGAATAATTCATTCTTCAGCTTTTCTCTTCGTCCCTGTCACATTTCCTTGGGTAAACATTGCGTCTAACCTTTTCTGGCCCTTTTCTTGTTTCTCGACTTTCACCTTCTCGGAAACGGGCGGCAGGCCCTGAACACGCAACTTGGCATCTTCAAGTAGCTCGACCTCTCGCTCTCTCTGTTTCTTGATGGTTGGAACAGACCAAGAGTTCGAATCGGCAGATTTATACGCCAACTTATACTTTGATCCCTCAAGGGCAGTCTCATATGTGTTGGCGTCTATTTTCTTAACATGCTAAATGGTTGTGAGAAACAATGCCACTCAAGGGATACCCGCAATGCTATCAACGCGAAGCGGCAAAGCCAGCGGGAAGAGGCGTACCTGATGCCCAACAATAAGCCAGTGGTACTCTGTTCCCACGGGAGCTCCACTCCCCTTTGGAGCATTCCTTGCGCGTCTCTTGTTAGTCTTATACTCGATTCTCCACAAATCGGGCTCTTCTTTGGTCTCCTTCCAAACACCCGGGTCATAGTTCCAAGTGTGCGAACCCCCAACCGCCATACCAGAGTAATACTGCCCCTTGTACGACTTCATTGCATTATATCCACCAGCAAACCCATGTTTTGTCACCTTCCCCGTTTCATCAATGGTATGCTCCGTTTCTTCGGGCATTTCCTCATCTGTCTCGGGTGGTGATTCGTGCATTTGGATTTCCTCGGGTGTCAATGGCTCTGTAGGCGTATCTGTGGGCTGATTTGGAACTTTGATGTTGACGTGTTCGAGGTTATTATCGTGGCCTGGGGACGTGGGCTTTTGATCCGGGGATGGGGGGGATTTTGGCCTTTGGGATGCCAATTTAGGGGCTCTCGTTCTGCGTTTGGGTGGCATTTTCACCGGGTATTTTGAAGTGCCCTTGAATAGATAGTCGGGCGTCTATCTAAATCAAGAAGCATCCGATTTCATCTGGTAATGTTGAAATGAACGAAGACCTGCACATGAGCTGCCGAATAGCGTCATTATGATCTATACTTAACCTAACCAATCATCACCCATTTTCATAGATTCACATGCCGCTTCAAACTACACATGGTTTGTTCCTCTGTGAACCGTCTACTGGACCTCTGTTAAACTGGTTAAATCGATCTGTCAAGCAATACATCAGATTCAGGGCGGGTGTGTCCCACAGCGAATATATACATAGCTACAACGGGTAATTTCCAAGCAACCAACAACCAGCATTGTAATGACCGCAAGATCCAGACTCCAGTATAGCTAATATTAAGGATTTAACAAACAAACAAATTCACTACAAGCGTGGAACAGTGTACATTGTACAAGCCCCTGGGGCGCAACTACAGACCAGGATGGTGTTCGCAAACACCGCCTTCCTTAAATTATGTGACGGATCACAGGATCAACATCAACACCTCAGGCACGAAGGAAGTCGCGGCGATGCGATCCAATTTCCCCCCGATTAAGAATCAAGGCTGAGCCCGTCACAGCCTTGTTTCGACCCCAGAGGGGCCCTGTCGTTTCATGGGGCGAAATCGTGCATGAAGCATTTTTTCTTATATTCTTTCCCTCCCGTCTACTTATATTTACTCTCTTTTTCTTTTCTTTTCTTTCTCTCTCTATGGCCCTGCTGCCCCTCGCCAAGAAGAGCGTCGCAGTCCCTCATCCCGCCAAGCGCCCCATTCCGGCTTGAGCCTCACCAGTCCAGCCCAGCCCAGCCCAGGTATTTGACGCTGCCACGCCGCCCTTGCGCGCGAGACTCCTGATTCCGTTTCCGCAAACCTTCTCTGCCCTCTGGATTCTTCAGCCATCTTTATCGTCGAGGTGGCAGCATGTCGGAAGAACCCCAGGTCCTGTCCATCCAGGACCGCATCCGGGCCCTGAAACAGGCACAAACTGGGCAAGGTTCTGAGGGCACGGGATCGCCGTTGCTCGGAAATCAGCCAACCGCTTTTGCTCTCCGTCCTGCCTCGTCGCAGTCGAACGGTAGCAACAATAATTATCATAATAATAATAGCACTGTTCCGATCCAGCCTCCGCCGTACAGCAAGGAGCCGCCGCCGCCTACACCGAGGATTTCACACGTTGGGGTTACACCAAACGTTACACCAGGCGCTGCCAGGCAGCAGCCAAAACGACCCCCACCGTTACCAGCCCGCAAAAGCTCGAGCCAGCAACTCGCTGCACCGTCGCTGCCACCGCGACGGCCCTCGGTTGATTCTGTTGCGTCTGATGCATCGCGGTCTACTAATACGTCTACGAGTGCGCTATCGGCGTCCACCACGACGACAGGGAAATCGAGACCTACAACGCCTGGATCGGTGGTGAAGGCGCCACCATGGGGTGCAACAGAACTACCCCCGTTACCCCCGAAGCGACAGAATACCCAGCCGGCGGTATCGTCAACAGTGTCGCGACCAAAGCCCAAGACCGTGGCGAGCAGTAACGGACGGTTACCGGTGCCACCACCGCGACCGGGTCTCCCACCTCGTCCGTCTTCGAATCAGAGTGTTTCGACAGTCTCGACGGAAAGTAGCATCACGCCGCCGCAGGCACGACAACCACCACAGCTCCCTCGGAGAAGCACGCGCGATACGTCGCCTAATCCGCCAGCTTATGAGGACACGAACCCCCCGCCGCAGCCAAAGCGGCTCCCACCGCCCCTCCCGTCTGGTAATGCGCTGGATAAGATTCGGGGATCGGGATTCGGAGGCCTCAGCAAGAAGGTACAGGATAGTAATGGAACGAGCTCGCCGGCTCAAGATGCCGGTTCGGCGGGTACACCACCTCCAGTGCCGATGGGCTCCCGCCCAGATCTCTCTGCGATAATGGCGACCAAACCGCGCGTTGCGGCATCCAATGGCGCAGTATCCAACGGCGCCTCGCCTCCTGCTGCAGCAGCAGCAGTAGCAGCAGCGTGCATGGTGTGCCGTGATTTCACAGCGCCAGACACGCATGCTGCGCGGTATCCGAGACAAACGCTCCCCACTCAAGATATTGGATGGCTTGCTAGGGAGCTCACGGCACCGTTCCTCTCTGCTACCGACAAGGCACGGGCCATCTTTACATGGCTACACCATAACATAGACTACGATACATTTTCGTTGTACAATAACTGCGTAAAACCGTCTACACCTAGCAGTACCCTTGCATCGGGACTGGCCGTATGCGAGGGCTATGCTGGTCTGTTTGCCGCGCTCGCAAAGGAAGCAGGATTAGAAGTCAGGGTGGTCTCTGGACACGGTAAAGGTGCCGGGTATGAGTCTCCAGCTCCTGGTGCCCCTCTACCACCCTTCTCACCCTCGGGACACGCCTGGAACGTTGTGCGACTCGACAATGGCCACTGGAAACTGATAGACGCGTGCTGGGGTGCCGGCCACACAACGGGGGCCAACACGCCGTACGTACGCAGCTTTAACCCGAGCATGTTCACCATGACCAACGATGAGTTCGGCCTTAAACATTTCCCTAAAGACAACTCCCATCTTTACCGCGATGATGGACGGCGCGAAATCAGCTGGGAAGAATATATCCTGGGAGACCCGAATTCACCGCTTTGCGCGGAACAGCCTCGAACCTTCAGCGACGCGAAGAAGCACAGCATTGGCGAGCGGTCGTTCCGACCGGCCTGCCAGAAGATCTCGATCCGCCAGGCTGGACCGCTGCGGTTCCAGTTTAACCTGTTTTGCGAGCACTGGTCGCTGGAACGGCACAGTCGGGCGAAACCCGGAGTATTCTTGCTGATGATCCACGGGGTGGACGGGCGCAAAGACGAGCGTCTCCCGTTTGCACATTGGCAACCGGCCGGGCCAGACGGAGGCGGGGATGTGTGGTATGTCGACGTGGCAGACGCAAGGGTCTTGGGGGCGCCGGGCCAAAAGGTGCAGCTGGCGGTGCTCACGAAACTGGGGCAGCGAGAGGACGCTCGTGGGGTGACGGTGGAGGAGTACCAGCGACAGGTTGGAAAGGTGGGGATGGCGTGGGCGTACATTGCGGAATGGGAGCTCGTGGCCTGAGTTGTCGATTTGTTCCTTTGTTACCCACCTGGAGACGGAGATTTCCGACCGCGCTTCTCCAGATTTTTCATCCTTTTGTTTATACCCAACCGCACCTATATCATACCGTAGCCTAGTAATGTTAATGAGAGATGAACATACAATCCAAAACTACGCAAGACAAGCAGGTCCAAGCAGTCCAAGCAGTCCAAGCAGTCCAAGCAGTCCAAGCAGTCCAAGCAGTCCAAGCAGTCCAAGCAGTCCAAGCAGTCCAAGCAGGGTCCAATTAGCCTCCATGGCGCTGAGTCCTGCACACTAGTCGGCGCTGGCGGGAGTGGCTGCGGTCACGGCCACTGACTGGCTGGCTGCCGGGGGCTGCTGGTTGGTCACTGGTCGGTTAAAAGGGGCCGGGAATTCAATCTCGCCAAAGGATCAAAACCACGGCTTCTCTCTCCTTGGCGTCGACATGCCGTCCCGAAGCCGACCACGATGGGAATGGCATTCTGGCGACGAGCTGGCATCGATAAGAAGGGTTCCATCCTCGAATGGGCCCAGAGTCGACATTCCAGGTGCCAAAGCTGAGAACACGAGCAGACAAGCAGACGAGCTAATGGTGTGAAGCACAAGAATGCCGATCCCTCGAGCAGCGTGAATCCGGCGTTGGTGGGCAGTGGGCACTTCTGTCACCTCGGCCTACATCACACAATCTGCCTTTCCAGGGAATCGCCGCTAAATGAACCGAGAAATTCCCGCTTCTTTCTCGGCGTCGGCCAATTGATTCCCACGGCGTTGTGGCCACTCCGAGCTGGGTTGCATTCAATCCCCACGGAGTCCCGCATCTCCTGAGCCCGCCCTGAGACAAACCCGTACGCGGGCATCCGAAACCTGGAGATTCGCCAATTCTCCGTCTGACTCTCGAGCTTGGAGTCTCGCGAGTCAGATCCTGGAATGCCGCACGGTTGAATTCGCACCCCGTGTATGCAGCTCGCTTACACCCAAGCTTGTTGTGCAGCCGGTGGGCCGCCATGCGACTGCTTTCGGCCATTCAGTGCCATGTCCGCATCCGATGATTTTTTTATTGACAACCTAACTGGAGCCGGGGTAAGTTTAAAGCGAGGACAGAGTTTTCGTCTGTCATCTGTTTGAGATTCGGGGGGTCTGGGGTTGCATCTCCGGCCCACTCTTTCCCTCTCTTCCCTCTCTTTTCCCTATTCCCTAGGGCTCCAGTCCTCCGTCTCGGCATCCTATCAGTATTTAATGAGGCCTTCCCCCTCCGGAAGTTGAGGCTGCTTTTTCTTTTTCTTTTTCTTTGGTTTTTTCTTCCCCATTTTGCTTCCCCGGTTGTCATTCTCCTATCCTGTTGCCTCGCCATGGCTATTGGCAACATCTACTTCATCGCGGCCATCGCCGTCATTGGCGGTGGTCTCTTCGGTTTTGATATCTCGTCTATGTCCGCTATCATCAGCTCAAGAGCCTACTTATGTTACTTCCACCAGGGCCCTATCGAGTTCGATGAGAATGGCGTGCAACAGTGCAACGGGCCTTCCGCCGATGTTCAGGGTGGTATTACCGCTGCCATGCCTGGCGGTTCCTGGCTTGGAGCCTTGGTTTCGGGTTTCCTTTCTGATATATTTGGTCGTCGGACTTCTATCATGATTGGCTCTGTTATCTGGTTAGTCATTACCCAACGATCTCGGGTTATATGGACCCGAGTTAATCACTTTCCATGTTGTCTAACTTGAACTAGGTGCATCGGTTCTATCATCGTTTGCGCTTCCCAGAACATCCCCATGCTTGTCGTCGGTCGTATCATCAACGGCTTCAGTGTTGGCATCTGTTCAGCTCAAGTTCCCGTGTACATCACCGAACTGGCCCCCCCTACCAAGCGTGGTCGTTTAGTCGGTCTCCAGCAGTGGGCCATCACCTGGGGTATCTTGATCATGTTCTATATCTCATACGGAACAAGCTACATCAATGGGACTGCTGCATTCCGCATTCCTTGGGGTCTGCAAATGATTCCTGCTGTCCTGCTATTCATTGGAATGATCTTCCTGCCCGAATCACCCCGTTGGTTGGCCCGCAAGGACCGCTGGGAGGACTGCCTCGCTGTCTTGACACTTGTACACGGCAAGGGTGACCCTGATTCACCATTTGTCCAACGCGAGTTCGACGAAATCAAGGGCATGTGTGAATTTGAGCGCCAGAACTCGGACGTCTCCTACCTCGAACTCATCAAACCCAACATGATTAACCGCACCCACATCGGTATTTTCACTCAAATCTGGAGTCAGCTCACGGGCATGAATGTCATGATGTACTATATCGTGTACTGCTTCGCCATGGCCGGTTTGGAGGGCGATAACCTGCTTGTATCCTCGAGCATTCAATACATCATCAACGTGGTGATGACCATCCCCGCAATTATTTGGGTCGATAAATGGGGTCGCCGACCCACTTTAATGATTGGCGCTCTTGGTATGCTGGCGTTCCTATTCGCCAACGCAGGCCTCATGTCCAGCTATGGCCATGCAGCACCACCAGGTGGTCTGGATGGTATCGAGGCTCAATCCTGGATCATCCGTGGCCCACCTTCCAAGGCCGTCATTGCCTGCACTTACCTCTTCGTCGCTTCCTATGCCATCACTTGGGGCCCAGTCTCCTGGGTGTACCCTCCCGAGCTCTTCCCGCTTCGCGTGCGTGGCAAGGCCAACGCCCTCTGCACCTCTTCCAACTGGGCCTTCAACTTCGCCCTCAGCTACTTCGTACCCCCGGCCTTTGTCAACGTCCAGTGGAGAGTTTACGTTATCTTCGGTGTCTTCTGCACGTCTATGTTCCTGCACGTCTTTTTCATGTTCCCTGAGACAGCCGGAAAGACTCTTGAAGATGTAGAGGGAATCTTCACAAACCCTAACGGAATCCGATACATCGGTATTCCTGCTTGGAAGACCAAGAACGAGCGCGGCCGTGCTGCCATGCTCGAACAGACTGGATACGATGGGGATGAGGAGAAGAGAGTCGAAGCGACTGCACACTACGAGGCTCCAACCACGTTGCCTGCGCAATAGAATGCCATTCTCATTCCGTGGAGAGCTTGATATTTTGGACAGGAAAGGCATTTTGCTTTTTACGTGTTCTTTTTTCCTTCTGCGTTTCAACATTTTCTTGTGATATATATTTTGGTTATTTTGTAGGCTATGGCCTATCAAGACGATTCTCAAGAAGTCATACGCATTAACGTTATAATCAGGTTGAAAGATATAATGGTACCTACTTCGCTACTCTATTACCTTCGCTTTATCTACTCGTAGTTGTTCTCTCGAGATAGTCACACCGTGAAATCCGGTTCGTCTCTTTGGAGCGCTGTAACATAAGCTAATAGATGTCTTAACTTCTGAGCAGGTATATGGGGTATGTACGAGTTTACAGTCTCGACATGTGCGTATCACCGTTTCTGGCCAGAGTCAACAGAGCAATGTATAATCCACGGAAGACATCCGTGCTCTTAGAATTAGGCCGAACTAGGTAGTCCTATTTTCGAACCATTCGGTTTCTTTTCCCTGGATTTTGCGCACGGGGTTGGTTATATGCACCGGTTGTAAGGAGGTAGGTAGGTAGTCGCTTCCCCAATATCTGACCAAGGTGCATATGCAATTCCATGCACGCAAAGGACTGTGCATATATAAATAAAAATAAAAATCCACCAAACAAACTCCTGGTCTAGTCTTTGCGGGTCAGGTACTCGGGAGCTCGTGGGGTTGATATCTGATCCACATTCTTGATCTGGGATTGGGCGTGATCCACCGCAGCCCTATGTGCCTACGAACAGGTATCCAGTTCGTGATGGTCAGTTTCTGCATTTATCATATCCCCTCCTAGTTGCAAGGCTGAATATTATGGTGTAGCTCTAAGAGCTAGTGCCGAGTATTTCCTAGCCTCCAGTCTAGAGTGCTCGGCGAAGGTTCTGTTGGTATTCTTCTCGATGCCTGGGTAGGACTCGTTCGATTTCGGTTTTTATACGGAATCGTTTGAGGGGTTGCTTTCAATGCCATGGATTCTGAATGAGATTAATGGGCCGCATCTGTGTGAGTTAACCCTCGTTAGTTGAGGTTGAGTGACCTTGGAGTGATGATATGAGCCACGCGTACCTCAAAGAGAAATGACTTCGGACGGTTGCAAAACACTAATATTTGGAGGCTTGGGGGTTGAGATTATACCCAGTTAGAAGCAAGACGATCATGACACACAGACGGCCCTTTTGAGATTGAGGCCATGAGTGAGAAATTGCAGGGATCGCACGGCCCGGATTGAGACAAGCTGAGGGAGACTGAATTGGATAGGCGAATGGGTTGTGACCTGAATGCAACAATGGTTGAATAGTAAGAATACTGGTTCATTCGAGCAAAGTCAATGTTCTTTGTATATGCCTAGATGATGAAGAAAACATGAAATTTCCATCAAGTACACTAGCAAGGGACAACCGGAATTTGCAAAGTCAGTCAAAGACCGCCCACCTGGCCGATCCCTATATCAACAGCCGACGAATTCCGTACTCGGCTGATTAGGAGGTTAATCTTCCCAAGGCTGTCTAGCCAATGCAACTCCCCTCAATCTGCGGCACTTGGCGTGCGCGACGAAAATGATGCCGAAAAGAACCCGGGCTCATGCTCTTGGTATAGAAATTGGGCATCCATAACTCGCAGACTGTTGTTACATCGATGCTGTGTCAACATCACCTGGAGATATTGGCCACCGGCGGTATTTGATAGCAGCTGCAAGTCCAATTGGATGTTGACAACTGGAATAATCTACCTACCGAACCTCCTCCCCAGTTGTCGAAAGAGCCAATCGCACTGACTGCCCTTACTTTATGGGCTGACATTTACGTAGGTACAGTCGAATCAGAACGACATCCAGCAATTTTACTTTTGCCTCGTGGAGGAAAATCGCGCACTTGAAGCCTTGTGGCGTATGCATCGGCGAAGGAGCCCGTAAACTCTATATCCAAAATCCGCCCCCGGTCTGGTGGACAGGATTGGGATCTTTGTTTTCGGGATAATCCGATGGGTCCACGGTCCATCAACTCACCGGCTGATGAAGAGAGGCCCGGGGTCATGATTGGTGAAGCCAGGTAGGCAAAACAAGGAATATTTGCCGTGGATGGACCCGCATGGGAGGTTTTAGGACGTATAAGGTTACCTTAGCAGCTCCTTCGGCACGGGACGGACCCAACGAGGTCACTGACAATGAACTGATATCTCCTTTTCAGAGGTGGACATTCGGTATCCGCTTCTCTACTACAGGGTGCGGAGCTTGTTCAATGTTGGGAACATTTCGGGAATCAGGGCTGCCGGAAATGATTTTAAAGCACAACGCCGATCAACAAATCGAGGCTCGCCGTGGACACTAGTATGGGGGGTGCGCCGGGGTCGGTACTGTTGACTTCCCCCGTTGCGTCTGATTGAATACGTAGATCGTGGAAGTGACCCGAAGATGAACCGAACCCGAAATGGGTGTCCATAAGGCAATACAAGGCTATCCTGTATACCGTGTCGGAAAATGTGGCTCCACTGACTGCCAGCCTCACTTTGTCTGCTTCGATATAATCAATCCCGTTAGTTTAATCTCTTTTTCCGGGCGGTGGGATTCCATCATGCCACCTTCCAGGCGACAAAGCGAAGTGGATGGGTTGGAAATATCATGACTCTCATTGAATCCCGATGGTTGAGAGAATTAATGCCTGGAGGGTTGTTTCCCACACCAAATTCTGGAACAGAGGTGTTCTACGAGGAGATGAGACTAGGGTGGGTGACGTTGAAGGTTTCCGAATGAGCAATGGGGGCCCTGCCGTTTCCTTGCTCTTCCATCTCGTGGTCTCCTTCCGCACCAACATGCATGCATTTTCTGCGGAGTACACGTCGGGGATACTCCACAGCATTTCGCAGCGTATAGTCTGGAGTGCTCCGTAGACTGCGTATAATTCTTGGAGCTATAGCTTATCGATTAACAAAAACCGCTGTAATGGCGTCACAGGCTGGGGATTTCTGCGAGTCTCACCTTTGGATCAGGATAACAGCACAGATCCGGGCTTGGCGATTGCTGACCTACAACGTCGCTCGCCATCATGCTTATTTTCTCTTCGTCTGTTGAGGCAAATGTTTCTTTTCCCATAGGGTAATCTATTCCGCCTTCTTGTTCGCCTCGGCATTCCTTTGCTAATTCTGTTTATTCTTCCATTCTCTCAGTTGCTGGACATTAATAGGTGTATACTTGGTGCTTTTCACTAGCATATTAATTGCTTTTCCGGGGAAACAGCGGACTATCAAGTATCTTTTATAAGACATCATTATCCTCTGGAGGGCTCAGAGCGGAGGAAATCTCCCCCGCTGGACAGACCCCCAGACTCCAAATGCCCCCCGGGGGAGCACAAGGATCGGCGGCCTAGCCGAATCTCAGGGCCAAGTCAGACGAGATGATGACGACAAAAAGTCACAAAATACCTCGCTGGGATTCGCTGAGTGGTTCTGGTAGCGTGGCACACTTTGCTGAAAGCGGGCTAGAGCGGGGGGTGGACTGGAGACGGCCTGGAGACCGTGGAAGGGAAACTTTCCCCGGATTTCGTGTGGTCTCTCCGCACTTTCGGCTATTGAGTCGGGGGTGCTCCGTTCATTGGCTGTCTCGTTCTACTCACACCTTACCCATTTGGGTAGGACGAGGGCGAAGGTACCACTTTTGGGGGACGATTGTAGCATCCCACGGCGTGAGGGTCCTGGAATTAGTATATATAGGGCGCTGCGAGCAGCGACGTTCGATGTTGCTGCGGTGTGTCCGTCCTCATCAACGGTTCAACCTATCATTCAATCCCAACCTTTTCTCTTTTCAAGCCTTCCTTTTATTCCTTCTGCTGTTACTTTTCTCCCAAAGACTGGTTCTTTTCTATTTTGCAACCATGGCGAATGACGGCTTTGAGAAGAGGGAGAGCCTCGACGAGATGGACATGAAGGCAGGCGACCATATCGAGTCCGTCGATAAGGCCGCCGCTGTCGAAGCCACAGTCGCTGCCGACGTTGATGACATTCCTATCAGTGGTTACGTCTGGATGGTGGCCTTGTCTGCATCGATTGCTGGTATGCTCTTCGGGTATGATACTGGCATCATTTCGGCTGTCCTGGTCTATATCAAAGATGCCCTCGGTGGTCGCCACCTTACAAGCTCCGAAAAGGAGCTTATCACTTCTCTCTGCTCTGGGGGTGCGTTTTTTGGTGCTATTTTTGCTGGAAACACCGCAGATAGGGTAAGTCCTGTTCCCCTTCGGAACAGCGAAGCCATACTGACAATTGTACAAGTGGGGTCGTAAAACCGCGATTTATCTAGGCAGCGTCCTATTCGTAATTGGTGCAGTTCTCCAGGGCGCTGCATACACGATTGCACAGATGGCCGTAGGCCGCGTCATTGTTGGGTTCGGTGTTGGATCGGCCGCAATGATTGTGCCTCTTTACGTCGCAGAAATCGCCCCGTCTAAGGCCCGCGGACGCCTTATCGGTTTAAATAATGTGTCGATTACTGGAGGTCAGGTCATCGCTTATGCCATCGGTGCTGCCTTTGCTAGTGTGCCCCATGGATGGCGGGTTATGGTCGGCCTCGGTGGCCTGCCTCCCATTATCATGGCTTGTCTAATGCCGTTCTGTCCCGAATCTCCTCGCCATCTTGTTTATAAGGGCCGAATCGAGGAGGCTCGTGAGGTACTGCGCAAACTCTATAATGGTGCTACTGATGTCCAAATTGACGCCGTGCTTGCCTCTATCCAGGCTGGATGTGAGGAAGCACGCGCCATTAGCGGAGATGAGGGAGGCTGGGCAAAAATTGTACGGATGCATACTGTCCCCAGCAACTTCCGGGCCCTCCTCTGTGCCTGCGGCTTGATGGTCCTCTCACAAATTTCTGGATTCAACACCCTGATGTACTACTCTTCCACCATATTTTCTCTGGTGGGCTTCACCAGTCCGACAGCTGTCGGTCTCGTGGTTGCGGGAACCAATTTCATAATGACGTTTGTCAACATGGTCCTGGTTGATCGTCTTGGCCGTCGACGCCTGCTTTTATCCACTGTTTGGGGAATGTCTGCTGGCTTGATAGCTGTATCAGTGGCCTTCAGCTTTATCCATGTCGATGTTAATGCGACTGACATCGCACCCCAAACAGTGACCGCGCCCGCGATTGTGGTATTGGTCTTTATTATCTGGTTCGTTATTTTCTACGGCGTATCTGTCGGCAACACGGCATGGATGAGTGCAGACTTCTTCCCTCTGGAAGTGCGAGCCATGGGAACCATGTGGATGACTTGTTCATCCTGGGCAAGCAACGTCATTGTTTCCAGCACTTTCCTGTCAATGACCAATGCCATGACAATGGCTGGTACATTTGGCTTCTACGCGGGGATCTGCGGTGTTAGTTATATTTTGATCTATTTCTTTTACCCAGAAGTTTCGGGACTGGTCCTGGAGGAGATCAAGGAGGTGTTTGAACATGGGTTCGGCGTGAGATACGCCAGGAACCTTAGGAAAGAGCGGAAGGATGTTATCGAAGAAAGGCTGAGGGCTAAACAGGAGTCCAAACCGGCTCAGTGAAGTGTTTTCCAACTGATGTTTTTAGATTCATACACCACTCACATACCTTAGCGTCAATGTAAATCACAATACCTATAGAAGAATGGATGAAGTCTCCGCTTAGGAGCATTTGGAATATTGACCCTGTGATTGATTCAGCTCGTCCATTGTCGGTAGTCCTGTAGCTGGTGCATGTTGTTCTTGATTAGTGGCCGATGAAATCATATACCCACACATGGTGAAACGTGGTCGTAAGGTCAGCTTATGTGGAGAATGAGAAACTCGTATAGGCGGCTTTTGAGGGAGATTCCATCGGAAGTGCCATTCCGAGACGGCAATCAAGCATCCTTCTCGGAGTCGGGAGGCCGATGCTGGATTCTTTGTATGCGGAGAAATCTGATTAGCCCATGCAGAGCTTCGGAGTACGTGCTGACGAACGAGGTCCGAAATAGAATTATAGGCAACCCTAGTGATAGTCCTATACAGCAATAACCGTCATCGGGATGGAAATTCCATGTCAGCTCCTACGCCCAATTGTGTCATCTAACGGAGAGTTAGGGTGAAAATTGGTTTGCAATAACTCAGGGGCTGTGGCTTACTTGCCTTGACCACCGTCTCATTGAAATAATGTTTTTGGAGCGATGTCCTTCATCTCCAATCTGACTTTTCCAGGCCATAATATGCAGGTTGGAGCTTGAAGTTTAGCCCTGGTTGATCGCTCTGACGGCGAGGATAAAAGTCGAGTAATACATGAAGAGGAAGAAAGCTGAGTGAAGATTAGAAGGATGGATCAAAACACTCAGTTGTGTTTATGAAGGTGCGTGGCATGTGATCACTTGAAACATCAATCAGTATTGGTTCAGTCGGCCCAAAAAAAAAAAAAAAAGAGAGAGAGAGAGACAGCCTCAATAGTTTCCAGACTAACATGCTACTTCTTCCATAGTATCCGTTTGCCATACATACTCTACAACGCTCGCGCATATCTGAGGTTTAGCTACAGCCGCCGTCAGCCCACTCCTTGCCTTGAATTCATATTTGGACTCGCGCTCAGCTGGGTTATTCCAGTCGCAGGAGATGGATGCGTGAGCTGGCGGATAAATGCGACAAACGAAGTGCCTTTCGGGATTTGAGTGGGGTTATCTCAAGCTATTCAGAGCAATCAGGATGACGATATCATCAAGCGAAAACCATATATAAGGATGGAAAGGGGAGGAGGCCAAATCCGAACCGCTTCGGACGAGATATTACTTTTGTGCCCATAGCCGCTCACTACATTCGACATGAGTTGGGCTCGATGCAGGAATCAAATCCTACGACCTTTATCCAAAGTCTAAATCCCAATGTCGACTACCATACTAGACTGGCAGGAGCAAATTCGCCGGCCGCAGCAAGGTCATACAGGGATTGGGAATGGCATATTCTGGAGGATCTCTATTTCTTCGGATGAACTACGACCGTCTCCGAGTCCCAGATTAATTCCTCCACCCTAGCGTACCCGGTTAGTTTACTTCGGTATACTAGTGTAGCGCGTTCGGTAGGCCAGGAGACAAGGAAACACGCAACTATCGTACACTGAACGACGCGTACCGCGAATTGCGGCCAGTAATTGGCATCGGATTGATCAGCTGCATCTAGTAGAAACGGGGATAACATTATGGGATCCCAACGAGGTTGCAATTTATGGAGTCACTCTTTTATTGTTCTTCAGCTGGTTTAGTGGAGAGGCCTTCCATCTGGCAGGGATCTCTCACCCGTCTCCTTTGCTGGAAATAGGGTTATTTAGTGTATCAGACTAAGCTCCGACGGCAGATGTCACGATTGACGAAAGGAATTGCGCTTCGAATTTCCTTGCTCATCTGGGTTTGACAGCACCGACCACGACCCAGGGATAAGCCAAAGCCATATTGGGGAGAATTCGCAAGGTTGTTCTTTTTTGTACTCTGCCTCCAGACAAAAAGCCCATTCTGCAGCGCAATAAGCACGGCAACGAATTCATCCGAGTTGTTTTGCGGATTGCTTGAATGGACTAAGGATAGCGCGATGGGTCCTGGACAACGACGGCGATCTAAGCAAGATGGAGGGACGGCGAGTGGCCGGCGAGTCGATGCAAAGATGAATGTGGGGGAGGCAGTGGAGTGGGCGCGATGGCGCCAAGTACCACAGCGAGAAGCCAACGTGATCCGGCGAGAAAAAAAAGATGAACCCCTGGATTTCTCTTCTTTCAGCCTGACATCAGCGTCACTGTACGACCCCAGACGTCCCTCCTTTTTTACGTCGCTCTTCGATTCTTGCTTGTCCATATTTTCAATCCTTCCGTTATCTTCTCGTCGGTGTATTATTGCCCTCGTCTTCTCTCGCACTCCTTCCCCTCCGCTCTGCCAACTCCAGCTTGCCTCGGTTCTAGCGCCGCCCGATACGTCACGCACTTCGAGTCATTCAAGGACGTCGTATTATCGAATACAATCCGACTGGGGGAAAGGATTACCCGACATTTTTCTCCGGAGAAAACTTCTCGCATTACACTATCATGGGCCGCGCGCGCAAGTCGAGCAACCTTGGGGCTGACATTCGGGGAGACACTAGCGCTCCGGCGATGTCTACCATGAACGAGGTCAGCCCAGTCGATGCAAAGCCACCGCAATGGGACAATGTATGATACCGGGAATTTATCCGACAGTATCTCTCCTGTCAGAAGCTTACCTGCTCCCAGGTCGTTCAATCCACCTCGGAGAAGTCGTCCAAGCCGCAGTCGAAGCGTCGCAGAAGCCGATCATATCTGCGCCGCTTCAAGGATACATGCCTTAAGCATACTTGGGTACTGCCTCTAGTAATAATGGCGGTTCTCCTTCTCGCGTATGCCGTCAACCCGACCACGTCGAACCCGATGCACTCCGCCATCTTCCTATCTTACCCCGAGCCCCCGAAAACTCCTGGCGGTCCGATTATGTATGGTAAAGGCCCAAAGGATATTGCCTTCTGCTGCTTCTATACGGTCGTTCTCTCTTTCACGCGCGAGTTTCTGATGCAGCGCTTAATCCGCCCTCTCGCCGTATACTGTGGAATCCGCGGAAAGGGTAAAACAGCCCGGTTCATGGAACAGGTGTATACCGCCATCTATTTTGGCATATTCGGTCCCTTCGGTCTTTACGTCATGAGCCGCACCAACATCTGGTACTTCAACACAACTGCCATGTTTGAAGGATTTCCTCATCGGTCGCACGAGGGCCTTTTCAAGGCATATTACCTACTCCAGGCCAGTTACTGGGCGCAGCAAGCTATTGTTCTCCTTCTGCAGTTGGAGAAGCCACGAAAGGACTTTAGGGAGCTTGTTGGACACCACATCATCACACTCGCCCTTATTGCGCTGAGCTACAGGTTCCACTTCACGTACATCGGTCTTGCTGTCTACATCACTCATGACGTGTCGGATTTCTTCCTTGCGGTACGTTAATCTTCCTGGCATTCCCCTACCCATTTTCAATAGCCTTAGTGACTTGCGCTGATCATGCATTTAGACCTCCAAAACACTCAACTACATCGACGCTTACATCACTGCTCCCTACTTCGGGTTTTTCGTTTTCGTCTGGATCTATCTTCGCCACGTACTGAACCTCAAATTCCTTTGGGCTGTTCTTACCGAATTCCGCACTGTCGGTCCCTTTGAGTTGAACTGGGAAACCCAGCAGTACAAGTGCTGGATCAGTCAGTACATCACGTTTGCCCTACTCGCCAGCTTGCAAGCTGTCAACGCCTTCTGGCTCTTCCTGATTTTGCGCATCCTCAAGAACTACCTGTTTACCTCCATCAAGAAGGATGAACGTAGTGATGATGAAGATGAGGAGGAAGAGGAAGAGGAGCTCAACCAGGCAGGCAACAGCACCGCAGCTGTGGCTACTGGTACTGAGCAGGCGTCTCTAACGGCACGCTCGGTCAATGCGGAGAAAAAGACACCGCAGGTTATGGTCAACGGGCAGCCAGTGAAGCGGTAATGCCGCAAATCTTCTCGATAATGGGCCCTGGCTCCCACCGCGCATTCACTCAGGATTACTTGGATGCATATAAGGACGTTCGCTCATGCGACTGTACCAACCAGGAACCGCTGATATAATGTCGCTTTAAAGCTACTACGGACATCATTTGTTCCTTGCTACTAGAGTTTATTGCATGTGCTGGTCGTTGTTATCAAACTCGGCACGCACTTTTTACTTCTTCCTTGTACCACCTTTGGTTTGTATTGTGTCAGAAAAGGCGCGCTCGAATGGATATAGCGATGATTCATGAAGAAGCATTATGGTGGAATTAGGTAGCTACTAGGTTAGGTGCCTATTTACCGTTTCTTAATAATACTAATGTTAATGTGAAAACCTGCCGACTATGAGCCTGATATTCTCCAAACTCTTCCTTGCGTAGAGCTAGACGGAATGTTTACCCAGACGGGGGTCCAGTGACTCTAGCCACTCATTAAGCCATCATAATTAAAGAAGATTTTTAGGATCGAAGACTGAGCTCGAAAGCAAAGTCAAACGGTTCCGTCTTGCACCGATACTGCTCGAACGGCTGGGGTCCCACACTCGCTGATCCCAACCCGTGGCTATCATAGTCCAACCAAAGCACCGTCATATCCAGCGGCTTCAAGTCAAACGGGTGCTTCGCGTTGTTCAAGTCGATCGGCATATACCTAGAGGCCGTGAAGCTGAAAGAGGCATCGCCGCTTTCTTCCGCACGACGCGCATCAAGAGTCACACCGGCGTCCTCGTTGGAAACCTGCAGCCATCGCAAGTCTTCACGGTTACCGTTTTCCTGCGGGTAGTCGTAGTGCGTGAATAGTTCTTCCACGGTGGCGGAGTATTCGCCAATGCGGCATGCCTCCTTTGAGTCCTTGTAGCTTTCACCTGGCCCGCGTCCGAACCAGGTCACTGAGTTGAATTTGGAGGGGAGGACCGTCATCAGGCCGATACGCGGCACGACTTCGGGGGTGTTCTTGCCGACGAACTCGCCGGTGGCGTGAACGTGCAAGGAAGGTTCGTCAGATTCAGTGCTGATAGTGTAGACGAGGTCTGCTTCGACACCCCACTCTAGAACCTTGGGTGCGACGCGGACCTTGAAGTGCACGGTGACTTCGTTGTTGGAGTTTGTCCAGGTCACGTCGCGGACTTGTGTTTCCATTGTCTCGACCCAAGCCTCGTCCCACTCCGCCTCGTTTCCGGATTGACCTTCATCGTTTTGCGTCATTGCGCGGTAGAAAGAGAGCTCTGGTCCACGCTGGAAGAAGCTCACGCCGTCGGCTTCCCAGGTGACGTTCCCTTGGAGAAGATCGAACCCAAAGGTTGATTGCCCAGCTGTGACCTTGAGTTTGGCTCTATCCTGCTCTACTTCTGGTCCGGACTGGCGAGTGATAACAGGTGTTGTAGAGCGCTTGGTGGCTGAGGAAGAACCCGAAAGGTGCAACTGGTCCCAGGCAACAACATGGCCCTTGTCTGCCCACACCTTGTCTTCCTTGAGCTTGAACTCAACAGTAAGCCAAGCTTCCTGCGAGAGTGTTCCAGGGTCCAGAGGTAGCTCCACAGTTCGGTTTTCTCCTGCTGGAACACGGGGCAGCTCCAACTTCTGAGAGTCCGTAGTCTCGCCATCCTGGACGACATGCCACGAGGCATCCAGGCCACTGAGATCAACAAAGTCGTAGTGGTTTGTCACGACCATCTTTGCTGAATCTTCGGTGAGATTAACTGTGACTGGCTGGATGATCTTTGCGTATTGCAGCAAACTGGGCATCGGGGTATGGTCTGAGAGTGTCAGACCATCCATGACGAAGTCTGCGTCGTTGGGTTCGTCTCCGAAATCTCCACCGTACGCATAGTATTCAAGATCACCCTCCTTCTTCAACAAGCCGTGGTTATTCCATTCCCAAACGAGCCCTCCTTGAGAAAGTGGGTGTGTTCGGAACAATGTGATGTATTCCTTCAACCCACCGGGTCCGTTACCCATGGCGCTATCCATGATGTCAGCCATTTGCTTAAAAACAACAAATAGGGGGTACTCACTGTGCAAACTCGCACAAAACTAGGGCTTTGTCCGTGTGATTGGCCATGTGTTCCAACATCTCGTCCGGTGAGGCATACATTTTGCTGTAGACATCTGCCGATTCAGCTTTTCGATCCTGTTCGTAGTGGATAATTCGTGACGGGTCCCGATTCTTGATCCACTTGTACATGGCAGCCTGGTTACGGCCGTAGAAACACTCATTTCCGAGAGACCAGATTATGATCGAGGCATGATTCTTGTAGCGTTCGACAACCTGCTCCGCCCTGTCGAGATACGCGTCTTCCCATTCGGGGTTATCAGAGGTCCACGACGCAGCTTGTTCCTCGGTCTCTTCAATGCTGCCAAATCCATGACACTCAAGATCCGCTTCAGAAATCACATAGAAACCCAACTCGTCGGCAACGTCAAAGAATGAAGGGTGGTGAGGCTGGTGCGCGGTACGAATCGTGTTGATGTTAGATTGTTTCATTCGGATCAAGTCTGCGCGCATGTCCTCGTATCGGACCGTTCGACCTGACAGGGAGCTGTGCTCGTGACGATTCACGCCGTAAATAATGATGGGTTGGCCATTCACAAGAAAGTTGGAACCGCTTATTTCGACACGGCTGAATCCAATTTTTTGGCTAATTGTGCGGCCGTTGAACTCGATCAAAACTGTATACAGGTTCGGTGTCTCTGCAGACCAAAGGTGAAAGTCCTCGCCCTTAATCTTCTTAGAGTAGCCACTTGATGAAGAGCCAGACCATTGGTCAAGCACATCTCCACTGGGAGTCAAAACCTTGATGTTCAGTTCCCCATGCTCACCCTGAACAGTGAAATTTGCCTTCAGTGTGCCGCTAGCAAAGCCATCGTCAACCTCAGGCCTTATAAAGAAATCCGTGATCGACGAGCGGGTGAACGGAATCAAGTATACATCTCTGAAGATACCGGAAAGCCACCATTGATCTTGGTCCTCGATGTAGGAGCCATCAGACCACTGGTAAACCCGCGTAGCAAGCGTATTGGTCTTGTTGGACGAGAGGTAGTCCGTAATATCAAATTCGCTGGGGTTGCGGCTGCCTTGGCTGTATCCGACTTCCTCGCCGTTGACCCAAACATGAAATGCGCTGTCCACACCCTCGTACCGGAGACGAATCTGCTGGCCATCCCAGTCGGCAGGGACCTCAAACTCGCGCCAGTACGAGCCCGTGGGATTCACGTACGAGACATTTGGCGGGGTCACAGGGAAGGGATAATCAATATTGACATATTGTGGGCGTCCATAACCTTGCATTTGCCAGGGACCAGGGACCTGAATATCGTCCCAATCAGTAACGTTGGCTGTGTCCCAAATAGGAGCCTCGAAGGGCGATGCATCGTAATGAAACTTCCAGGTACCATTGAGGCTGTGGAAGAAACTCTGCTCGCGGTCGAACGTAAGGGCTGCTTCCTCATTTGGGTACGAGTAGAAGTGTGCCCGTGGGGGTTCAGTGTTGCGGTGCAGCACATTGAGATTAGTCCAGTCAGGCAGGAAGCCTGGCCAAACCGATGCCGCAGAAAGCGAGGCCATTTTCCTCGGACTTTAGGTAGAGACTCGCGGCTGCTAGAATGGCTCAATCCTCGGTGCTACTCCATGCATTATATATTGCACTTCGCACGGACATGGTGCCGTGCCACCGGTCTCGCCAAGAATAGGTCGGCGGCGGTTCTCCTCCCTTGTCGATCCCATTATACAGCTGCATTCCGGATAACGCGGAGTGGGAATGGACCGAGCTGCTTGGAGCCTTGGACGTAGCATTCGCCAAGAGAGGAGGACATTGTTCACCCCGCAATGTGGAGAACTTGTATAGAGAAGTTACTCCAAACGTTGTCTGATCGTCGGCCATTCTGGCATGCTCATTTATCCTATTGGATACACAACCACGAGGTCCTGGCTTGACCCCTTTGGCCTCCGGACTCCGGAGGATGCGTTGTATTCGGTTAAAGTCCGGCAGAAACATTTCAGGACAAAGCATCGGGCCATGGCAGACGTCATTTAGGGCTGTTAAATTGGAACTCGGCGTTGGACCGGTGGTTACACCGTAGTCCGACGAGAAAGCCTCATGCGATCGGTCATTGCGCAGGGCGATAAAGACACAGTCGTAGGAACAGTCTCGGGGAGGAAGAGAGGAAAACGTGCCTCTCCTCTGCTTGGCTGACGAGAAGACTGCGGGGTGTGTCAATCGGTCTGGGCAGGATAGGGACCCTTAAGAGGAGTTGGACAGGAAAAAGGGGTCATAGGCATAGCAATGCACCAAAGTGTACCACAGACTGATAAAAACTATACCAGGCACCAATATGAAACTCCACTGCTATATTTCACATCTGTGCGATTTTAATGAGGTGACTTGCATTGTTTACTTTCCTGGACTGCTCAAAGGGTCTGCACGGCGTCCTGTAGAAGCTTAGCTTTGGCCTCAGGCAGCACATCATCATGTCTCCGCCTGCTCATAGCCTCATCTTCATCAGCAGCATCCTTCAACCTCACCAGATCGCGATTCCCTTCTTCTTTCCCCCGTCCTCTACCTTTAAACCTCTCTATAATCACTGTCTCACTCTTCAGCTTCAGATATTACCCAGCAACAATACCGCTGTGAACCTATCCCCCGCCTTTCACTTTGTCGCATTTTCCAAGCGGGGTTGTGTTCAAGATGGGAGATCGACACGCAGTCCAGCAAAGCCTCAATGGCCTACTCTCTAAACTGGATGATGCCGACCCTGATATGAGATACATGTCACTAAATGATCTTTATGGTGTCCTCAACAATCCTAACTCCGTCTATCTGGCCCACGACCAGTTCTCCGCAACCAAACTCGCTGAAGGCTTGCTCAAAGCTCTAGATGACCAGCACGGTGATGTTCAGAATCAAGCATTAAAATGGTTAGATTGGTGCCTTGTCATTGTCTTTTTATGTTTATTCTGTCTAACCTTTGCCCTTTTCCCACAGCCTCGGTCCTCTTGTTGTTCGACTGCCTCTCGAGAGCCTTCGAATGCTGCTCGATAAATTGACGATCCTCACTACCTCCCAAACAATCGACACGTCCGTCCCAAACACAGCTTTGAGGGTAATTGTCACAGCACTTCCACGACCTCAATCTACGCAAGCGCCAAGCTCGGAAGCTACTACGGCGTACTCTGCTGTTTCTCAAGTTCTCATACCCCGCCTCATCGGACCTATGCCGTCCCCCTCCAGACGAAGAGGCTCTGTCACAAAGGGAATGCTGGGAAAAGACCCCACAAAAGGCTTCAGCAGTGACGCGATAGATGTTGTCATTCAAGTAGCCTCATGCTTCGGTACACTTCTCAGCGAGGAAGAGTTGACAGCTTTGGAGAAGGCAGTCATGTCTATTATCGATAATGATACAGCTGGTACTGTTGTTACGAAACGGGCGTTGGCTGCCATTTCAGCCCTCGTTCTTCACTTTTCAGACAGTCAATTTGCAACATTAGTTTCTGAACTTGTTGAAAGGTTCAACTCGCCCCAACTAAGTACCGTTCATCGGCGGCACCTAGTCGCTGCTGTTGGCAGTTTAGCGAGGACAGTACCTGCCAAGTTTGGACCCCATCTTCCTATCCTGGCACCATTCATCTTTTCAGCGGTCGGTGAGGAAGGTCTAGAGGTATGGCCCTATCATATCCTTTTACATCCGCATCTAACGTGTGCAGTAGCCGAACCAATTTGGTAGTTCTCGCCCGATACCCTCAGCAGCTTAGGAGAAAGACTTGCACTGGTATGTGGTCTAGCAAAAATACGAGGGAAGGAGATCTCAATGTTATTCGGGTTCTCTCTTTAGATTCCATCACCATCCACTGGGTGAACTTAATAATAGAATACCAACACACGTCTTCTCAAACTACCGCACAATAGCCACCCAAATTATACTGCTTGCATGTGAATCGTTCAATTAAACTCCCCGATCCCGCATTATGATCGTGTAAGTAATTGCTGCACTTGGCTCATCCCATCAGAATCAACTCATTTGTATCGAAACAAGCTGCTAATAACTACTCCATGCTTGTTCACGGTCCTCAGTTCCTTCCACTATCGCACCTGCCAGAAGCGAAACAGCACGGATGTTCCCTGCCGGGGGGCGCGACTTCCTTATAGCCATGCAGAAGGAACATCAATGGCGCTCAGTCTTTTCTTCTTCTACCTATGTCTTTGCGTCCTCTTCTTCCCGCCCTTCGTCCAGAGTACACTTTACGAACCCATTTCATATTCTGTATCATTCTCTCGGAATTTTTCTTAGACAAAAGGCCGCTCAAAATGCACGTACGTTATCTTCTGGTTGCTTCAAGCCTAAAACTTATTACTGGCGTCCTTGGACGCAATATCATCGACCTTCCCTCCAACTACGAGACCGTTCCCGTCGTAACCAAATTTCAGGACCCCAGTGCCACTCAGAATCATCTAGCTCGTGATCTTGGTGGTGAGAGATGTGGCGCAGGTTATGGTCGCTGTTCGAACGGCAACTGCTGTTCTACCGCAGGTATGTACGAACAGGTGCGAATAAAGACTTGAACTAAACATGTACAGGATACTGCGGGAATACTACGGCTCATTGTCGCTCTCCGGACTGCCAAATCGACTTTGGTCATTGCGATGCACACGCCACTCCGGGGGGTCCGTCAACAGAAGCTATTCCTCGTCCCAAGATTGGCAAAGTACCTTACGGCCCAACCGCGATCCGGTCTTGCACTACCCCTGGAACCGTTGCTTTAACCTACGATGATGGACCCAACCAATACACCCGTGACCTTCTTGATCTTCTGGATAAATATGGCGCGAAGGTTACTTTCTTCGTCACCGGAAACAATAACGGCAAAGGCCAAATAGACAGTCCCGACGTCCCGTGGGCTTCGCTCATTCAACGTATGGTCCTTAGCGAACATCAAGTGGCCAGCCATACCTGGTCTCACCAGGACCTGAACAAGATATCTCAAGTCCAACGCCGAACTCAACTACTGTGGAATGAAGTCGCGTTTCGGAATATCCTTGGTTACTTCCCTACCTACATGCGTCCACCTTATTCGAGCTGCACCACGGATACCGGCTGTTTGAACGACATGGGTGATCTTGGCTACCACGTTATTCTTTATGATATTGACACCGAAGACTACAGTCATGATAGTCCAGACACCATTGAGCGGTCCAAGGAGATCTTTGATGAGAACCTAGCTCGCGAAAAGAGCACCAAATCCTGGCTTGTCATTGCCCATGACGTGCACGAACAGACCGTCCACAACCTGACCGAATACATGCTAGAGAAGCTCTACACCAATGGATATCGTGCGGTGACTGTCGGTGAATGTCTAGGTGACGCAATGCAAAATTGGTACCGCAAAGACAGCCAAGTGAAGGTCCCAGGAAAACTTAAGCCGCAGCCTCCTGTGGAAAACATCTCGCCAGATGGGAAGTGCGGTGGAAATGTTTCCTGCATAGGGTCTGCCTTCGGCTTTTGCTGCGGTGGAAATGGCTCCTGCGGGAACTCGACCGACGCTTGCGGAGCTGGCTGTCAGCCAAACGCCGGTTACTGTGAGAGCGATTTCGGTGGTAACCAACAAACCGGGTCTGGAATTGTCGGTTCCGACCCATTGGGTGATAGCATCAATTCTGGCAAGAAGAATTTCAAGTCAGCTGGAAACTCATCCTTCCGACAAACTTCTTTCACTCTTGCTTCGGTATTCTTATTTGCATTGGTGTTGTTGTGATCCGTCAACACATCCCATTTCTCCTGTCCTAAATCTGTTGATACTGGGAACATATGTTTTTACAACAGCACGAATAATGCTGGTTGATTGCTGGTCATCAGTGTTACTATCGCTGGTTTTTATGAGCTAATCAGGTGGGTATAAAAATGGAGACTGCACGATTATCTTATTATAACTGCTGTTCCTCTTCTCGACTATGCGCGTATAGAGAAGCCTTATTCCTCTCGAGAAAATGTGATTTCTGCCCTCATGATTCACAGCAACCGTAAAAGAAAAAGAAAGTAGTTTTCCGCCTCAACGCCGTACCCATTCCACATAAACCATGAATCATATAAAAAAAAGCAACGCACCAGGGAAACCCTAGGTGAAGATCAGAATAAAAAATACAGAGCGTCCATCTGCGAGCAAATTGTACATCAGAAAAATAAAAAGGCTAGCATCAACAATACACAACTCGTGAGCTCAATCACCCAGCAACAATAGCTAGCAGCATTTAACGCGAAAGCAGATACACTGACAGAAATTGAAGGTAGTATAAATATTTTGGAAAGAAACGTAAAAATAGAAATCACCGCTTAATAATCTTCAACAACGGTGCAATCCGAGCTTTCTTGCTTAAACCGACGCGATACGGAACCTTGCTCGTTGAGGATATAGGACTGTGCTTGCCCGGTCCCTTTGTAGATGGCGTGCTCGGGCCGTTGGGCTTCTGTGGTGTTTCTAGAGGCTGATGACTTGGTACCTGTCCCGAGGTTTTGGCTGGCGAGGTGGTTTGTTGGGCTTCTGAAAGTGGGTTAGGAGACGGTTTGTCGTCTTCGGCAATAGGATCCTCAACCTCCGGGGTCTGGGCACGGGTGGTGGATGCGTTATGGGCTTCGTTTTGTTGGGCCTGGTTATTATCCTCTTCGTTAACGATCACCGTTTGGGTATCTGGTTCATCTGCTGCTTCTTGTTCTAGCTGCTCTGCCGTCTTCTTTCTCTTCCGGCCGCGCTTTTTCGGCGCTGGCGGTTGCTCTTCGATTGCATTGGGACTTGGGTCCGCAGGCTTTGTTGTTGGTTTTTCATCACGAGCTGCAGTAATAGGGCGTTCATCTATCCAGATCACATTGTCTTCGACACCTGGCTCGTATGTCTTGGTAAGAGTCACTGAGGTTGTTTTCCCGCGTTTGAGTTTTTTTTTCTTCGGCTCTTTTGCTGGCTTGGAGGATACCTGTGCAGTTTTTTCTGGGGTGTACGTTATAAGGGATTCGACTTGGTCGTCTTTCTTAGGCTCGTCAATGATACTCTGAGCAACACCACCGCCTGTGGCACTGTCAGTCAAAACTTCCGGTGCATCAGGAACTGCGCTCTCGGGATGCTTTGCCGGTTGAATGAAGGGATCATCCGCAAGAGTATGGGGGGCAGTGGCGACACCATCATCAAAAGCCACTTTTGCGTTCTTCGGGGGCCTACCCGGCTTGCGCTTTTCAGGCTTGCTAGGTGGATGTTCACGGGGCTGGGGAAGGGAAATCTCATCGTCTTCTTCAACAGGAGGCACGACCTGCTTTTTCTTTCGACCCCTCTTCTCAACTTTGGGCAATTTGGTTGTGACAGGTAGGGAAAGTTCATCGACGCTACCGGATGAGGGCTGCACCATATTAGGGGCAGCATTATCGCTCTTAGCTCTAGTCACTTGCGGTGAAATCACTGATGAGAAAGGTTCTGTATCATGCGGGGATGATGCGGCTCCCTGCATAGAAGTCCAACGACGAATCTCAAGGTGCTGCATAGGCTCTGTTTGTATCGTTACACCTGAGTCACGGATAAAATCGGCTCTGTTCAGTTGACCAGATGGTGTATGTGAGGAAGAGTCAAAGATGTTGTATGAAATCGATTGGGACCAGTCATCGCTCGGGTTTGTTCCCTGGAGCTCTGCAGAGGGGATGGAATCTTGTGCTGTTGTAGCTTGTGGATCATGAGCTTCGAGGGTATTCGCTCGTGGAGCCATTTCGTGAGCTACATTCTCTATTTCCCCGTACTCATGAGGCATGGTCGGTTCAAGAGCGTACTGGGCTTGCTGGTCATCGTCGAACAATCGTTGTTGCGCAATGCCAATTTCCGTCATCATATTGCCTATTCAGGGATTGCGTATAATTAGCGGGAATTTCTAGAAAATCAAGTGGCCGTAGATGGCTTAGATAAATTGAACGAGTTCCAATGGCAAAGAGTTGAGAAAAGAGGGCGAATTTTGGTGGTCCATACCCATTGATCCAACTCGACCCGTGACCGGTATCCATCGTTCTTCTCTGCGCTGCTGGGATGAGGTCAAAGTCCTCTGCGGGGCGTTTTGCGGTTCAATAAATTCGTCAAAGTTTACTCCGATATGGGAATCAAGGTTGGCTTGTTCTAGAGCCACAGGACTATCTCTATGCTCTCCATAATTTGATACAACGCGCTTCGTTTTCTCTGGGGAAACCTCCCCGAGAAGCTCATCCTCATCGTCGGAATCCTGAATCACACGATCATAGGGCATTGGGGCTTTAATAGATTCATAGAAGATCCGGGTATAATTTGAGTCAATTAATCGGGTAAAACTAAGCCATCACTCAGCCAGCGGTTTCTTCTCCCCAAATCGCGTCTCGGGGAAACTGTGGGAAAGGAACGCGGAGTCACGTGTAGATAAGATAGCGTTGTCTAAGTCGTATCCGCCTCGATCTTTGGGCAACAACAACAAAAATTGAAGATATATATACACAAAAACACAAAACAGTGGGTATTCTCTACTCCATAGTAGTCTGTGGTCGCATTACACCCCTTCCAAAGAATTCGCTGATCGCACCATATCGGTCCTTCGACCGTTGAAGCTCCGCCTTGAAAAGATCATGTTGATCTGCTGATTCGACCTGTCTTCTCCGAATTGCCTTGATAGTAGAATTCTCCGGGGCACAGGCTGGACATTCAGCATCATCATCTACTGTGTTGAGACAGCGTTGGTGGAAAGAGTGCTTGCAGAGGAAATGGACCGTGGGAAGGTCGAGAGCCCTATTGCAGGATGTACAGCGGCGCGCCTGGAACACAACGGGCTTGGAACCCAGCTGTTCAAGCTCCTGCATCTTGGTTTCAGTTTCAGAGCTGTAGCTCGATATCAGGCGGCGATTCTAAGAATGTAGGTCAGTTTAGGCCGTATTAATCAATTCAATGTAAAAACTCACGGAAGATATTTCCTTGCGTTCTCGCTCGATGTTGTCGCTTAGATACTTCTTCACCCTCCCCATGGTCACAACAGCGTTGTTGCTGAGCGCCTGTATCACCTGGAGTGGTGACATCAGCCCTTCCTGAGAGATTCGCTTCAAGACAGCGTCAAGCTCGTCTCCTGCCTCTTCTAGGATTTTGGGGCTGGACGCGAAATACGTCAAGGCATCCACGTATAGCTGAGGCTCCTCAGGCCCGTATTTCTTTAACGCTCGAATTGCTCCCTGGGTATCCTTGGCAGCAGTAAATGATCGGAAAATGTCTGACCGCAGACCCGCCTGCTCTCGAACAAGGGTGGATCCTTCTTGGAATTCCGATAAGTCGGAAAGGAGGAGGACGCTTGAGGTTGAGATCGGAATCTAGAAATCGTCAGCTTTGTGGAAGTTGTGGTTGGAACATCAGTCTTACTTCTTTTCCCTCAATCAACTTTTTAGCTTTGTTCTGCCATTGCTCCTTCTCGTTGTTATCTTTTTGGCGGCCCGCTGCGTTGAGGTACATCTCGAAGAGGGTCGTATAAAGATCTACTTTATCTTCTCTCTTGAAGTCCTCTTTGCTGATGAGCGCCTCCAAGAAGGAAATGAATTCCTGGGGGTGACCAACAAAAGCCGAGAATGCTGTGCGTGGTTTGGGGATCTGGTAGCTCGGGGCACGCTGTTCCTTATCTTCTAACACGGGCTGAGCCTCGACCTTTTCCGTCTTTGAACCTGCACCGGCATTCAGCAAAGGCAAGGGAAGGAAGGCCGCCAGGCTTTGTAAAGGATTGCTGTTTTGCGCTTGGCGTTCCGGTCCAGACTCGACTTGTTGCGTCCTTGGTTCATACTCTCCTTTGTAGTATGCAATGAAAAGCTCAGTTGTCGTTGATGGAGAATTGGACAGTAACACGCGGGCATATTTCATGAGGTTATGGTACGCCTTGCACTGGTCAGTAGAAGGCAAATCAAGCTCAAGAAATTACAACGCACCAATTCAGGTTCCAGCCTCCAAATATATTCCAGCGCTTCGGCATATTTTTTGGAATCTTCGATCAGTATATCCACGACCATGTCGTTCTCTCCGTATTTCGTGGCCAGATAAGCGGCTTGTTCGTAGTAGCCACCTTGCCGGCACATGGCAATGGCTGTTTCCAGATCAAACTTAAGCTCGCCTGGTGCTTTTATAAAAGCATCTAGTTTCTCTGTGTCTTTCAGTTTTGCGTAGCAGTTAAGTAGCAACGTGGTGTGATCAACTGAAGCGCGGTCGTGGTCGTGTAATTCTTCCAGGTACTCTATAAGGTTATGAATCCGTTGTGTATCGAGGTACTACTCGTCAAGCTTTGTGAGTATATATTCAATTAACAGATAAGAGTACCAACCTTTCTAATAACTTGTGACGGCTCTGTATTATCAATGGCCCTTAGATATTGCTGCATTGCCGTATCGTAATCCCCCTTCTGGTACAGATAGTCGCCGTACTTGCGGTAGATGGCGTTCTGTTGGAACGTGTCGACGCCGATCTTTTGCGCAAGGTTGATGGCCAGGATATAAAGATTTCGTTGGTAGAGGATCTCGAGCTTCTGTTGAAGGCTCTTCTCACGGTATCTATAAATCTGAGCACTATTAGCGGAAGACCATTTATCGAACTTTCAGGCATACCTTTCCATCTGTAGTAATTAGATAAAGATTTCCCCATTCTTTGAATATCTGTCTTACGGACGACACAAGGGACTCTGAATGAGCAATAAACTTGAGGTCCGTATCCAATAGAGTAAACGTCGCAGTGCTGAATATTTCATCTTTACCAAAACTTTGTAACCCGCCCGAACCTGGCGTACCGCCTCTGGGCGGGCAAACCAGGGTAACATAATCCCTGAATGTGTTAATGGAGCTCTTAGGGCTCTCGAAGGCGTAGCTTTGACCGCGCCCATGGGGACCATAAGTATATATAGCATCCTCTCTGGCCACAAGCACTTCACCACTGTCTTTGTCCAGGGTCATGCACCCAAGACCACATCCTGTATCTTCAAGCACTCGAGCCGGTTGTCCCTGTCCTCGGCCGGATATCACAAGCGCAAGTATCCGACTTGTAGTGGAAATATAGAGCGTAGTCACAGCCCCACTCTGTACCTCGAGCCCAGTGACGGGCTCCTCAGATTCAAAGACTATGCGTTGTCGGGCGCCACGGTCGTGTATCAGGTCGCCTCGAATAATCGCGACGGAGCCATTCCCGAAACCAACTGCAACTTGAGACAAATCACCGAGCACTGCGAACACGGATACCTATAGATAAATTCTCTCAGCACTTGTCCATATAGTCATACCCCGAGAATGTACGGACCGGAAATGACCTCCTCGCATTCTGCACCGTTGTCGTCGATAAACAGCTCGGGACCCCTGTCTTCTTTTCGGGCTTATCCAGAGCCCAGACTTTCAACACTGGTTCGTTTAATAAATCCTCAGATATTGTTACAAGTAGCGATGTCCCTTCGATCTGTTTGATGTGCGTGATCGATCCATTATCTGACGCCTTGAATGATTGGACGACCTTGAAGGAGGAAGAAACAGTCTGGACGAACCCATTGGTGGTTCCGAGGAAGAGGTTGGCTGAGCCGGCGCATAAGCAGGTAGTGTCTGACTGTTATGCAGGTTAGATGTGGTGACTTGATATCAATGCGAAGGGATCCGCAACGTACATTGAAGAGTGACAAGCTATCTTCAGGAAGCTTGACCGGAGACACATCGAAAAAGTTGAACGCTTTCCACTATTTCGGGGCACATTAGCAGTTCGAATGAGTAATAGATAAACATCATTGAAAACATACTGATGTCAGAGCCATTTTGACGTGGCTCACGCCATGGGAGGGAGGAGGTCGAGGAAACGGGGTCCGATCAGGCGGCGGCTTTGCGGAGGTGTTATCGTAAAGCTCCGCCGCGCCAAGACACAAGAAGCTTGGACCACTTACGGGACCACTTACGAGACTAACATCATACTTCAGGCCCCTCGAGAACCCCATATATTTTCATAATACTGTAATTAAAATTTTACGTCCTGGATAACAAAATAGAAAATTATGTTCATGGACTAGTTAAAACCCGAAACTCCGTGAAGAGTACCAAATCGCTATGCTATCATAAAATAAAAATGGAGAGCATCGCTAGGAACGCCATAGATATGTCTCGAGGGAAATGCGAGAAATATTACAGTTCAGCATCTGAAACTATTGAGCAGTCTCTGAAGGATAAGGTCGAGGCAGCTGGGCAGATTTGCAGTGCGTAATGTCCTTATTGATCTCGAAGCTTTGCTGCAACCAGCTGCCCGCTTCTGCAATTGCCTGGCTGAGATCAAAGCTTTCCACAGCTTGTCCTTCCTGGGCTGTTGGTGGTGTTGTGCCCGTCAGGGTCATTGGCAGGGCGTTCTGCTCAGATCCAGAAGGCGAATTACGAGCTTCTGCCGAGTTCGGCTGCACAATGCCTTCCGTGTGTTCCTCTTCAGGCGTCCAATCCTCTGACGGGATCTCAGACGGCGATGATAAAGCAAAACTGGTTGTTTTTCGCTTCTTGTCTTTCGAGATATCTTTTCCAGAGGACAGTGTACGGAATTCGGCTTTCTTCTCCGTACTAAATGTGAAGGGTGTCACAGCGTCGACCATGTACTGTGTGCTCAACATTTCCCGCCTATCTGTCCCGAGTTCATTTAGTCCACTGGGAATTCCTCGCTCGCGCGTGTTGATTGCGTGGAACGGAGTAATGTTGACTGCGTTCGGGGAGTGGTGGTTCGGGTCTTGAGATGCTCGTCGTTTCTTTGCTGATGTCACCGGGCTGCAGTCGGGGCTTAAAATATCATTCTGGAAAGACTTCTGCGCCATCATAAGGGCCGCCTGAGTGGAAAATTGCTGATCGGCGTTATGTTCCTCGGTACGGTTTGAAGTTGCTTTCGACACCGCAATCGAATATAGGGATGTGAGGTTATCGGAAGGTGCCGGATTCACAGCTGCATGTTGGGCTGACGGTAGGTTGTTTGCGCTTGTGGTCTCATTGGTAGGGTTGTTAACCAACCCTTTGTCCAAATTCGTTGACATGGGATTCTCCGCAATATTAGAGGCATTCGTCAAGGTTGTAGAGTTCATTGTATTTTGCTGAACGTTAGGGTCTACCTGGATAGGTTCAGCACCGCATGTCAATGGAGATTTATCGGGAGGCTTCTCCGGTTTGTCTGCAGGCACATCAGAGGTACCAACAGTGCCAGCCTCACTACCATCTTCCTCTCTAGGTTTTGGACTGTGTTGTCTTTCTATTTTCTCGGTAGGCTTGCCATGTTGTTTCAATCGATACTCGAATTTTGGTAGTTGAGATGATGACGATACCACGTGGACTGATCCGTTCACAGACTGAGAGCTATCTTTCTGCAGGGTCGATCCAAGTGTGTGACGTCCTCTGTGGGAAGATGAAACACTATTTTCTGATTCAAGTTGTTTCGAATGCTTTCTTTGGTGGCCTTTTGATGTTCTGGCTGATTCATAGTCTGCCGATCCTGGTCTGCCATTTGACTGAGAACCAGCCGCACCACCTTTTTTCAGTTGGCGGGAAGATATACTAGTCGTGGGAGAGGTTGGTGGTTCGATATTCTGGAATCGGGTAGAGACCTTGCCCTTTTTTAACCACTTTGAGTCTGTAGGTTTATATCGAGTGAAGCGAGGAGATTGACTATCGCGCGCGGCAGATGCTAATCCAGGCTCCCGGTCTGTAGGCTTGAGTTTTGCGTGTGTGGGAGAACGCTCAGGGCGAGACCAAGTCTGCCGGGTAGCCGAAGATGCAGAACAAGGAATGACAGTTGGGCTTTGGTGGTGTCGGCGTTTGTGAGAGTTGGTTTCCGGTATTACCGGTTGTTCTGTCGGGCCGTTGTCGCGCTTGTTTTCAGCGGTTTTTCTCCTGTCCTTTTTCCATGGGTTTACCCAGCCTCCATCCAAAGGACCCCGGAGAGAAGCAGAGAGGATAAAAAGAGAGGTACCCTTCAGGTATGCCTCCCCGAGCTTCTCAACCCTCCGGCGCCTCGCGGAGCGTTGGCTCTCGTCAAGGTCATCGTCTGAGCACGCCAGCTCATAGTCATCCAAGTCCGAGTCTCGCAATGGGCATGTTTCCAGTGCGAGGGGGGATACTGGTCGATGGCGTGGCATCTGTGGGAAGTGGGGTCATGAACGGCCGGGGGATGTTGGTGTTTACAGTGTTGCTGCTGTAGGTCACTGCGGTCGGGGCAAGGCTAAAAGGTCGAGGGGATAGGTTCGCAAAGAGGGACTCATGTCTTCTGCACCAAGCGTCTGCGTGTTCGTCTGGCCCAGTCGTGCCGCTATTTCCTCCGAGATGTTCTCCTGCAGCTCAGTCAGGGAAGTTCGCGAAAAAACCACTTAACGCGCTGGGTTCCCTGGCAACGTGTCCCGCGTGTGTCATTGGCCGCACTCAAGATCATGTGATATCAACAGAGATCAATGCCAGGCCGAGGACTAAATCTGCCTAACTGCGCCGACTGCTCGGTGTTTAATGATTTCAACAAACCGTTATAACTAATATTATTGTAGATGCGGAGTACTACTTACTCATATCTAGTACGTAGCAAAAATTTTTCCTTTCTCCTCGCCAGTTCCTGGTTGTTCCCAGACTTTCGACTACTATTTCCTACCATGCAGATCAACAGGGTTTTGGCTGTGGAAAGCGACCATATACAGGGCATATTTATCATTATAAGTCATGCAATTTTGTTGCCAGAAGATGTTTTACAGTACCTGCCGCTCAAGCGCAAAGAGGAATGGATCCGAGAGCACCAGGAAGAGTGGGTTATGGGTTAAGAACCATGCCCCAATAATGAGCGCTTCTCTACATATATCAAGAATTCAGTATCGCTTAGAGATTTTGTACCCGGTAATAATATTCAATTGAAGTTGTCTTATAGTAGTTACTTATTTTTTGGGCAGCAACACAACAATATGTTTAGCATCATACCGGTCAGTGCTAAATTCTTCCCGAAGGCACTTATATATAATTGGTGGTCACACTCGCTTGGTTAATCGTATCCAAAATGCTTCGTGCTAGTACATTATAAGAATTTACTACTATTCTATTACTTAGCTTATCAATTGAAAGCTGAGCGAGCCAGAGCCAAGGCTTGCTTATGCCCTGCGATGATTCCACCGGTAGCCTCTGCGGGGACCTTGTGGCTAGTTGGTTGTTGCAGGGATATATGGAGACTCGCACTCCTTGCACAGGAAAGTCGGGTATCTCGACTTTGAGCATTTTATAGAGGGAGTCGAGCGCCTTACTTCAAGTAGTCGGGTTTTTTTTTTCTTTTTTCCCTTCTTTTGTTGGCGATTTGTAGACTAATGGCAATTCATCGTACCTGCTTCAAGTACCAGTAGACTCAGTTGCTGCAGGCCAACCTGCAGGGGCGCGCACGGGGGATGAGCCATCAGCAAGGGCAAAGGAGAGCCGAGGAGGACACAAAATTGGAACGCAGAATAATTCGATCAAATGGCCGCAATGGAGTCGAGCAAGTGGGCGTGCAAGGAGAATAAGGTGCATGAAAACAAGCGGTGGGATGGGTCTGGGCTGACAGCTCAAGCCTCAAGCGCCTGGAGCGACCCGTGGAAGCGATGGGGTTGCCCCGAGCACCCGAACCACGATTCAAGGCCGACATCACAACAAGGATAATAACTACTCTGCTGGCTTCCCCTCCTCTTAGCACAATGCCTGGATCCATTAGTCCTTGAGACTTACCCTCAGTTATTGTTTCTGCTTTTTATTGCTAATTTATTTTTTTATTGCTGTGCTCGTTGTTCCCCGGTGCAGCTGCTCTATGTTTTCACTGCATTTGTTAATTTCCGCAGTGCCTGGGTTCACTGCGGCATTGAATGCGACGCGCTGAGTCGGTTTCAGCATCCGTGAAAATTGACTCAAAAGCTCAGACAATGAGTAACCAGCCATGGCTGGACAGCCTTTCAGACGACTGGGTGTCGTTGCCTGGGACTCCCACCAGCCCTGCTCCCATCCGCTCACCTATCAACAACCACTCCCGCCGCTCCAGTCGACAGAACACTCCTAGCCGCATTCCTATCCCCGCGCGCCGTTCCATCGAGCCCTCTCCATCATCCGACGCGAAGAAAAAGATTCCGCGACCGTGCCATCATATTAGGCGAGAACCTCCAACGCCCAAGACCCCGCGAACCCCCAAAACACCTTCTAAACCCAGATCGCCCTATCCCAACATAAGCCCAAAGCCGACACCACCCTCTGGGCGTAAGAGAACACCCCTCATGGACGGAAGGTCGCCTTTGCGATCGGTCTCCAACGCGTCAAGTCAACCTGGACAACAAAGCACCGTGCAAATCAGGCCGAAGAAGGAGAACAGCAAAAACAGAACTCCGGAATGGCGAAAAAGATTGGTAAACGGTGATATTCCTTCTGGCGAGCAACGCGACCTGTTCGCGCCAATCGGGTTGGAGAGTGTCTTCAAACCTCCCTCGCCGGGGTCCCCATTAGCAGGAAGTACGCCAATTCCGAGGATGAACCAGCCCGATGACGGATGGAACTTCAGCACCAATTCTGTGGTAGAAAATAAAGGGAAATCTTCAGGACGGACACCGAGGAGTAGTCGTGGGAGTGTGCGCACGGCATCGGGGAAGTCTGGGCACGATTCGCGTACCATGGAACGGAACGAAAAACAAACAACCAAATCGCGAAATGAAGGGCTACGATCGAAAAAGCAATCAGCGCATCTATCAGTGCCTGCGACCGACAACCACGACGAACCGCCAGAAATCGCACGGATGCGGTCTGCCAGCGGTTTGGAAGACCTCCGAAACGAGGATATTACCCCCATCACCTTCTCCGGGACAGACACAGTGGAGGGCGATGGTACGGCTGAAATAATCAAGTCCGCATTGAAGCAGGTTACAAACAAACTAGAGAGCCTTAACTTGGCACCAGGAGACCGCCCTGATTCGAGAGCGAGTGATAGTGTCTTATTAGGCCAACCGACGGACATTGCGGTTGACGCCGTACCTGAGGATGACTTGTTCGACGTCACCAGCAACTCTCTTCCTCAGGACCTCTCAATGGGAACATTAGATTACCGAGGGCGGAGTGCCTTTGCGAGCCTGCAAGGCGACGACCCGTATCAGGATGAGCGCTCCTTCCACAAAGACCAGCTTTCTCCCACAGGCTTTCCTTCCCACCGCCTGACTCCGTTCATACGTCCTAGTACGAGAGTTCGAAGCTCGCCGCCTTTCTTCAGCAAGAACAATGCGCAAAGTGACCCCTTGTCATTACCTCGACCTTCGTCCGCTCATGTAGGAAGCGCGACGAATAAAATCGGCATGTCATCTGGAAGCCCCCTGAAACTCTTTGCGACCCATGACACATTCACAAACAACAAACTCCTTCGACGAATGAGCCAGTTCGAGGAGACTCTCGGGGAAGAATCAGATGATGATGACGAGCCGGTCTCGCCATCCGAGGAAGCTCGCCGTAAGGGCGAGACCCGAACCCTCTTGAACCCTCAAACAGACAACCAGAGTGAACGACCGGGCCGAAGACATGACCATTCGCGAACTCGCAACTCCCAAACTCCCCACATCAATCGCTTTGGGGAGGGCCAGCTCGATAACTTTGACTTTTCGGACGCAAGCCCTTATGAAGCGAATTTCAATATCGATTCTCCAGAACCCAACATTGCTCCAACCGGTCATTTATCATCGGCAGAAGGAGACGTTTCAGGAGGACGCTCGTATCTGAATACCAATATTGAATCTGGACGACCGGATGCCTTCTCAGGCGGACAGAATGCGGCAGCAAGCCGCGATATGGATCCATTAAAAGGGCGAAATATTCGACCGAAGCTTAACCCCACACCCAACAGCCCTGTCAAAGATCCTACGCCGAAGAGACGACGGACCGTTATGAAATTCCACGGCTCTAAATTGGGCGAGCCAACCATTGAGGATAGTGGAGCTACCGATGATTTATCCTTGCTACAACGAAGCTTGATGCAGCATGGCGTTAGATGTGATGATAATGAAGAAGCTCTGTCTGGATCCGGGACTCGCCCACGGACACCCACACCTCACGAAACAGGGTCTTTCGAAAGAACCCACCCTTCATCAAGCAGGCGTTCACAGAAGGCCGAACTGGAGGATAACTCGCCACTGGCTCAAAATGTACCCAATGTAGTTGGACGTCAAGGGAATGAAGAGGTCCGCAAGGGGTCAATCACTACTCAAGATTTTCTTAATGAGGCGACCAAGGTTATGAATTTCATACGATCGAAAGGCACAACAAAGAGTGGTTTGTCGAGAGTGGACGAAACTGACAGCGAGGAGGATGGCGACAACGGAAGTTACGAAGAGGAGTCAACCCTTGAGGAGTTCTCACGGCCCCCTAGTAGGGAGGGTGTTGACCTACGTAAATTGCGAGAGCCCAAAGAGCCCCCTAACCCACGAATTCTGAGCCATTTGAAAAAGTTCCAGGAACATGATGAGATGGAATTTGGGGTTAGTGGATCTGTCATGTCTTTACATTTTGAAGATAATGATGCTGCGCGTGGAGACTTCGATAAACTCCAGCCAGAACATCGGAAGCGCAAGCTTCCCGCACCGAAAACTCAAGAAGACGACCTTTACGACTTTCTGCGATTAAACACTGGCACATCAGGAAAAAGCTTTAGTGCTCGATCGATCAATACAGGCTCATCGCAGGGCTCGCATGCAAAAGGTGTCCTGTCATCGGATATCGTTTCCCATCTTATACCTGAACAGGTAAATGGGCTTACCTACGATCGCCTAAAGCACCAGTGGGTCAAAGAAGACGAGAGGAGATCTCGCATGACCCAAGAAGGCAGAGGGGGCGACGAGGACCCTTTCAAAGACATTCCCGACCTCAGTGTCGATGAGATGGAAGAGATAATGAGAACTGAGAACTCCAGATCTCCGCAAAAGACAAGGCGTTCGTCGCAGGACGAAACAACAGGCCCTCAGAGCCCAGCGAGCTTAAGGTCTGACCCTAAACGATCAGGTCCCGTTCCCGAAAACGGGCCCGCAGTTCCGTCGGTCAACCTTAGCTCTGTCCAATCTGGAGTCAGCCGGTCGACCACTAGCCATCCTACATCTGGCACGAGAGAAACATCATGGGGTACGGATGCACCTAAGAGCAGAACGTCTTCACATGATGTTGACCACGAAATCAAGCTGCACGAAGGTCGCTTGTCCAGGCCTCCTGAATATCCAAAGGACCCCAACCACCAAGCCCGAGTTGTGACAATTAGTTTTTCGTCCCCTCTTGTCTCCCAGATCGAATACAGTGACGATGATAGCCCTTCCAAACTTCGAAAAATTGCGATTAACTCGCA